TCTCTATAAAGCAGTTAGCACAAGAATCTGTGTATGTTATCTAGCCTATCTTGGAGGACTCCTGTTAGCAGCTGGCAGAAGTCGACACCAACTCTGTTCTGCAATTAAAATAAACTTCCTAGGACTCTCTCAGTAGACCATACAAGAGCCTACGGTGCATGTATAGTGCCATATCAGCCTTAGTGGAAAGACAAGAACAAAGAACCATAGCAATTCCCGCTGATAAATCTAGAAGCACAGCTGAATAATGAACTCTTCCCCCAACTCCCACCCCAAGTGTCTAACATTTCCTCCAAAATCCCCACTTCCCCTGTCTTTCCCCAATGTTTCAGCAGTGGTACCCCTATCCCCATTAAGTTCTCTAATTCTTCCCAAATGCAGTGAGCTCTTATTTAATGCCACAGCTGTTGGGGAGGAAATCACAAATAGCAGAAGGTGGATTAGTTGATAATGTACCAGTTCTTCCTCAGCAAATGCTGACACCTGTGTTTCACATGCTGCCTTTTCTGGCCCTCCCTCCTCGTCTACCAATGAAGTATGCATATAGTATGTTTGCTATATGAATGTCTAAAGAGAACTAGAATTTGTTCCAACAACTGCTCGCTTTCTAGCTCTCTTCCCTCAAGCTAGCATCTTTGTTACATACTTACAAGGGTGCATAAGTTATAACTACAGACTAATCGTATTTTTAAAAGATTAAAGCCAAGAACTGCAGGCATCAGAGGTAGTAAGCAGTGGTATCAGCAATTATTATACAATTTTTTTAGTCTCTAGAATTGTTGGCTTTCAGGTAAAGTGCTTTCCATGGCTTGGGACTATGGCGTTTAGCCAATGTTAATCCTTCTAAGTGTAGACCCGTTAAAATAAATGGGCACGTATAACTTAAGCACATTAATTTTAATGGGTCTACTCTGAGTATTACTTAGTTGGCTACAACCCTATCACACAAAACATGACATATCCTTGCATTACATTTGAGTTATGTTGCTTATTTCTTTAAGAAGGGATACAGTGGTACCTCGCAAGACGAATGCCTCAGAAGACGAAAAACTCGCAAGACGAAAGAGTTTTTCATTTTTTGAGTTGCTTCGCAAGACGAATTTCCCTATGGGCTTGCTTCGCAAGACGAAAAACGAAAAAAACGAAAATGTTAATTTCGTCTTGCGAGGCACCACTGTATTGAGAAAGACAGGCAGAGATGCTGTTAATAGCAAGGAATCCCACTCAGTATTTACACATTTGCTTGGCAATAGAGTGTTAAATATGTGATAAACGGAATGTCAATTGTTTCAATCTGATTTTTATTATTATTTATTTACATTATTTATATTTCACCATACTTGGTCACAAAGTGGTTTATATAATCAATAAAACAATCGATCACTCAAAATAATACAGTATTTAAAGCAAACAAAAACCACAGGTCAAAATGTAAGCTCTATAGTCACCCACTATCTGCATTTATCCAGAAACAACTGGAAACGTTTTTGTTCACTCAAGTTTTCCCAGCTGAAAGAACAGGTCTGTGCCACAGGTGTTTATTTAGTATTGTTTTTAAATTTATTTGCTGATATGTAACTGGTGGGTTATTGTTGTTTTTTGCATTTTGTAAATAGCCTTGTGACATAGGTGTGGAAAGCAATACCACAAATTATGCAAACTACAACTTACTTAAAATGCCTGCTGAAATAGAAATATATTTGTCAAGTACCTGAAGTTTAAAAGGAAGGGGGGCCTGAGTGATCTCAGCCAGGAGGTAGTTCCACACAACGTTTTTAAAATAAATAAAAAGACGTGGGTGGGGTGAGCTGAGATTCATCTGTGCCAAAGCCCACAGTGGTGAACTGGGCTTTTATGGGTTCAAAAGATCTAATCCTTGCTTTAAAAATGAACTCTCCACCATAGGCATATGAGTTTTGCAAGCTAGCTATAGCCAAAATAAGAATGCCATTAAAAGTCTAAGATTTTAGAATTGCAATTTAAATTGAAATGATATGTAAGAATTTTAAAAACAAAATTAACCATAGAGTTTCACAAGTGTAGCGGAGAAGACACACTCTTTCCGGGCCCATTTTACTTTTCTGAGCTTCTGATATGACAACCAAGTTCATGACCTTCTGAAAAATTATATCCAGAACTGTTAATTCTGTTAATTCCCAACAACTTATTGAGAGCTGATAAGAGACAAAAAGAGCTAAGATGTAGAAACATGTTGGAATATCTATTTAAAGGACTTAATGTGTTTGTGGGCTGTAACAAATTAAGCAACACATTTGGACATGTCTACTGCAATAAGCTTAACATTTTCTTCTACAAAAAAATTGCTACCTCATTTCCTGATGTTAGGACTTTTATCCTTTCTTTACTTCATGTCATGCGTAGACTTGAAGTTTTGTTGCTCTTTTTCTACCTTGAAACGGAGGAGAAACAATTGTTTACAAATGGAGACTCACACAGTAGGAATAAACCAAGCATTCATGTTTCAGTTTCACAATCTTTACAAAATGATTTTTCCAGTATGATTTCTGCTACACTGCATCTGAGAACTGTTCAACATATAGGCAGAAACAGAAGGGGGCAATTGCTCTTCCCCTTGTAAAACTGTCACAAAATTAGGGTAGCCATGTACTCTTTGAAGGGTGTCATGTCCAAGTCTAGTTTAAAGATATGAAAGATCCCAAAGGGAAAGAAGGGGCACTGAGGTTGCCCATCAACCGTCAGCATACTTTAGTAGTCTCACAGGTCATATTATGTTCTAGGTATTGTATTTCCATTCAAATTGTACTGTAATAATTATTTCTAATATTGCATCTATACCTATAAATTAGCACGTGCAAATTTTAAGCATATATTTGTTCTCTTTTTGGGTAATGCATAAAATACTACAAAACAAATACATGCAGTGCAGGTAAACCCATGTGTGCTATACATGCATGTGACTATACACTTATTGTTGATGTCTTTCTGTCTCAAGAGACAATGGAGTGCGCCTCTGGGAGTTAAGCCAAACCACTGGAGAATCACAGCGCCTACTGTGGCTGCAGAGATGAGTAACTTGTAACTACTACCTCTCACGTTGTTTTTGCTGCATTAGCAGCACCAAAGTGACCTCTCTGGGGCGCAAGCCTGGGTAGGGTGTATGAAGGTTCTGGGCTGCCAGGATGACTTCGTTAATGTGGTCCAAAGGAAAGGAAAGCAATACGTTTGGAACCAGCTTGGCTGCAGGAGTTGCCAGAAGGAGGGCATACAAGGCGCCATCCAACTGTCTTAGGGACTGCACTCTGGATTTGTGTAGGGTTTACTCCTTAGCCTTTATTTCTCCCAAATATGTCCCACAAGGCAGCGGGTACAGATTTTTTCCTTGGGATTTAATCCCAAAGCCTCTTTCACAAATGAGAATACCACAAGACAGTGGAGGCTTAGGATCAGTTTTTTCCACTTACACATAAATGTGAAATAAATATTAGTTCCCCAAAATTAAATCCATTTACTAAAATGTTAATAGAATACTGTACTCTCAAGAAGTATTTTTAATAATTTGGTGCCACCAAGTGGTAAATAACTACATTCCAGCTTGCAGACAGTGCTGTAAAAAAAGGTACGAACTAGGAGGAAAACACTTTTCATTTTTGTTTTTACAGCTGCAGTTTTGAGGCAATGAAGCAATTATTTCCTGCTGTTGGACTTTTCCTTTTATGCTTTCTTAATGTTCATGCCATGTGTAGACTTGGTTAGGGTGACATTCATGAAGAGCAATCTATAAACTGTTTCTTTTTTTCCTATTTTTTTTCCTATAAACTGTTTCTCAAACTCAATGCAAAATCTGCAAATCAAATTTAAAGGTTTGTCTAGCTGTATGAAAACATTAGTCAAGCTGATCTCATTGATTCACCACTTCAGATATTAACTGAAACATGAAAAAAGATGGAAACCCCTTTAAAATATAGTCTGCCCAGAGACTCAGATCTGTAAGAATGTTTAAAGTTCTTAAATTTTCTCAAGCAGCCTTTTCCTCCATCTGTGCAGAAAATCCCTTTCTTGAGACATTCCCACCCAAACGCTTGCTAAAGTAAATGAACTGTACCTAAGCCCTTTGAAGAGCAGACCCAGTAAAGTCAGTGGACCCAAGTGAGTCATGACCATTATTTTCAATGGCTTGTATCCCATTCTAGTCCTACTCAGAGCAGCTCTGAGTTAATTGAAGTTACGAGAAAGGAATTTCCGACTAAACATCAGGAAGAACTTTCTGCTGTTCCACTAGGGAGTGGAATCCCTCGGAAGGTGGTGGACGCTCCTTCCTTGGAGGTTTTTAAGCAGAGGTTGGACGGCCATCGGTCACGGATGCTTTAGTTGCGATTCCTCCATTGCAGGGGGTTGGGCTAGATGACCCTCAGGGTCCCTTCTGACTCTACGACTTCGGTTCATCTGTTTCAATAGGATTACTCTTGAGAAGGACTTACTGGAGACGACCCAATGTGCTTACTCTGAGCAGGGCTGAACACGGAACACAACCCCAAGGCAGGTTTCAGGCTTGAAGCCTATCCTTTAAACGACACTCTCCTTCAGGAGCAAAATAAGGGCTTACTTCAGAGTAAACAGGGCTGTGCTGTATCAGGTTTAAGCAGCTTTGGCCTACTAAAATCCACTCCTGCCAGGCACCTGTTTGTTTGAGGGTAGGATTTTCTTCCCAAGTTTAGCAAGGCAGTAATGGAGGTGGGGGGGCGGGAAGAAATAAGAGGGGGGGCAAAAGGGGCAGAGTATATTTCGAAGTGGGCGAATTGTGACCCACATTTCAAGATCTCTGAAATGAAAAGTACACAGTATGACAGGAACCCAGCAATTGGGGTGGTGAACGCTCCTTTTTGGGGGGGGGGGAGCCTTGCCCTCCATAGGATGACGAGAATTTTTTTTAAGGGGCTGGAGTAATAAATATATATTTTTTAAAAAGCACACAACCCACCATTTTCTCGGTCGCATTAGGAGCAGGGCGGCCCGTTGGCCACCAGCTGGGGCTGCTGAGCGAGTGAGCTCTCCCCTCAGAAAATCCCTTCCCGCCTTTTCGGAAGGAGGCGGCCCGTAATTCCTCCCCACGGGGATTTTTTGGTGGGGGGTGGGGGAAGGAGACCGAGCTATGGCTGACGAAGAGCGGGCTGAACACGGGGGCAGCAGCCGGGGAGGAAAGCTCAGCCTCAAGCGCAAGAGGCGGCAGCCACACCAGCAGCAGGAGGAAGAAGAAGAGGCGGAAGGCCGCCCCTCGGCCATTCCTCGCCGAGCACCGTGAGTCCGGGTTAGGATTCCTTCAGACACGCAGCGGGAGGGTGCGGAGTCTACGTGCGAATGCGCAGGCGCGAGGACTAGGAACGCGGGGGGGGAGTGCGCGCGCCCGCAGGTGGATGAGTGTGGAATGATTGGATCGCTCTATGAGTGTGCGCGAGAGATATGCATATGCTTCAAGTTAACTGGGATGAGGCGAGTTGCAACAAGGCATGACCAGTGGTGGATTTACCTATAAGCTAAACAAGCTATAGTTTAGGGTGCTCCCCCTCTCTTGGAGGCCCCCCCAAAAAATTAAAGGAAAAACACTGGATGTAAATTTCCAAAATACAAGCTAAAAAACAAATAAAATAAAACCTACATACAGCAACAGTGTTTTGTGCTGTGTAGGCTCCTATGATGTAAGTAATGGGCCCCACTCGCTCCCTAAAATATCACAGGTTTGCTCATTTCTATATATAGGGTGCCTGCGTTCTGCACAGACTGGTTAGAACAATTACTTTGATAAAATACATATTTTGTTATGTGCAAATAGGCAAATAACCTATTAGGTCCATAAATTACCATATTGTTGTTGTTGTTGTTTAGTCGTGTCCGACTCTTCGTGACCCCATGGACCAGAGCACGCCAGGCACTCCTGTCTTCCACTGCCTCCCACAGTTTGGTCAAACTCATGCTGGTAGCTTCAAGAACACTAGCCAACCATCTCGTCCTCTGTCGTCCCCTTCTCCTTGTGCCCTCCATCTTTCCTAACATCAGGGTCTCTTCCAGGGAGTCTTCTCTTCTCATGAGGTGGCCAAAGTATTGGAGCCTCAGCTTCAGGATCTGTCCTTCCAGTGAGCACTCAGGGCTGATTTCCTTAAGAATGGATAGGTTTGATCTTCTTGCAGTCCATGGGACTCTCAAGAGTCTCCTCCAGCACCATAATTCAAAAGCATCAATTCTTCGGCGATCAGCCTTCTTTATGGTCCAGCTGTCACTTCCATACATCACTACTAGGAAAACCATAGCTTTAACTATATGGACCTTTGTCGGCAAGGTGATGTCTCTGCTTTTTAAGATGCTGTCTAGGTTTGTCATTGCTTTTCTCCCAAGAAGCAGGCATCTTTTAATTTTGTGGCTGCTGTCACCATCTGCAGTGATCATGGAGCCCAAGAAAGTAAAATCTCTCACTGCCTCCGTTTCTTCCCCTTCTATTTCCCAGGAGGTGATGGGACCAGTGGCCACCTCCTTACCATACAGTATATCCAACACAAAAAACCGCGACAATTTGTTGTTGACAAAGGACAGCTGGACATATAAAGGGCCCCATTACCTTCAGTAGCTTAGGGCCTCATCAAACCTAAATCCGGCCCTGCATGAGCCCCTTGAATATAAGATTTAAAAGATCATTCAATAGAACAAAGTAGGTTAAGCCAATAAACGTGTTACAGCAGTAAAGGCACAAAAAACCCTCTCCTTTTAAGATTTGTATTATGGGAGTGTTTAGGTGATTGAGCGTCAAGAGGAATTAGATGTGCATTAAAAGGGGGGGGGCAAAGCCTCAGGGTTTTGTTATGAGGATGATGAGGGCTGTTCTCATATAACATAACTTGTATATTGTATTAATATTAATACACGACCTATTAAAAATCTTCAGAACAGTTTTGTTTTGCTGTCAATGCAGACCAGTTAACAGAATGTTGTAATAAATGCTCGAAACTTACCTAAGAATCGGTCATGTTCAAGGGGTGTGTAGGTGAACAAGAATCTGAGAGGTCTTCGTGTAGGAGAGGCAAGGAGTGTGCATCAAGTGTATATGTTAAGTGCCTCAGGTTTTTATGATTAGGATTAAGTAGAGCAAGACTTGTCATCACTAGAGGCTAATTAATTTGATATTATTATTTAGAATTGTAAGTTAAATAACATAAGCCACACGTTTAGGCTTTGGTTATGTTGCATAGTACTACAGCAGTCGCCTATATCTGTGTCCTGTTTCATTTTTAGACCAAAGGACCCAATGTTTGCAAATAGTGGCCACTTAGAGGGTTTTTTTGGAAGAGTTTACTGTTACAAGTGTGGAATTTTTCAATCTGGAGCACCTTAAAAGGGAGCCTTCTGTTTGTCTTTCGTACTGGTTTCAGTGTGCAGTCACCACAATTGCCTCGCAAATGTAGGATTCTCAACAATTCCACTCCAAGCTTGCAAGTGGTTTGAGCTGCACCAGGTTGGTTCTGACAAGAGAAATGATGCTATGCATGAGTTTTATGTTTTGTAGTACATTTTCCAGCAGCTCTTGCTGGTTTGAAGAGCAAGGCTTAAGTGGTGCTGAAATCGCGTGGATGACATTACTCAAGTCTGTGGAGCCACATCTGCATCGCTTGAGTTTAGAAAAAGTAGTCAACCTTCCCAAGTTTCTTACAAAGGTAAAACGTGTTTTGAATTATTATTAACCATTAAGATACTTATTGACCAATAAGATACTATCTCAAGATTGAAAACAAGTCCTCATCTTCATTCACTTTAAAGGGAGAGTAACATGCAATGGAAAAATAATTGAAAATAAGGTTGAAGGTAATGGATTTGATATTAGAGAAGCTCCCCACTGCCCTAATTTGCTTTTTATAATGCCTTCAAGAATGTGATACAATGGAAGGAATCCTCTCAGTTGATGCTGGCTGTGATACACTGAGCCTGTCAGAGTCATCAGTAAAACCTGCCAGAAAGCCAAACTTCTTGCATTTAGCCTTGAACTTTAGGAGGATAAAGTTGGACAAGAGGCTGTACTTCATACGTCATCATTTTATTTGTATCCCGCTTTTTTTTCTCCAGGAGGAAGCCCAAATTGGCTGACGCTAACAGAAATGACAAAAATAGGAGGGAAAATGCAAACAGTATGAAACACGGTTTGACAATTCAGTTAATCAGTACAAAATCCACAAAATGTATAGCAGTGGGATAATAAAATAACTCTGGGCCACAAACTCATACTCCCAGTCTAGCAACAAATATATAAAATCATTTGGATTACTATTTATTAAATTTATTTGTCACTTTCTTACCAAGATAAGACAAATTAGTGGACTGGTTGGAACAAGACCACATTCTTTCAGAAGCACAGGCTGGTTTTAGGGCAAATCGGTCAACCTTAGACCAGGGCCTTGTTCTCCAACATCTTGCAGAGAAATATACATCAAGAAAAGGAGGTTCCCTATACGTGGCCTTTATAGATTTCAAATCTGCTTTTGATTTAATACCCAGGGACAGGCTTTGGGGAAAGCTAAGCGCCGCAAATACAAACAAACGCCTACTGTATCTCATCCACAGTCTATATGAAAATACACGGATCTGGGTAAGGTGTGACCGACAGGGCCACCTATCCAAGGAAATCCAAATCCATCAGGGGGTCAGGCAAGGGTGTGTCCTTGCGCCTACTTTATTTAACTTCTATATCAACTCGCTAGTAGGAAATATGGAGAAAGAAAATGCCCATCCCCCCAAATTGGCTGGTACGCCCCTCCCGGTCCTTTTATATGCGGATGACACAGTTTTAATTTCTTGTGTTGGATTAAGAAAACTTTTGAGATCTCTTACCAAATACTGCAGCATCGAACAACTAACAATTAACTACAACAAATCCAAAGTCATGGTGTTCTCTAAAAAAAGGAGGAGGCACAAATGGAGAATAGACAATCGCTCAATAGAACAGGTAGCAACCTTTAAATACCTGGGTGTAACCTTCCAGGAAAGGGGCTCCTGGCGCTTTCAGATTAATAATACTATTGCAAATGCAGAAAGATCTACTAAAGCGTTAATAAGATTCTTCTATGGGAAAGGGGGCCAATACATACCGGCAGCCTCCCAGGTCTTTGCTGCCAAAATACTATCACAATTGCTATATGGATCCCAGATCTGCAGCTTTAAAAACCTTACTCTCTTAGAGGCATTCCAAGCTAAGTTCTTCCGCTGCCTGCTGGGGATCCCCTCCTGCGTATCCAACATAGCGGTCCGTTTGGAGGTTGGGCAAATTCCTATCAGTAATCGGATATGGATATTGAAGATCCATTATTGGCTAAAGCTTATTTTCTTCCCGGTTGGGCTGGCACCTTTAACCTTATTAGATACCTACCAATCCAAATGGAAAGCTACACTGCTGGAAAAGCTTAAAGGCTTGGGGATCCCACAGCAGACCCTGATAGCGACAGGCTTCAAGAAAGCTAGGACTACAATTCGCCAGCGTATCTGGGACGTAGAATTACAAGGCCACATGAGCGAAATGATCAAACATCCAGCAATAAGGGACCATGGGAGAGGTTTCTCTCCAGCTAACTATCTGTCAGGTCTTCAGGTACCCAAATACAGACGGTCTTTTACCCTCGCCAGATTCAGCATTCTCCCTTCTGCCTTACTTCAGGGCAGATTTGAGGGTAAACCATACACAGCACGGGTCTGCCCCTGTGGCTCGTTGGAAGTTGAAACTGCTTCACATGTACTATTACGTTGTCGTCTTTATGAGGATATACGTTTGACTTTTATTACACCTGTTTTGCAAAAGTCCAGGAAAGAATCGGAACACCATAGTTTAAAATTACTGCTAGAGGACAAGAATCCCAAGACTACATTAAATGTAGCCAAATTCTGTGCGTCTGCAATTAATCGCAGGAAGCAAGTGGTATCCCATAATGACCAAACCCCCAAATGTTAATTACAGGGGGCACGCTAATAATTAATTAATTTTTTTTATATTTAAATCCTTGTTATATTCATATTGTCCTCTGTATTTTTGATATATTTTTTTATGATCTGTGATATTGTGTGTGTTGATGCTGGTCTGTGACCGTATTAATAAATTCATTCATTCATACTCCCAGTCTAGCAACAAATATATAAAATCATTTGGATTACTATTTATTAAATTTATTTGTCACTTTCTTACCAAGGTAACTCAAAGTGCCTTACAATATATAAACAAACACATGCATAATAACCAGCATAAAACAAAGACATATCTAAAAGGCAATTCTATTTTTAAAAAGCTGGATTCCGTAAGTGGGTAATCGCCACTGAAAAGGCCTGTTGTTGTGTTGCCACCCACTGAACATCTCATGGAGGCAGCACATGAAACAAGGCCATATATGACAAATTGCAGGATCTGCTTCATATGGAGAGAGGCAGTTGGCATCTCAAGCCACATTTGGATGTAATAAAAAGTAGCTGCAAACATAGCAGTAATAGCACAGCATAAAAAGGCCACCATATCCCACAACTGCCCGTGCCGAAATCCTGCGTATTTGTATTACGTTTTAATGGGCATTGTGTAATAATACATTTGACGTGGGAAGTTTTCTCTTTGGTCCTGTGAAACTTGGTTTCACTGCCGCTTGGGGCCTTAACGGTGTGAGGAAGGGTTGGTGTTAGAATTTTTAGTATGGAAGAGTATAGAAGGTATGCCTATTCTTATTGTTGAGTGCAGGTTTTGGGAGTGAGACTGAATTGTGGCAACAGCATGGGTTTAGAAGGACCACTGGAATGGGAGTTGGGTTTCGTTATTACAAAGTAAGTACCACCCCCATTCCTGCCGCAGCGCCCCATGTCAAACTTGCAGAAGAGGCAGCATACACTCCTATTATGCCAAACTGACATGCCTCTGGCAGTGGTTTTGGCTTTAAAGTCCTGGAACATGGTCACAAGACACTTATGACACACTTAACTGGTTTTGGGAGGATGCGTAGGCGTGTGCACAAGAGTTGAATCCATCTAAGTGTTACTCGGAGTCGATCCATTGAAATTAATAGGCCCAAGTTAGTCATGTCCATTAGTTTCCATGCCTGTCAACCAAGAGGAGATACTTGACAGAACTAAAGGCTGTTTCCACCATGGAGCCACTAGAGAATGAAAGAAAAGCAAAACAGTCTTGTGGAACTGTAAAGACTTAAATTTATTATGGCATAAGCTTTCGTTGATCAGAATCCACCTTGGATGCATGACAACATGCACACACACACATACACATTGTGGGTAAGGCAGAATGGTGAGGACTAAAGTCAGAGGCAAGCGAAATGCAAAAGGGACAGTGGTAATTATGCAAAGGCACAATAGTTACAGTGACACTTAAACAAGGCTGTGTTGGTGATAACACAAACATCCTGCCGTTGGTAAGCTGGATAAACTCATGAAGTGTGGTTAAAAATTTTCTGTATTCGAACCGTAAGTGATAGATCATATCTTGGGAGCTCTTTCAAACTGTATTTTCCACATTCAAACCCAGCACTGGTTATGGTATCTTACTGGCTTTCCTCTTTTATATATTCTTCTGAAATCTACAGAGTTAGCAAAACTTTAATTTGTCTGTGTTTCAGAGCTCACAAACTACAAATCCTCAGCCAGCCCCAGAAACATTTGACATTGGAATGAAACAGTTTCAGTGGACTCCATTTCCACGTTACCACACAAATAATTCAAGAAGTAAAAAACCTCCTGAAAATCAAGCTCTTAGTTTGATAGAAAGAGGAAATGATGCAGATGGGAGATTCAGTGTTATTTCTCCTGTTCCCAAGCAAAACCCCATTCCAGCCGGTAAATATACTGCTGAGGAAACAACAACTGGACACAACAATCATCTTTCCCCTAAGCTGGAAGGTAGAGAAATGATTGAAATGTGCCTGCACTCAACCCAGCAAAATTCACCAGGACATTCATCAACAGCTGCACAGAGCCAGCCAAGAGTATTTGTGTTTGAAAAGCTTTGGAAAGGGGCTACAACACAGAGTGAAGGAAAAAGCAGAAAAGAAAAGAAAATACTATCAAATGATGATAAGCAAAGTACTTTGCTGTGCCAGCCTAACAATGCCACATCAGTGTTACCTGTGCAGGAATCTCCTGCTCTTTGTTTGAGTGTCGGCAACCAAGAAAAAACAGAGGACCACAGGGAAGAAATCTTAGCTCTCAGCCAGTGTCCCATGTGTCAGATCCACTTTACTGGAAAGTAAGTATTGGTTATGTTACTCAAATTCATTTTTCAGTTCGTCATGACATCCACAGCGCGCACACATGGAAGTGACCACATCCAGTGTTTCTCAAATTTGGGGTCTCCAGGTGTTGTTGGATTGCAACTCCCATCGTCCCTAGCTAGCTAGCAAGACCAGTGGTGAGGGATGATGGGAACTGCAGTTCAACAACAGCTGGAGACCCCAAGTTTGAGAAACACTGCCACATCCAATAGGAAGAAATTGGGGCACAAAGCAATGGGAAGACAGAAAAGGGTGTTGGCTGCTCTTGCTAAATGGAGGATGGAAGGTAGAAATTGTTAGTAAACGGCACATGGAAGATTTCCCCTAACAAACGCAAAATTGAAACACTATTTATTTGTATTGGGAGACTTTAACACATTTTTAATACCCTCATTTGCATGCCATTTTTTCCTCATTTCAACACAAAATTGAGATGTACTACTTCCCATGTAACACCTCCCGGGCGTTAAGATCTACAGGGGAGGGTTGGCTGATGATTCTGCCGCAGGGTGTGAGAGGGTCTTCAGTGGTGGTCTCCAGGTTGTGGAAGACCCTTCCACCCCTCCAAGGTGCATTTTGGCAACAGACGTGTTCAAAACTCCCATTGTTCTAGGCGCATTTTGCGACAGGGAATTTCATTAGCATGAGCAGTTTCTGATCTCCGGGCGCAGTACTGCACCTAAGATTTCAGATTAAAACTGCAATGTGGAAGGAAAGGAGGACCTTTTTCTGCCTTCCCACTTCCAGCTACTTTCTGAAGATTGGAGAAGAGACCCTCTGAAGAATATTAGGGGAGTGGGCAGGGGAAGGACTAGGCCATGTGAAAAATGAACATAATATTTTAGCTGCAGTTCATCCATTTTCAGCTTTGTATTCTCATTATAAAAAAGTGTGCCTAGACATTCCATTGTGGTGCCCATAACCTAAGTTTAAGGTGCCATTTAACTCCTAGCTTTAATATCTCTGTTTCTAACACTGCAACATATCAAGACACACCTTTTCGCACATGTCTTCAGGATGGGATGAAGGATGAGTTCAGAGTATAGCTGTCAACTTTTCCCTTTTTTAAGGGAAATTCCCTTATTCCAAATAGGTTTCCTTGCAAAAGGGAAAAGTTGACAGCTGTGGTTCAGAGTATCACTCCCTCTGCAGTGTTGCTTACTGACGATATTTCTTCCTGCACGATACAGCCGAATTGACATTCAGTGCTATCTAACCTGCCTTGAGATCGCATGGGGAAGGGAAGGCCATAAATGCATATACTAAAATCTGCAAGTCTGATAATTCTGTTTTCCAATTTCAGGTGGTCAAAACTGGACATTGATGGTCATCTTGCTAAATGTTTGTCTGAAAGTGATGTAGATGTAATTTGGTAACAAAGAAGATAGCAGAGAACAGCCAATGGTTCTTAGTAGTCAATAAATTTGCAGCAATTTACCACAGATCAAAAAAACTAAAGAAGGAGGTGGTCAAGTGCCATGTCATATTTCATTATGTATATCCTGCTATCAGGTCAGTATTGTAAATGTCTGTGGGAACCTCAGTGAAGTCTGGATACACATGACTTATGTTTCGAATAAAAGCACTACTGAAGTGTATGTTCTCTATGGGACATATTATGAACCATGACTGTACAGAGTTTAAAATCTAATAACAAAATTATCTGCTTCAGGGTGCTTAGGGGATGGGGTTTGTTGAAAATTAAATAGTCATCCAGCCACAAAGTTTTCAATAAAAAGATAGCTAGCAGTTTTCCTCCGCTGCAATTTCTGTGTGTTTATTCAGATTGCTCACTAATGCTTTTGTATGATGTACTTCATTAAGATACTCAGTCAATTTACTGTATAGCTTCACAAATACCTTAGCAAATTCAGCACAAGTTCACCAAGACCTGGTACCTGTTACAAACTGAACCTGTTATTACCTTTACAACAAGAATAATCCTGATCTTATCAGTAACAGGCCAGTAAGAAGTATTTTAACATTAAGTAGCAGAGCCTAAAATATAAGATCTGTTTTTGTCACGGTTTCCTTCAAAACAATAAATTCAGTATAGCATACAAAGGTATAAAATGCTGAAGTCCTTTTGGCACATGGAACATGTGGCAAAGCAAATTATATGGGAAATGTCTGCTTAGTGAAACAATTAGTCTAAACTTTTTCATTAAAGTCTTTAATAGATGTGCAAGAATATAAATGATCTTAGCTGTTTACGGGTTAGTATACCATCTTTTGCACAAATAAAACTGGCCAAAGATCTCAACTAGTTAATTATACAAAACTACAAGAACATATTTACTGTTTTACAATCATTAAATTAGCTAGAGTGTTTTCATTTACATTTCATTTACATACTAAGACAATTATATCATTACCAGATCCATTTGCAATATATTAGGATTTTTTTTAAACCACACATTTAATTACATCCTTCATTTGTTCTTTAATTTATAAAACAAGTACTTTATATAAAAAATTTCCCCTTCATCATGAACAGAACATTAGTCATACACTTGCACACAAGCAACTGACTTGTAACCAGCAACTTATTTGGCAACACAGCAACATTGTAAATTGCCTTCAATTGTAAATAAATCAAGGATTTGTTTTTGTCTTGAGCAAGTGTGTGTACTCGCCCTACTCTAATGTTCTGATATCACAGAAGTTCAGGGCAAAGAACCCTTCATGTTTTGCCTAGCCCCAGAACCAGACAGCATCCGTAGGTCACATCACCATGCAAAACCAGCTGCTCAGTTGTAAATCCAAGATACAGAGACACAAAACATTCAGGGAACACTGAGAATCCAAGATACAGAGACACAGACCAGTCAGGGTTCACCAAGGAGAAGAAGAAGAAAAATGGCATTCAAATCTTTTGCATGATTCAATTAAAAAGAAATCAAGACTCTCTTAGCTAGGTGACTTGGTTATCTAAACCCCAAGCATTTGAGGAAAGTACATCTAACTGAATTACTTAGTGCTGGTTAGAACATATGTTGCTTAATACAAAAAAGATAGTTCAGAGAGCAACTTTCAACAACTCTGGATGGGACTAATAAAGTTGAATTATCACAGATGTGCGTTAATTCAGTGGTCAGGGTAAGGGACATACAAAATATAGTCTTAACTGATGGTTCTTTGAAAGATTTTTCAATACCATGATTTGGCAGTCTTATCCTAGCACCTCATGGACTTGAATGCAACTGAGATGTCATGTTCAGCACCTAATGTAATGCTGTACCCTGAGAAACCTATACAATAAAAGTAATGTGAAAACGGTTGCAAGTTGTCTTGCATTTTATACCGAATTGGGTGAGATATCATGGCACACAGGGTTTCTCTCCTTCCTGAAGAATTTTCTTCCCCAGAACTGCAAGCTACTCAATGGAGTTACAACGAAAATCTACTAAAAAAAGAAAGAAATACGGTGTCTTGTTATCTCCCATAGAGACCAATAATTCTGAATGGTTTTAGATAGCAACGTGCCCTTGTTTGTCCTCAAACGTATGGACACGTTTTTATTCCCAAAGCTGACAGACAATTAACCTGATGCAACATCCTCCATTTTCAAAAGAGGAAATATGGACATATTTTATATTATAGTCATACAATATTTATACATCTGTTCATTTTCTCCATCACTATATTACTGCTTTGAGTGTTGTGTTTACCAAACATCCTCCTGTAGAGCTTAGTGACAAGATGCTGAACATTTCAAAGCAGATAGTTTTAAATAGGAGGTGTGCTTTATCAGAAAAAAATGCAATATGTTGATGGATATCCTATAATTTATTTCTTTAAAACTTTAAGGCTATGATCTATTACACTTCCATTGTTCCTTTTGAATATTGCATTGATAAAAATATTATTCAAAAATCTAGTATACAACACAAGACATTGTAGGCACTGCTCAAGTATTTTCAGAAATCCACCATGTGCAAATTTAAATTTTCTAATGAGATTTTGGTAAATTTTGTTTTCTCCCACATTAAACATAATCTAGATATTTCAATTGATAAATTCTAATTTGGAATTGTTATTGCTGAGATCCAAGTCCCGTCTAAAAGTTCTATGAAGATATAAGTTAATGTTAGATAGCAGCTGTTAGTTGTTATGTTCCATGTGTAAAATACTACTTTTTTCTTTAACCAGAACTTACCAGGGTTAATCAAGTGTACCAAATACGGAATATTTTTATGCAGTTTATCCATTTAGGCACTTAATACTGTACCCAAACTTGTTTTAATTGCTAATAAAACACAACTCCTTTTATTCCACATTATATATATATATGTAATACATATATATATATATAAAACAGACATTTAAGATAGGTACCACTTGTGAAAAAAGGCATCTAAAGTAAGCTTCAACACCACTAACAATTTTATTCTTCAGGATGTTACACTGTTCTAGTAGCTCATTGCATGAAAATGTCCATCAGAAGCGTGCAGCTTTGAAAGTGGTTTGGAATCTCTCTTCCAAGGATGCAAACAACTATTGATCCTTGATGAAGCAGGCACGAAATGCAGATTTCTTTGTGAAGCCAGCTCTGTCAGTGCCCCAAACTTCTTTTTTTCCAAAAAAAATAGAGGAAGACACCTACCAAAATCATGTTTTTTTGATTTTTCAGCAGCAATTATCATCATTGGTCTCCACTCAAAACCTTACAGTTTACCCCAGCCTTGCATGCATATACTGTTGTTAAGGATTAAATGTCAAAGTTCATTCAAATTATTTGTCCTCTGTGTCGATGCCATTCTCTCATACTGTTTCCTCAGTTTGCAGCAACAATGGATTAATATATTCAAATCCTTCAAACTCCGACTGGTCTATTCTTTTTATTACATCTCTGAAAATGGAACACACACATACACAATTATCTCTTGTTTGCAACCATTTTGGTGTTTTGTAAGACACACAATTCTACCTCTGAATGGTCATCAGTGTAGCCATACAGAAGGGATCTGCACTTGTGCAGAGGTATTACAGAAGTCTCTAGAACTTCTGTAGCAGGGAGAACTGGTGCTTATCCTTCCTAGAAAAGGACATACCATAAAACTGTAGAGTTGGAAGGGACCCTGAGGGTCATCTAATCCAACCCCCTGCAATGCATAAAGCAATAGGATAAGCACCATCCCACTCAGTTTCTTCTAACCTAGGGGTGGGCTCATCCTTGGCCCTCCAGATACAGTATTGCTGGATTAAAGCTCCCACCATCCCCGACTATTGGCTATACTGTCAGCCAGCTGAGTCAGTTAGTTCAATTTATTGTGTTTAGCGAGCAGCCACGACTACAAGCACAAAAATATTAACAACAAGCATACTGCTAATAATAGTGGTTTACATTTCTAGTCCCCGACGTTTACAAGATAAATGATCTCCCATTCCCCCTTAAGTTTTATTAAATGAATTTGTAAAGCCTTGGCAAGAAATTTGGATGTTCTAAAAGGATATATACCTCTCTACATCAGACAACAAGAAACAGGTCTTTGCAAGAGACGTCCTTCCCTTCTGCGATCTTAACAATGGGCATTGGCCATACTGTCTGGGGCTGACAGGAGTTGGGAGGTCAACATCTGAAGCGGCACAGGTTTGCCACTCCGATTCTAACCACTGCCAGATGAAAGAGGTATTAGCAATGGAGGAAGGTTGCGTAACTGCATAGATGACATCTTACACTCGGCTCTGGAATCTGCCTCCTTCTTTGCAGAGTATTTAGATATCACCGAAGGCATTTTCACCTCTCAGTGGTAAAAAAAAGCCACGAGAAGGGTTTGGCGGCGTGACACTGAAGCCCCAGAATATGTGTTGGCGGTGGGGTGGGGGGATACAGTTACTTGCAAGAGCATGCAACTCTAGAAAGCAAATGGCAGAAGTTGCTGACCCAGATCAAAACACCATTTCCAAATCTGGTGCCAAAGTCTTTGATTTCAGTTTTGAGGTGCCAAACAGAGCGTATGGGGAGCTTCCATTCACAAAAGTAGCTGTACTTGAGGATTGGCTACTACACTACAGACACACAGCTGCCCAAGTTGTAACTTTCTGCTAAACATTTACAGACCAACAGCAGTAACCTGGGACTTGAGGCCAAAGGAAAGGAAAATAACAGAAGAAACAGATCTAACTAAAAGACTGCAGTGAGCACTTCAGTGCGGAGTGTTTTACAAAGCTACTGTGATAGAAGAGCGAGTGGAAAGGCACACATGCTACAACTTTCACTATGAGCATCTCCCCTTGCACGGATGGAGGTGTGAGCATCAGTTTACTGACTAAATCTCTGCAAATCTGCCAAGTTGTTCTGTGCAGGTACAAATCTCATCAGTGTGGAGATACCTCAGACTGGAATCTCAACAGCTTGAAGTGCATGCCTTTGTGACAAAGGAAAACTGCCTGCTTTGTTTTCTAGCTGCTGCTCCTCATGTGACATCAGATGTTTCTCTAGGGGATCTTAAGGGGTTGCAGCAGGAGGGAGGAAAAACCCTAATACACATACAATCCTTTGGATCCTGATCCCTAGCAAAGAATAACCATATAAGGGCAGCCTAAAGACATAGAAACGTACATTTTTCATTCCCAATGTTAGAAAACCAGGGAACATGAAGTGATGCAAGATGTGGAAATTATATGCTACCTTTCTACATAGTGAACATTTGCTTAATTTTTTTTTAATGGAAGTGTATATGGCTGCCAAAACAGAAGTCTCTTTCCCTTGGTCCCATGCCCTGTTGTCTCTCCTACACTATCACCTTGGTTTCTTAGTTTTTGACTACCTGTAAATGCAACAAAAGCTCTCTATCACTCTTTTATTTTGATGAGGAGCATAACCAGGTTTAGTAGCTATTCAGTCCTCACAAAATCAGATCTGATAACGTCTAAAGACCTGCATAATATACATTTCTTATAAAGCATGCTTAACAATATTAGAACATACTCATCATCTGGAGTTAGCTGCACAGGTTCGCTGGTGAACTGGGTATCAAAGTTATCCAGACCATAATCGTCTGTGATCTGAGGCTGAAATGGAGGGGTTGCCTGCTTCTTTTCCAGCTGAAATGGGGATAAAGAGACAGAAACTTAAGAACCCTTTGGGTTTGTTGTTTTTCATAATGCACATCTCTGGTCCTCTTCATTGTGGGGAAGCTAGGAAAACAGGCCAGTTTTGCTGGAGGCCTATATAAAAGCTATGTCCTGGGAAAGATATCTGCTGGATGTGGTGAAGTGTTTCTCTGCTCTAAATTGGTTCCCATTACAAACCATCTCTCACCCAAATGCTGCTTCTGCTGTATTTGCAGTGTACCTGATGAAGTGGACTCAAGCCAATGAAGGCTTATACCGTAATAAATTTGTGCTACCCACCTGGAATTAATTTTTGCTAAGATATTCCAACAGTTAGCATAACATTTGGTATCCTAGAGCCTAGAGTCCATCTGTTTATATCAAGTTAAGTTTAACTATTCCAGACCTTTTATTTAAGTTTCCTAAGCAGTTTAACATTAGAATGGGGTAGCTGTCAGAACATTATAAACAGCTCCTTCTAAAGTTTGCAAGACATTTTCGTCTGCACCCTGCCTTGAGTCTTGTAGATTTTTGTTTGTATTTTCTTGTAGATTTTTGACAGAGTACTTGCTAAGTGTGATATTGGCTTGAATCAATACTTTAAACTAAGAACCACCACAATGGGTTACATATGAAATTGAACTTTACCAGATCCCAGTCTATGCTGCGAAAGAATGTATGAGACTTGATATCAGAAAATCCAGTTTGTGGTTGGCAGCCAAGCCTCTCTTTGGGATCCTAGAGGCAAGAACAAAATTAATTTTGTCCATGATATAAACAACAGCTACAAGTACAAGAAGTACAAATATGTAGAGCCAAACTACAACTGCTGTGAAATATAATTAGCATTAAAAAATAAAAATCACAACTAGCAACCACTAGAGCAGGTGTAGAAAACATTTGGCCCTCCAGATGTTGCTGAACTACAACTCCCATTATCTCTGGCCATTGGTCATGCCTGCAGGGGCTGATGGGAGTTGTAGTTCATTAACATCTGGAGGGCCAGCATTAGGGCCATAGTGAAAGGAGTTTATTCCCCCAACACAGACAGGCTGCAGTTCTAATGAAATTCACCCCTCCAAAGCTGCTATTTGTATTGGGAGAGAAGCTCTTTTGGTACCATTTATGATTAAGAAAACTTTGGTCTTATTTTATCACCTACTCTTTTCAAAGAAAACTGCTAGAATTACCTAAGTAAATGTATCTTTTTCATTAAATTAGCTATGGGTACAACCCTAATCATGCTTAGAAAGTCCCACTGAATTTATTGAGAACCGCTTGTGGATCAGCAGGCTTAGGGTCACACACCGTATCTAACTGCCTACTGAATCGCATGCTTACTGATAAGGGCTTATGAGACCTGCTCAGTAATTTTAGACATTATATTTTACTACTCTCATTTTACTTAGGATTCTACTTTGTGAAATTTGGAGAAAATCATATCCATTCGCACAATGTCCATAATTGTGACACTAAAAACAGCTTCCTGTTAAAAAACAACAACATTTAAAATGCTCAAAGCAATTATAATTATGAGAGGGAAAGACACACTGGTCACTTACCATGAATGAACCTTCTAGGTTGGCGTAGGGATACAGCTACGTGATGGGTTGCGTTCTATGATTTGCTTAAGGCAAGGGCATGTGACTAGCTGAACTGTTGGATGGAGATAGATAGAGTAGATAGATAGATAGATAGATAGATAGATCCACTTCCAGTTCTGTCCATAGCCAAGCTACAAAAGGCCAGACCCTGAGAGAGAGCGCAGGCTGAACAAGAAAACCCCAAAATTACTCCAGAAGGAAAACAATGGAGAACATGACTGGCCACCTCTTTTCCAGTGGGAGGGAAGCTCCAATTCTTTACAAGTGTAAAAAACAGACCAAACAAAAGAGTTAAAAGGGCAATGTAAGAAGAGTAGAGACAGCCGTCTGAATAAAAATCTGGGTATCAGAAGTCGTTTGCCTGACTTGGATTGGCTGATGTTGCTGGTCTTGAAGCAAGAAAATGGCTTGTGCCTTGAGAACTGGATTCTGGTCCAGACCAGTTTGTTGGATCTGTAATCCCTGGAGCGACAGGAAAGTCCTTGAGGATGAAAGGAGGAAAAGGGCTTTTAAAACTGACAAAAGGTCTATTAGTTCTTCCTATGCCAAAAAAAGTTTGCCTTGAAGTGGAAACAAAGGCCAGCTTATTGCTTGTTCTTCTAGTCTTTGCACTGGCAGAAAAAGAATGGCCAATGAGCAGCACCATGTCAAGAGAGGCATCAGTAATAAATCTGTGAGATTAAGACAATTTTGATAAAGCTCTGTGGCTCCGTTCATTCATGGATAGTTGTACTCAGAAGGTGGTGCTGGGAGAATTCTGTTTGATGCCTTGGCCATTGGCCTCCAAGGTCCCTCAAGGTTCTGTTCTGTTCCCCATGCTATTTAATATTTACATGAAGACACTTGCCCAGAGTGTTGGGGCTTGGTGTCACCAGGTCTCTGCGGTGGCCAGGAGTGCATTTGCACAGCTAAAGCTAGTGCACCAGCTGCGCCCATTCCTTGAGGTGTCTTATTTGGCCACAGTTACATGCCGCTTGTATTACTGTAACACATGCTACATGGGGCTGCCTTTGAAAAGTGGGTCAGAAACTCCCAGTGAGAAAGAAGAAGAAAAGGTCAGTACAAGGAATGCTGCTTCTTTTTTTTATGGAGCTGAACAAACAGGGAAAAGGGGCTGAAGAAAAGGAAGCAGTGAAATACAGGAAAAGATGGAAGATGAAGTTCACAGGAACCTGAGCACAAAGCTGAAAAGGAGGAAGAGGATGACAACATCTGCTTCAGGCAAGAGCTGAACTGAAGGAGAAGACTAAGGAAAAGAGAGACCTCCAACAGTTCAGTTAGTCACATGCCTTGCCTTAAGCAAACTATTGAACACAATCCATCACGTGGATATATTCCATGCCAACCAGAGAAGAATGGCTGTTCCGGGGCTAATAGAGGAAGCAGAGAGAAATAAGTCAAATAAGTGGTTTTGAACAAACAAGAATAGAACAAAAGATCAGGTGTGCAGAATTTACCTTATTTAAAAATCCTTTCAGGACATGGGATGCCTTCACAGAAAGGAATCTTGGAATTCGGATTGGTTTTTCAAGGATAACTGTTAAAAGGAGATTTTTTAATTAAAAAAAGAGAGATGTTATTCTCTGATACAGTACCATAATTCTTACTAAACAGTCCAGGAATGAGCAGATTATTCAGCACTGAGAGGAAAGCTTGCCTCTAACAGGAAAGCAGAAATTGGAGTGAAACAAATAGAAGTTTACAGTAAGTGGGCATGGTTTTGAAAGTTTGTGATTCTGTTTTGTGAAATTTAGAGACAAAGTATATTCGTTAACACAGATATTGACCCAGTGCGCAGCAGCTGTGAAAAAGGTGAATTCCATGTCAAGGATCATTAGGGATTGAAAATAAAACTGCCAGTTTCATAATGCTGTTATACAAAACATGGTACAACCACACCTGTGTACAGTTCTCGTTGGCACACCTCAGAAATAATATTGTAAAGACTGAAAAGGTTCAGGAAAGGACAACTAAAACAATTAAGAGGCTGAAACCACTTCCCTATGAAGATATGTTGCAACATTTGGGGCTTTCTGGTTTTCTAAAAAAAGTTAAGGGTGGGCACGATCAAGGTGTATAACTTCATGCATGGTATGGAGAAAGTGGATTATGGGACAGAATATTGTTTTACCTCTTGTGGGGCTTTCTAGAAGACAAGAAATGGCCCAAGTCTTTTGCCTCTTCAGTTTGTGGAGGTGTGGATGGGGATTTGCAAGTGGTTGTTACCATTTCCCAAGTTCTCTTTATGACAGAAGCCTGGATTGTTTAAGTTCCAGCAAAGACTTTGCAGATGTGGCACCATTTATGCCTTCTGCAAATCCAGACAGACAGTTCTCCTCCTTTAACAACCTTTGCAATTACCAGAGAACTTGGGGAAGGGGTGTCCTCTATTGGGGAGCGGATCTGGGGAGCACTTTAAGAGAAGATCAAGTTCTAAACAGATGTTCTACAGTAATGGGACAACAGTAGATAAACCCCTCTAATTAGTAAGTATGCAGAATTATTAAATTGTCCTGACTGGCAAATCCCACTAGCTCATACAGGCCACTTATAAAACTCAAAGTGCTATTCCATTATATTGTCTCAGAATGCCCAAGAACAGGCTTCCTCAACCTCGGCCCTCCAGATGCTTTGAGACTACAATTCCCATCATCCCTGACCACTGGTCCTGCTAGCTAGGGATCATGGGAGTTGTAGGCCAAAAAAACATCTGGAGGGCCAAGGTTGAGGAAGCCTGCCCAAGAAGCAACCATGGTTCAGGTAGTTGGTGACGTACAAGATCCTGGAGAGCCACTGACTTTCAGCATGTGATATAAATCCAAGAAATACATACATACAAAATTAAACAGCAATACCTTGGAAGAGGTAATCTTCAGTGTTCATATCTGGATTGTCTGTAATAATATCAAAGGGAGATCTTCCTGCCATCATTTCAAACATTAGGACACCAAGTGCCCACCAATCCACACTGAACCCTGTAAAAATATTTGAGATTTATACGTTCAAGCAGCACATACATTCAAGCATCATTTCAAACCCTTGTTTGTACTCATTTCTGTTGTGTGATTTACAAATCACTGAGCACTTTGTGCCCTTTGTGAAAATAAAGCCAAACACAAACAGCAAAAAAGTTAATATTGCCTTTGTTATTTATACTTACATTCTTCACTAAATATATATTGTGTGTTGTATCCAAAGTCAGTCCTACTCAGAGCACTGAAATTAATGGATTTAAGTTAGTCATGTACATTACCTTCTATGGGTTTACTCTGAGTAAGATTAAAATTGGATACAACGCTACATTAATATATTGTATTAAAATCATAAAATAAAATCACAAAACTAAGGAAAAGCAAAATTTACAGCAGCACAGAACAGCAATGCGGCAGGAGGGAAAACATCACTCAACCTTTAGCTGTTCTGTGCTGTTGTAAATTTTGCTCTTTGTTAGCTTACATGCCATTACATCTTGAACCACAGAGGATGACGGCAAACTTCTTCTTTTTTAAACTTCATTTGAGTTTTGCTACCTGGTCTCAAGGCACAGAGTACTGAGCTAGTCTTACAATTCTTCTGAACAATGCACATTTTAAGAAGAACTCAACATTTTCCTTCACACAAAAAAGTAAGTAACATACAAACCCTGCTATTACTCTGGCATCTAGTTATTAGGGGAAAGACATACACATAAATAAATAAGCAGCACATCAATAGCTTCTTGAAATTAGAACTTTAATGACTTGCAGCAATTAAATCATTATACACACTACATAACAACTCACCGTACTCTTCTCCTCGTAGAATCTCTGGTGCAATGTAATTTGGTGTTCCACAGAAAGTGCTTGTAGTGTCACCAGGGCCCAATCCTTCCTGCAGAAATAAAACACAACAGTTTATGTATGAAAGAAACATGACCTTCTGAAATTTCCTTTTAGTCAGCAGGAGATGCCACACTCCCAGGACTCCTCCACAAAACCTGGAAAATTCAGCATTTCACACATTATATATTTTACATGGCTGTTTATTTGTATGTATTTTAAAACTTTATACAGTGGTACCTCCTGTTAAGAACTTAATTCGTTCCGGAGGTCCGTTCTTAACCTGAAACTGTTCTTAAACTGAGGTAACCTGAGGTACCACTTTAGCTAATGGGGCCTCCCGCTGCCGCTGCACCGCCGCTGCGCGATTTCTGTTCTCATCCTGAAGCAAAGTTCTTAACCCGAGGTACTATTTCTGGTTAGTGGAGTCTGTAACCTGAAGCGTCTGTAACTTGAAGCGTCTGTAAGGTACCACTGTATATGGATATTTTATTATTGTTTATGATGGCCTATACTTGTAATGCCTAATAAAGGTTTGGCAAAGTAAGTAAAAGCATTTCACACATACCACTTAATGCAACTGAAGCTGTTACTCTGAAGAATTTATTTATATAGCATTGTTATTTAAGCACTAGCCTGGTAGCAATAGGTGAGTGCACAGAATTCCATGCAGGAGAATGGCAGTTCCACACAGCCATCACAACTAGTAGCCATTGGTAGACATCTCTTCTAGTCTTCTAAACTAGAAGTTTTAATTTTCCCCTAGTGCATTATGTACTACGTAATGTACTACTATTTTCTAACTATCCACAATCTTCTGTTAATCAGTGTCAATAGATGATCCTGAGTTCTAGTATTATGTGTCTGAGAAACTTCTCCATTTTATCTACACCATGCACAGTTCTTGTTTACCTTCAGTATTTTCAGCTAATTTTTCTTTTGCCTTCCATTCTCATGCTAAGAACATCTACACAGTGGCTTCCTGATGCGCTATGGAGGCACCCTAAATAGAGTAAATTGAGGGAGGGTGTGTTGCTTGATAGAGGTACAGCAGAAAATAATAAGGCGTACCTCAAGCTTCTAAGGGGCTGTGGGAAAGGCTGGGACTGGCCTATGTATGCACCCTTCCCAGAAGTGGAACTGCACTGCAGCTAGAAGGAAGTACAAAGACACAGGGAAAGTCTTCTGCAAAGACCAGTAATGTGCCTGATAGTTACTTCAATGGGAAAAAAGTGCGAGAACATTTCTCAAATTCCTTCTAGTATAATCAATTCTGCTTTTTAAAAAAAACACACTATGATGAAAAAAGCCCAAAGGCTTGAAGAGTAAACTTACCTTGCACATACCGTAGTCTGTTAACTTGATATGACCCTCTGCATCCAGGAGAACATTGTCTAATTTTAAATCTCTGTAGATTATGCCTCTCTCATGTAGGAAGTTGAGAGCAATACAGATTTCAGCAGCATAGAACCTTAAATGAAACAGTGACTTTTAAGAGCAGTGTTAATAAAATGCATTTTTTAAAAAAAAAATACACTCCCCAGTCCAAATGTGAGGAGCATCTACACTAATCTTGTTTTGATTCAGAAGCTCACATGCTAAGTGTTTAAATCAGTATCTCACTTTAAATCAAACCCCAAACAGGATGCCATGCTTTTTTGATAACTCTTATATCAGTGGTGGCTGTCACCCATTGAGAATTGTTGGGTGGTAGGAGGTGAGCCAGAGCAGTAGGTGAAGCCAGAGCCAGTGACATGCTGGCATCCGTCTGTCTCAGGAGACAATGGAAGAGTGCCCCTTCGGGGGTGAAGTCAAATCACTGGAGTTACAGTGCCTGCTGTGGCTATAGAGACCAATACAGGAAAGACATATTTTGTTGCAGCTGGGGCAGATGAAGGCGTCTGGTTGTGCTGATAAAGGTGTGCCCTGCCCAAACTAATTCTAGTTTTGTCCCCATCCTCCTTCAGCCTGCTGAGCTCTTCCAGGGCAAAAGGTGAGCAGGCTAGGGCTGACTGAGGGCAGAATGAGCTTGGTGGGGCAGTGCCTCATTTGTCCTAATGGACCGGCCTCCACAGCAAAATTGGTTTCATATGTGCTTGCGGCACCAACCTTGCCACATTTAGAAAGATTAAAGGGCAATATAACAAACAGGCAACAAGAGAGCATAAGAAATCTCACAGAAGTTCAGCAGAAAAGAACTCCAGGTAATAGGAGCCAAGGGATTGCACCCAGACTCTAGAATTGGGAGATCAACGTTTTGCCTGCGAAGTAGAACTCTTTAAGGCAACCCATACATTGCCGAAGGCATTAACAATACACTTACAACTTCAGTGGAACTAAGCTGATTTAAACAAGTTGTTGGCACCTGCAAAAAGATGACAATGCATTTTTAGCTGCCACTTAAAATACCTTGCATGTTCTTCAGGGAGTTTTCTTTGCCGTTGCATATGAAACATGAGGTCGCCCCCATTCACGTACTCTATAACAAGAAACAACCTGAAAGTATAACATGCAAGTTCTGATTATCTGGCTTGAGGAAATTGCCCACACAAGCCAATCAGCATTAAGCAGTCATGTAACATTCTAATTACAGAAGACAATTATCGGTTCACCAACCCTCTTATTTCACTTTTGTGGAACACACTCCAACAGTATGCTGTTAGTCTATTTAGTGTCTTACTATTGAAAAACATTGTCTCCTGTTTAAGAAATATTATGGCATAAAAGCAACACATATAGGAATACATTCATTTTATTTTGGGCCACATCAAGACTTCAGGTTGTAATGTTGATGGCATATGAAATAGCTGTCCCTTACACTTATTTATGATCAATAAATCCAGACCTGGGGACAGGATACCATTTTTAAGTCCAGAAAGTATGGAAGATAGGAAAACTGATAAAAGGCAGGTAGGATGGTTTGATCTTGATGAGAGAGCATATCCTCCTGGGCCTTCATTATTGTGCCAAGACTTTGGAGTTTAAGAATCTTTCCACTGATTTTGCTATTTTACTTTGGTTGTTTTGAAAGCTTTTATTGGTATTTCTGCATTGTCAGAAATATATATCTGTTAGCCACCTTGAGATCCCTTTAGGAGGAAGGGCAGGATATACGTTTACAGAAGTAAACAAACAAACAAACAAACAAACAAACGAATGAATGAATGATGGCCTCTCCTCTCAGAAGGGTGGGCTATACTTGTTCTCGTGTAAAATCTCCTTGCTGTCTTTTGTAATCAGTGTAAAAGTAGAAATGGGACAAATCCCAAACCCATCCACTCCAAAATGCTTCATTTTCATGGACACATGCACACACTGACTTCAGAACTGTGACATTCAGACTTGCACATCTGGAGAGGCAGGTGGTCAACTTTCTTTTATTTTAAGTTGGGTCTGGTGTCCTCAATAGGGTTTTTTGGGGGGGGAGGTGTTAATGGAATTTAAGCCACAGGACATTGCAATTATTTTATCCTGCTCAATAAATTTTTGGAGCACTGAAAGTCAGAATTCAGTGCTCAGACAACCAGATCCCCCTCTCAGTCTTGCTGATATGGTGCAAAGGAAAGCAGAGGAATACGTTTGGAACCAGCTTGGCTGCAGGAGTTGTCGGAAGGAGACATATAAGGCACCATCCAACCATCTTAGCGACTCCACTCCAGATTTGTGCAGGCCAAAAAATAGTGAGATGCATCTGTAATGCTGTGAACACCTCCAGCTGTGAATTATATTTTTGTTATGCCCTGTACATCCAATTTGAACACAATCTCTGTCTAGACAGCCACACAGAACTTCCACATATTCTCAAGACAATACCCTATCTAGTACTTCTACAACCATGGCAACCGATGAAAGCTTTTAAAATATTGCTGTAAGTATGCTATGCGGTTAAGCAAAATGGCCCTTTACCTTTCAGCTTTAGTATCATTTGATCACTGAAGGTGATTGATTAGGGGTCTACGATAGCTGGGATCTGTATCAAACCTGGGCAGGGAGGGACAGGAACTGAAACAGCTTTGCGGTTTAATTATGGCCAAAGAAATGAGGCTACGTTTTACAGCTAGCTGGCAAGAAGCACATCCTTGCAGTTCTCCAAGGCTGCCTTTTAACAGCCAGCTTCAAGCAAGTGAGTTCTTGGGTGGCTGATCTTTGAAGACTAGCCCATTTGGTTGCCTGCCTGCTCTCCTCTGCTCACATTATTTATTTATAAACAGGCATAACAAAGAACACCATCAATACCCTATGATCACAAGGAAACTATTGTACAATGAGACCAGGGCATCAATAGAAGTGCCAGGCATATGAACTGGAAAATCCCCCAGAATGTCCAAGAATATCTCAGATTCCCTAAAGCAGGCATGGCCCTTTGGTCAGCCCTCTCAGCCCTTCACTTCATCAAATCTGGCCCTCTTTGAAAAAAGTTTGGACACCACTGCAAAGTCTCCTGGGATGAGTCTCAACCCCTGAGCCTGACAATAAGTTTTGTGTGACTATTAAAAGCTGAAGTGGTAAAAAACCTGAAGTAGTATTTCAGCTCATGCAGACAAGAAAAAATCCATTAGTACTTTGACGGCAGCTAAGAGTTTATTAAGTGTTCTCCCAAAAGAACCCAAAACTGTTTTTCAAGCTGTGCTATGCATAAAGATGCCATCCAATGAAAGGACAGAAGGCACTATTAATAAATAAAAACTCACACAAATGCCAAGGCGCATTCTAGAAGAGGATTAATTAAGAAGGGCCTTTTAATCGTCCAAATTTATATCCTGTTCAAAAGCATGTTAAATATGCACACTGCATCTTAAAATCTTCATTTGGGGTCAACAGAGGAATCATGTAGCTAGTTTTTGCCACACCATTTCCAGATCTTGTTAGTTCTTACCTTTCTAAGGGCATATCTACACCATATGTTTACAGCACACCCAACACACATTTAAAGCAAATGAATTCTCCCCCGTATAATACTAGGAACTGCAGTTTTGTTAAGGATGTCGGGACTTGTAGCTCTGTGAAGGGGAAAGAAGAGTTCCCAGGATACTTTGCGGAGAGTCGTGTTCTTTAAATGTGCATTGGATATGCTTTTAAATGTATGGTGTGGATCTGCCCTAAGACAGATCTTGAAGCCTAGAACTCAGTGTGATTTTAGGAAAGCAGTTTTGCTGGCATGCACTGAGCCTGACTGACTCCTTGAACTCCCAGCTTTTAGTGCCTGTCTCTGCATCCCCCCATCTACCGCTCCCTGCCCAGTAAATTCTTTTGTGACTGATGCATGCCTGCTCTATCTTCTTTTGGATTCACTCTGATGACAACCCTTGCGCGCTCTCTCTCTCTCTCTCTCTGGACAGATCACAATGAGGATAGGTAGATGACAGTATCCTGCACTATCTTCAGACAGATATATTATTGTGCGCGCTCTCAGTCATACACAAACACACTTTCCAGCCTCCACTACTACTCGCACGCACCATTTCCCTCCAAATGTAGAAGCATCATCAAACCGAAGTAGCATTGTTCATTTTTGAATGAGGAATTTGCATTTTATTTCTCATGTTGATTTTTCGCTGGGATTTGTAAACCGTTTAAGAGACTTCTGTTGACATATAAAGCAGTGTTTACTGTACTGTACCGCTGTTAATGGCCCATCACACCTCATGTTTTTTATTTATTTTGTAAAATTCCCTCCCTTCTGGAAGAAGAAGAAAAGTTTGGATTTGATATCCTGCTTTATCACTACCCTAAGGAGTCTCAAAGCGGCTAACAATCTCATTTCCCTTCCTCCCCCACAACAAACACTCTGTGAGGTGAGTGAGGCTGAGAGACTTCAGAGAAGTGTGACTATCCAAAGGTCACCCAGCAGCTGCATGTGGAGGAGCGGAGATGCGAACCCAGTTCACCAGATTATGAGTCCACTGCTCTTAACCACTACACCACACTTTAACAGCTTATCTTGTCATTTGCCTTTTATTTCACTTTTTTTTTCATTTCTGTTCTTCCATCCTGGTATCTTAACAAGGACACTCTACTTCCTATGCCAAAGTGTCTAATGTTATGCATGCTTTGCTCATGTGTGTTTGATAAAATGTGCTAGTATCTAAGTCAGCTCTGTTAAACCAACAGAACCCTGCTTTCTGGTGCAATGGACCAGGACACAGAGCAACGAGGATCCCCTAGCACTAGAATAATTCTTGAAAATACTTTTTGCTTTTTCCAATTACATCATGTCTTTTGTGTTTTTATGCTGAATATTGTCATGTGATCTTTGGATGAAGGGTGGTATATAAATTTATTAACAACAACACAGAAAAGTACATTTCAGACATGTTAGAGAGATGTAAACTTTGAGCAAGAATGGTAACAAGGGCCAAAGAGAAATAATCAATGGCAGCAAGCCATTCACTCTCCTGGAGTCAAGAAGACTACAGTCATGCCTCATGTTGCATCCGCTTCAGGTTACGTCTTTTCAAGTTGCGTCCCGTGGCAACCCGGAAGTACCAGAACGGTTACTTCCGGGTTTGACCGTTCGCGCATGAGCAGACGCGGCGCTTCTGGATGCAAATGCTTCAAGTTGCAGACGTGCCTCCAGGAGGGAGTACGTCCACAACTCGAAGTTCCACTGTACAGCATGTAAGTCTCACTTCAGTTCACTCTGGTAGCAAAGCTCTAGCACAGATATGCAGAGATTGCCATGTCCATCAAGGTTCTTGAAAGTAGTTATCTTAAATTTTGTAAAGAGATAAGGATTTGCTCACTTACCGACTTGTCGTTTGAAAGCAGGAATGCAAGCCAACTAAAAACGGATTACTGGATGCCTGTTCAAACACATGTTTTTCTGTCTGCACCCAATCAATATCCTGAAACGGAGTAATTTGATCATTACAATGGCAGCTATACAACAGGCTGTGGACAACACCAAGAAGTTCAGTCAAACACATTTATATTCTTCTTGCACATATTTATATCACTACTAAAGCATTTGCTTTAAACTGATGTCCTGACCCATTCAACATTTTCCTGCCTGTATGTGCAAAATATTAAAGTTCCAGAAGCACTAAAAATCAGAAAATTAAGGTTCGGGTGAGTGTGTGAGAAAGAGAAAACACATTCTCTCCCATCCTCACACACCTTACTCTTGAATGAATCATTCTATAAAATTGTTAACTCTGGTTAAAATGAACTTGGGGATGCTCCCTTTCATATAACTTTGACCAAATCCTGATTCAAGTTATCTGTGTTTTTTATAAATACACTTCTTGGTTGTGAGTCCTGGAAGACCTGCTCCCTGCCTTGCAGGCCCTTTTCTACCTGGCCTTGATTGACTCCAGCTGCAGAAGCTGAGGCTGTTGAACAGACTCTCGGACTCAGGTATTTTGGGGGGGGGGGGTTGCTATTATCGATATTTTTTGGTAGCAGTTATTGATATGAATGTTTTGTAGCTTTATTTTTGATATTATTTATGTGGAAACTGTTCAATTCATTGTGTACTTTTTGATGTTTATTTATTGTTTATGACTACGTTTGCTTTGTTTGTAATTATATGGTATTTTGCATGTTGTAAGTTGCCTTGAGCATGGTTTTGGCTATGGAAAGGTTTTGCTTTTTTGCTGACATCTGTCTTTCTTGGGAAACAAGATGACATACAAATAAAATTATGTATGTATGTACGTATGTATTTACGCACCTAAAAATCTAGTAACTGTTTCTGTGCAGCTGGGGTTATCTCCATTTCTCATCAGTGGGAAAAACTGTGCATTTAAATCACAGGTAGAGAACCTCTGGCCTGTGGGCCGATCTCAGCCTGCCAGGGGGTATAACTTGGCCAGCAGGGCCATTTTCCCCAAACCAAGTCCACCTGTCAGTAAGTCCACCTGTCAATCAGATGACATCACTGGGAAACATCAGCTGGTGGAAAGGGTTCAATAGCCTGAGTCCTGTTTCATGCTGGAGAAGCAGACCCCTGCAGAGAGGAGGATTGAATCTTCTGCTCATGAGCTGGTGAGTGGAGAGTTCAATCCTGCTTGGTACCGCTTTGCCAGCATATTCCCTAGAAGCTCAGGAGTATACAAGGGATTACCAATAGCCTTTTGTAATTGGCTGAGCCTAGGTCTGCTCACCTTCAGAGACAACAAAGGGCCAAACGACATGTGATGCAATACCCTCTCTGACAACATCAATTGTATATTGTAAACTGCCCTGTGATCCTTTGATGAAAAGCAGTAAATACATTTAAGAAATTGCCACATGCAAATTCTGTGGAAGAAGGGTTTTGGTTTTTTAAGGGTGATATCATAATAGATCTCCCATAGATTTCCCCCCAAAGTCATCTTGCCTACTGTGTCTAACCAAAATGGCAACAATTGTTAAGTGTTCATCGGCTGAGGAGGGTTGAAATTTATGATCAAATCAACCATACATTTTCCCCTTATAATTAATTCTCTTGGCTATGCTTCTGTGATTTCATGTAATGTACTGAATTAAGCTCTTACCTCGTCATCGTGGACTAATTCTTTCTTCACTACTTTCATCGCATAAATTTGATCATTTTTTTTTAACCGCACTAATAGAACTTTGGCATAGCTTCCTCGTCCAATAACTCTGATTAGATCAAAGTCCTGTAGACCAAGCCCCTGAGAGATTTTAATTCCATCCATTCCATCAATAACTGGCTTGAGCTCCTATAAGGAGAGGCAAGCAGGTAAGACACCACATAGCCTTTTGAACAAACAAACATTGGCAGCTTAACATACCATAAAAATTGCTAAATACTGCTCTTGCTCAATCATACTTAAATAAATAAAAATATCCTTTCATTTTCAACACTTGTCTTAGGTGAATGTAAATCATTCTTCTCCAGTATCAGCTTGCTCACAGAGGTCTCATCAGCAGCACTGTTGCTTGTATTTAAAGTGAGTAGCACTTTGTACTGCTATGTGCACAAGACCTGTGCTTCAAAAGAACACTCTAGTGCTTTAGTCAGGAAGCAGGCATTGCCTCCTCCATTCCCCAAAAGGGAAATACCAGTGAAGGGAGGGTGTGCACATTCCTTCTCAGTGACTGCAACTTTCCCAGTGCACAGGACAACACACACAATGGAAAGGAGGGCAATGTTGTGTGACCGCAGAGGTGACCACTCGAAGATAATCACTGACAGATAAGTAACCTACCAGTCTTCTTTGCGACCTTTTTGCAGTCTCCTATATATGATAGATTAGTGAGCTGACATACCTGGGAGGAAAGTGTTGCACCCTTGGGAGGTTCTAGACAACAGTATTACAGAAACATAGGTGGTGTGGACTACATGGAAGCTTTGCACAGCTCCTCTACTGACAAACCTACGATGAAGGCTAGAAATGGCCATTCCCCTGGTGGAATGACCTTTCAGCTTCTAGAGGCATTGGTTGGTAAAAGTAGGGCTGAACTATTGAGAGAAAGATTGAAACTCAGCAGTCCTGTTCGGTTTTGATTGTATATTCTTAGAACTTATATGTTGCTCTTCAGGGCAATGCCCTCCCAAGGTAGCTTACAAAAGATAATTTGTTTCATACAAATAAGGGATAATTTAGTTTCATATACATGGCAGCAGCTCTTAGATGGAGCTGTATCAATGAATAATCGAAGGATTCCTAGGTACAGTCGCTTTTTCCTCTGATGGTTATATGATACAAAAAGCATGTGGTGGAGATAGAAGACTAGGCTGCCTGGAAGAACTGCTCAGCAATTAGATCTTACAATAATAATAATAATAATTTATTATTTGTACCCCGCCCATCTGGCTGGGTTTCCCCAGCCACTCTGGGCGGCTTCCATAGAAACCAAAAATACAGTAAAATATCACAGATTAAAAACTTCCCTGAACAGGGCTGCCTTAAGATGTCTTCTAAATGTCAGGTAGTTATTTATCGCTTTGACATCTGATGGGAGGGCGTTCCACAGGGCGGGCGCCACTACCGAGAAGGCCCTCTGCCTGGTTCCCTGTAGCTTTGCTTCTTGCAATGAGGGAACCGCCAGAAGGCCCTCGGCGCTGGACCTCAGCGTCCGGGCAGAACGATGGGGGTGGAGACGCTCCTTCAGGTATATAACTCCAGTAATGTACCAGTGCCATTGTTTACCTGTTTTTCCCTGTGCTAAACAGCCTAGGACTGGTTTACCTCTAAGACCACTTCTCTGATATGAACATTCCCAAACTCTAAACATAACCCTCAAAGATCCATCACCAAAGGACTCATTCTTAGAAGGGATGGTGCCTTTTCAGTGGTGGTGCCCAAACTCTGGAATGCCCTCCCTGAGAAGATCTATCAGACTTCCTTCTAGCTCAGGCATATTCAAACTCTGCCCTCCAGATGTTTTGAGTCTACAATTTCCACCATTCCTGACCACTGGTCCTGTTAGCTAGGGATGATGGGAGTTGTAGTCCAAAACATCTGGAGGGCCGAGTTTGCCTATGCCTGTTCTACCTTTTAAGGCTTTTTGAAAAACTCCTGTTTAAAGCAAGCTGTTTAGTGCTCTGTTTCGGCATAAATGTTGCCGTTAATTTGATTTGATTTCAAACTGCCCTTCACCAAAGTGGTTTAAAATATGTGCAATTAAATAAATAAAACTAAGGAAATATAAAAACCTAGGTAAAAGGCTAAAGGTAAAAGACCCCTGGATGGTTAAGTCCAGTTAAAGGTGACTGGACCTTTGACCCCAGTCAAATGGGGTGTGGAGCTCATTTCACTTCAGGCTGAGGGAGCCGGCATTTGTCCACAGACAGCTTTCTGGGTCATGTGGCCAGCATTACCAAACCGCTTCTGCCGCAACTGAACATCGTGACAGAAGCCAGAGCATACGGAAACACCATTTACCTTTCCACCGCAGCGGTACCTATTTATCTACTTGCACTGGTATGCTTTCGAACTTTTAGGTTGGCAGAAGCTGGGACAGAGCAATGGGAGCTCACCCCGTCACGCAGATTCGAACCACCAACCTTCCAATCGGCAAGCCCAAGAGGCTTGGTGGTTTAGACCACAGCACCACCCACATCCCATAAAAACCTAAGGAACCATTAAGATACTAAAATAATCAGTCTAACAATTTAAGCACAAAACCGCAGCAAAAATTCTAATCACAAATACAGCATTATACTTTCCCAAAGGCCTGATTAAAAAGACGCATCTTCATGCTGAACCTAAAAATTCAATAAGATGGAGAAAGACTTTATAGTTGTAATGAGATTTTTATGGTGCTTTTGATGTCATTCTTAGCTTTGTTCATTGCTTTGTGCATAATAATACAATAATAATACAACTGCTCTGAAACTGACCAGATCAAATAAACAACTGAGAATATGCCCTAATCTGATCTCAGTCCGAAAGAAAATATTTGCCCTCAAAAAAAGATTTTCCCTCCCTAGCAAGAGACTTATGAAAGGTGCCTCTTCCGATTATTTTAGAGTAATTATTATTGGAAGCAATGTGGGGTTATTTCCCAAACCAAATGCAACGCAGATCTTTAAAATAGTTAAACTATATGTACAATGTTTAACATTTTAACAGTCTATTTTGGTTTGACCTTTTGGTACTCTGCTTTTAGCCAGATCAAGGATATAAGGAGTCTTGATCTAGGATTGACTGCTATTAACAGGAGATTGAACAGAGCTTAAAGATTCCTCTGAATAAGACTAGCGACACAACACATCTCCAGGATGTGCTTTTTAGAATGACTTGTTAGGGAAGTGGGGATGATCAAATGTAAGAATATTAAGGTGGGGGACCCCGTGTCCAGTTATGTGTACATCTAACACAACAAATACTCATTTTTCTTAGATTTTCTTAAGAAAATCAATCAATTATTATGTTTAACTTGTATTTAAGCTTGGGGTTTTAGAAACGATTGCTTAAGGCAGAGAATATATGGGCAGAAATTAGGACAGTCTAGTCAACTGCAGAAGCCACTCATGTGTACATTACTAGCACTGGCAGCCAATCTAGTGAAGAAAGAAGATGAAGCATTTCAAATGATGGTCTGTTTATTAAAGAATTGCCTGGCATCTTTGTTTTTTAAAAGTGATTGTTCTAAAAGCACTTTAAGACTATTTAAAGTGTTTCTGGATTTATCAAGCAGCTAGTTGGAGGTTGGGGGAGAGTGGTCCTAGATTGTTGAGATAACCTCTATAAAAAGGGGAGGGTAAGTTTTTTTAGACGTTTAAGCATATATTTTTTGACAATTCTCATCTCATAACACATCAAGTTATAGAATTTCTGTAACTCCAAAACATCTGAAGGGTTGTCACATGGAAATGGAGCAAGCTTGTTTTCTGCTGCTCCAGAACCAAGATTCAAATTAGAAGAAAGAAGATTCCAACTAAACATTAGGAAGAACTTTCTGATGTTAAGAGCTGTTTGACAGTAGAACGGACTACTTCAGGTGGTGAACTATCCTTCGCCAGAGGTTTTTAAACAGAGGTTAAATGGCCATCTGTCACGGACTCCTTAGGTGTGATTCCTGCATTGCAAGGGGTTGGACTAGATGACCCTTGCATCCCCTTCCTACTCTACAGTCCTATGATTCTATTTTTGTTGGCATCTGTCTGTCTCAAGAGACAACGGAGCGTGCCTCCGGGGGTGAAGTCAAACAGAAGTGACCCTACTGGGGCGCAAGCCTGGGCAGTGTGTTGAAAGTCCAGAGCTGCCCAGACAAAAAGACCCCCACCCTCGGTCTCGCTGATGCGGTCCAAAGGAAAGCAGAGAAATGCATTTGGGATCTGCTTGGTGCAGGAGTTACCGGAAGGAAGCGTAGAAGGTGCCATCTGACCGTCTTAGGGACTCCACTCTGGATTTGTGTAGGGTTTACTCCTTAGCCTTTTTTTCTCCCAAAGAAAAAGATACTCCAAAGGCAGTGGAGGTTTAGAATCAGAGTCTTGCTTCTCCTAGATGGGCTACCTTCCCGGGTTGATGAGCTCCACCTGCCCCTCACTTCCCTCTACAGGATAGGCAGAAACCACCTTCTTGACTATTGGACCTATTATTGGTCTCATCTGCTCAATCCACCAGAGCCTGTCTTTGCAGGGGAAGTCCTATGATTCCATGAACATTAACTATCTGTATAGTGATTCTTGGGAGGGATGAAAGGAGAACCATGCATGGGCATTCAAGCCCATACAAGGGCACTCAATTTGCATCCCACTCAGTATTTTAACTCCTGAAGACCCAACGTTTTTCCAAGGAACAGTTCTTTCCCATGGATAGCTATTAGAAAACAGGAACCATAAGTTACAGGAGGTAAATGGGACCAGGCAGATTGTATTGATTTCACCACTGCAGGGGAGGGGGTTGCAGTTAGGTGTCATCTGGAGGTGAATGTAACCCTAGAAAGGAAGACTGCTAGAGATGGTGCTAATACAGGAGATGCAACAGGTCTATCTAATGAACCTGCTAGGACCAAAATTAAAGGTTATTTAATTGTTGAAAAAGTATGACAGAAATAAGGAAATGTGCATGCTTAATAGACTGAAGAAAAACCCAACAGTTAAACCTTTTAATAAAACCTACCTCAGAATCATCCTTAATATTGTCATGCTTTCGGGCTGAAGGAATATAAGGTACTGCAAGAGAAAATGACAAAGCAGAATAAAAGCAGTCAATACTACTACACAGACTGGCTGCCGATCTCCAGTTCAAGCAGAAGACTTGCAGTTGCTGGGGACTGAACACAGGAACTTATGTATGCTCTATTACTGTGTGTGCTCTATTATTAAACTATGGGCTTCTCATGGTAAAGCCATTCCATAGTCTTGGACCAAACATAGTTGTTCTCACTTTGCAGCAGGCTGCAACTGGGAGATCCAAACTACCAATTAAATCTGTAGGGATTTTTACATTTAATGGCACCATATAAGGGCTAGACTAGCTGATTCCCCACCCCCAAATATGTACATTGAGAAAAGAAACATTACTTACTTCCATCACTCTCTTCTGTGGGAATGTCAACTTCATCATTCTTATCATCTAACTGAGGTTCCTGGGAAGGCATCACAGAATCCTGTAAGAATATATATTACTGAAAACTCACTAATGTTGACTTTCATGCAACTCTAGCATGCTCCCTGAAGACTCCCCCCACCCTTGCAGTATGCTTCTCCAATTAACTAGCATATAGCTAGGCATGGAAACAAACCTTACATTTATTCTCTTTTTAAAATAAAACCTGCAGAATTAAAGATTTCCCAACTTGTCTCATATGAGATTATAGCAACAGCATACAGCAAGAAAGAGTGTAGATTTTGGGGGAGGTGGTTAAAAAAGCCCAAGAGACATGACTGCACTCTCAAAATATATTAGTGTATCCCAATATGTTTGGGTATCATTTGTAGGTTCTTGCACATGCTGAAAAAAAACCATATTTTTTTTTGTATGAAGAAATTTAAGTCATGACTGCAAAAAGTAGGTTTGGAAACCAGAAAAATGGTGCTGAAATCTCAGGATTTCTAAGGATCCACCTTCATTAAATGGTATCACTTCATGGAGGAAAGACAGCAGTAGTTTAATGTGAGACAAACATATGTAACTCAGTGTACATGTTGCAGAACATAGGTAGTTTCCTACATGGAGGAAAATTAGGTAGATAACACACGTTGTATGGTGCTTTAAATAGGTATTATCTTGCCTCCTATCAAGATCTGCTATGAGTTTTTGCCATGGGTTTTGTAGACTTCAATTAAGCATTATATATTCTAACAGGTTTGGTTTCTGAAGGTGAATACTGTAGTTCTGCTGAGGGGGGCATTTATTCTGAGCCCAATTCTGCTCTGGTTCGAATTTACTTTCTGTTGTGGAAAACGTTACTGGCAACTGAACGTACAAAGACTCGTGCAAGGTAGTCAAATGTTTAAGAGCTGAGACACACATCTGAAAGTGCACCCTACTGAGTGTTCCAGCTGACAGTTGCCCTGGGATTGCACAGATAAAAGGGCAGCAGGCTCTGGCCCCATTCATTAGCCAGTAGGGCTATTAGCCTCAAGGACTACTGGGAGGTCAGGTCCCTTTGACTCCTATCATGGCAAGATAGAGACCTACCTGGTCATATTCATATGCCAGAGGAGCAGCTGCAGCAGCAAGCTTACATTCTCCTCTCCCTGCTAAAGAGAACACTGTAACTAAGAACTAGCACCCGAGTTTGCTTCTTTCCTACTCTCTCCCTGTCTTTTCTCCTTTTGTGTCATGACTTTTAGTATGTAAACCTGAGGGCAAAGACAATCTTATTATTGGATTGATGTAAGACATTGTGGGGGCCTTTTACAGCTGAAAGGCAAGACAAAGATGCATTAAATAAATGACTAAATAATGGTGCAAAGGAGCATATCCACATCCGAACACACATTTTAACATGCATCCGATTCACACCTACAGATCCTCAGAGCAAGAATATACAAAACACTGAGGAGTTTCCATGGATATTTCAAAACATAGGATAGGAAAGCTGAATAATGCAGGCCTGTTCTTGTCATTAACATAATCCATTATATGAGTCTCTCTATAATGAATAAAATATTTTACTCTGGTATAAATTCATTTTATCCGTATTCACACAAGCAAGTATCCCCCTTTTCAGCCTGTTTGCCAAAATGGCGGACAGCATTTTAAAACCCTTGATTCAAAAGTGCAAGAAAACTTGTTAAACACATCTTTCCAAGGGTATATTACCAAACCTCCAATATATACTTTAATTTAAAGAGGTCCCCAAATTTCCCTTGTCTTGTCTTTCAATATTCCAACAATGGAGCATATGACTCCAGGAATTCTTTCCTGTTTAAGTTGATTTGATAATTTCCTCCACTTTTTTAACACCCCCCCCCATCACTTCTAATGTGTGAACAGGACCATTTAGGTCCCCCTTGTCCCCCAAGGAAAATTCTGGTTCAATCAATGGTCTCAAAATTCTGAAAACTTTTAAAAGTCTGGATTCACAACCTTACGTTTATGGGAAAAAAATACCTCTCTGCACTGACAAGACATCGTGCTTACTAATGGGGATTTATTTTTTCTTTCCGCTCAAGGAGTCACAGAAGCCAACAAGCTGACTTATTTCCTTTTTCAAATGCTTTTGAATTATAAAAAAAGAAACATTTTCGGTTAAAAATATTCCTCCTCCTACAAGCAAACCTGCATCTCTTTGGCCCTCTGCTTGCTGCATTCTAGAACATGCACATTCAGGGACGTAACAGAACCTCTGCAGGTGCTAAGCCAAAATTAAAGATGTGCCCTATCTATGGAGGCTAATCAATCCTCATACCTGAAGATTTTTCAAGTGCCATTCCAAAGCATCCTTTTTTAGCTAATATTTTAAGAACTGAATAGTTTTAGACACATATGCATTATGCAAAATTAAGTTCTATAAATTTCCATGTCAGCATTATGTCGTTTTCCCTGGGATTTCCCAAGACAAACATCTGGAAAAGTGGCATATAAATTACCACAGGATGGATTCTTTGCTTCAAAAGCCACTTTTGTTTACAATGTAGAGGATCCTGCCTCAGCACTTTTAACAAATACCTTCAACTTTGACTTTTGTTACAACTACATGTAACTGCTGGCAGCTTTTGAGCTATTAAGTGGGACATTTTATACCCAACTTGACTTCATATGCTTTATAAAGCTTTGCATTTATGTACAAAGATGTCATTTAGTTTTTGCATTTTCTTATTCTAATTGCTCCTTTTATTCCAGGGACAAATATATAATGCACAGAGCCTCTTAAATCTATATTGCAAAAACCTGGAAACAATTTAAAGTAGCAGGAAAGTCCTGAAAGCACAGACAAGAAACGAACTCCAAAAGCATTCAAAGGATCTTTAATCTAGAAAGAATGAATTCCCAATGGGTTTTGATTTTAAGCTTACAAACCCTAAGCAGAGTGAAAGCTATGGCTGGATAGTTTCTTATGTGGGTTAGCAAGGACACTAATAAGATCCTGTCAGAAATAACTGACTATACAGGAGGCAAATACATACATATCTATTTTACATGAATGAATGAATTAGATACTGTATTATTAATCTTGGAGAAACTCCCTTGAAGTTAGCATGGCTTGCACAAGAGCATAGATTCAAGTAAGGGTAAGGCAAGATCCTTTTCTAAAGAGCTTAACATCTCATATCAAAGCAGGACTACAAGTCAACCTCAATGGAAAGGATTGGGAGATTACCAATTAAAATAATTTAGTAAGGGTTACGTAATATGGCAAAGGATATGGGAGTGGAGTTTATTCCCATAGTTTAAGAGAATGTATGTTTATGATATTAGTGAAAGGTCTTTTATATTATGAGGGACTCAGAATAGCTCAAAGCACCTGAATAAAGTAAAAACATAGGCCCAATATATTTAAGGCACAGCTGCAAACACCAGATCTTTTAAAACTAATGAACTGCACATCTGTATAGCCTTCATACATGAAAAAAGTACACAGCCCCACTGAAGCTTTGCGCTGGAGCCAAACTTACCATATGCCTTTTGCAGGTCAGTGGGACAAGAATGTGACAGCGTTTATGGACCAACAACTTGCAGTTGATACACTTGTAGCCTTGCCTTCCGAGACCCCATATCCTTTCACTGCACTGGCCACAGTATGCTCTCTAGGAGGGGGAAAAAAAGTATGAATCATCTTTCAGATACACTCACTTACAGACATCTTCCAGATTAAGGGGGGGGGGGGTTAAAGCATTTTGCACAATGAAAAATTGCTCACAAGTGCAATTTGACAACTTTCTATAGGACTAATAATAGGTTCTCTCATACGTAACTTTCACTGGCTGGAAAGTTAGGGAGCAGATTATTTGTTCAGCAGGAGAAGCAGAGGGAGAGGTGGGAAGGCAGGCCACTCCACTGCCTCTCCTGAGACACCCTTTGGCTCCTTTTCTCACTGAATTGTTTCCGTCCCAGATGGTCCTCTTTAAGAACCTTGTAACTTTAAGAAATGATGCTCAAACCTGCTTTTCTGCTACTCTCCCAATCGATCCATCCCTTTTGTCACATGTTTTCTAGACTTTAGGCCTGAGGGCAGAGATGGTCTAGTTTTTTCTTGAGCTGTGAGTTCCTCTAGGAGCCTTTTTGGCTGAAGAGCAGAATAAACATACTGAAAACAAACAAATAAATCTAGCTCAATACTCTCTACTGTGACTGGCAGCAGCTCTCCAGGGTCACAGGCAGAGCTCCCTCTTTCTTGCATTCTACATTTTAACAGGGATTGAACCTGCAAAAAGCAGAAACTTTACCACTGAGCTATGGCCATTCCTTAGAAGATAGCAAACAGAAGCTTGTGCTGTCAGGTACTTTCTATGGGACACATCACTGAAAATGCTTCTCTTCTGGGGTTAATATTACTTTTGTCAAAGTAAAAACAAACACCTGGCTTGTGCAAAGCTCTCAGGTACAACTATGGAGCTCCGTACATCCAAGCTACTGGCCTGATTTTAGTGACCCACATGTAATACACATGGAAGATTCAAACCAGTCCCCACCAAATGTACATCCTTCAGTGCCCTAATTCATAGTGTACATGCAAAACCATTCACAAATCTACCACCATTACAGAAAGAGGCATTCTGCTGTTATGCCTTCATACAAACACTTCCTTTTTCTTTCATGATGCAAAGGCAAAAGATCAGAATGGGTATTCCATTAGCAAAAGAACAATAAGATAACAATGACTGTGCACTGATTTCAAAAGAGGAAGAGCACAACCTGCTATCATGAAGGGATGAGTAGTTCATTCTAAGCATTGAGAGATGCATTAGATGAAGCTGCAGCATTCAAGAGCCTATTTGCTTGAATTTTTTTTTCAGGTCAGTGGAACAAGTGAATAGCACCCCATTCTTGGGTTTGCAAGATGCTCAATGAAAATTTATGCCTCAGCAGAACTGTATTGATAAACTTAAGAATGTGTGTATTGGCCTTTTAAGGTGGCCAAAGATCTCCCCCTGCCATAGGATTGATTCTCCTCCCCTCAATATTTTTTAGCTGTATCATCTTGGTTTAATTTGTCTGATTAAAAGTTGATAAAGAAGAACTAATACTTCATAAACAAATCACACATAGATGTTACATACACTTGAGCAGCACTGTGAGAAAACAGAGAAAACCCTAACAGAAAGTGGAAGGTTATCAGCCACAGCTGAGGCTCAAAAAAGTGTTATCTTCCTGCACATCAATTGCTATCCAATTCCCAATAGTACTTCAGGAATCAAAGAAATATGATCTGTGCCAAGTTCCGCAAATTAAGAGGGGCATCTTATTAAGGCAAGATATATCAAAAGGGGAAGTATTTGACTTGTGAAATTAGAGAGCATCTCTAAAGAATCTTCCAAATTTGTTAGAAGACCTGGGAATGAGAATAATCCAGTTTACTTTGCTGCCTCTGCCCCAGAAGTGGAAGGACAGTTGCCAAAGAAAAGCCATCTTGTGCAGCCCATATCTAAACAATAAGCATTCCTAAAAGGAACTTGGGGAGAGGTTTTATTTCTAAATGTTTCTTAGCAATAATGATAGGGTTATCCTTCCTTTAAAAAGAGCAGTAGTAGGATTTTCTATCGAAAGTGTTCCAATAACTCCTGCTCTAAGTGTTTTACTTGGAGCCTAATTTTTTTTTTGGGGGGGGGGGAGAATCAAGCCAAGTAGCCTAATTTTTTTTGTTCTTTGCAAAAAATAAAACAGGATTTCCAATAAACATTTTACTGGCAGGCAAATCAATATTTCAGTCAATATGAACCAATGTTATAATTCACCTGCAAAAGGCATTTAAACAAGGTGGGGAAAGCTTATCAACTTCCATTTTCTTCCAATCATATTCTGGAAACAAGATAATCTAAACATGCAGAAAGAAATATAACCACAGAACAGCTGTCATAAGCCTGCTTCAATATGGCTGCATTTGTAACCTTCAATTTCCGGTAAGCCCCAGTTGCTCCATCCAAAAAAATTAGAAAGTATGAACTAGTCCTACTTCTTAAAGAATACACAGGGGCCCAACAAGTGGTCTTAGAAAACCAGACATTGTAGCATTACAGAAGCTTAGCAGGTTTAGCCCTGGCTGGCAACAGAGATGGGAGACCACTGCAAGCCTCATATATGAGTAAGATGTATTTGCATAATAAATTCATTTTTATAACTTAAAGGAAATACATACAACTATCATTCAGTCTGATCACTAACCTCTTCCTTTCCCCCAAAACAAACATTGAAGTTGAGAGTAAAGCACCACAGTGTAGTCAAACTCTACTATAGGGATAGGGAAGATCTATGGAGGATAACTCCACAACACCAACTATTTTTTATGTTGTGCCAACACATTGCCTTGTTTAAAATCCTCCAAATATTCCCAACTACAAAACTTGTTTCTACAAAATCTAAAATGCTCTTAAAAAAACAAAACAAAACCCTCATCATTAGATCTGACATTGCTCACCCTAGAAGGGAATTAATTCAAACTGAAAGTCAATACTTAATCTTGCACCATAACTCAACACAGTAGCCACTGAACCCAACCTGACTTTGCTTGCAAAGTCACACTTATAAATCTAACTCCATTTTCAGCTTTAAAAAACTGTACATCAGACCCGTTGGCTGTGTACACCTTGAACTGGCTTAGCATTAAGAATTTGAATTTGTAAGCCCACCTATATCTGCTTCTCAAATTACAGGGGAAGATATATGGGCATTTAGCAAAATCTATAACCACCATCCTGACTCCTCCTAATTTTAGCCAAAATATATTTCCTGCTGTTCTCGAACAGTAGCTAAAAAAATAAAAGGAGCAAGGACCCCTCTAGCTCTTCTGTAATTAAAACACTCACCCATCACTCCCCTTCACAATGTGATTGGCTTATAAAAAGAGAGTACATAGGATGACCCAGTAACAGCACTCCTGAGTGGAAATGGCCAAGAGTGTGCTACAACAACTGAGAAATGAGACTTGCTCCAGCAAAATGTTTTCTAAAATGAAACAGTGGATTGTCAAGAATTTCAGCTTTGCAAGGGGGGGTGTCACTCTGTGTGGGTAGAAAGGTTCACAATAAACTAAATTTCATTATTTTACAACTTCCTGGGATGAGAATAAAGACCAGCTGACACTTATAGCAGAAAGGAAAATTATACATAATAGGGGGCATTTAAAAAAAGTAACTAAGCTACCTAATATCAAAAGCGTATTACTATTTGTCGCTTTGCACTGAAGAATAAACCCTAATTTTCAGGCCACAGTGACAATCATGGGAACAGAAGCCCCTGACTGAGTAGCCCTGAAAGCAGTTCTGTGCCTTGTTAGACGTTACTATGGCCCAATTCACACATTCAACTTACCATGTGGGCGGCCGCTTGAAATGGAGCTGTGTGGGAGCAACTCTGTAGCAAGCCATGTGTGTGAAAGCAGCTCCCCATGCAGTTCGGGTGATTTCATCCGCACCACTGCAAACTGAAATTGCCCACGCTTTATGGGAAGACGTTTCACACAAATAGCTTGCCACGAGGAGATGCATCCACATGGTTCTATTTCAAGCAGCGTAAACACACACACACACACACACACACACACACACACTATATATCTATATTCAGTTTATGAAAGTTTCTTGCCTGCCCATTTCTTATTAAATGGTACTGCGACAAGAGGAGGGCCTACAGTCTACACAGTAGAATTCACTGCATCTATGCTGGAGAAGAGATGCTTGCTTTTTCCACTTGCTGGACTCCTGCTTAAAGTGTTCACACAAGAAGTCACCCTGAGGAAACTCTAGACCTAACAAAATTTTGTGGAATACAAAGTGACTAGAAGAGGATTGCATTCACAGATGCAGGCTTCCTAACCTCTTCCCCCATACAGGGGGTATACAGTATGACTATTGGCAAACCTGATAAGGACTGATGTGGGTTGGAACCTGGAGGGTCAAAGTTCTTCATCCTTATCCTGTACCTTGATCTTAAACATGTGTACAGGCTAAATCTTTCTGCAATGTAGCTATAATACCATGTTTTGTGCTGCTACTTTAGTTTAACAATGATCTGATAGCATAGCAAATTGTGTAATTTAACCATTAACTGCACCTGTTTTGGTATATTTACTGTAAGGAATAAAGAACATAAAAAGCTATGCATCTGCTTGGGATAAAAGCATCTTTCTTTTACATTCTTGTGGTACATTTGGTTAATTCTGAGCAAGGCCCAAGTCTGTACATTACCCAAATGAGTGAGACCTGCTATTTGTTTTATATTGCGCAATATATGGCACACAGAGTATTAAGCAGAAGTTTTGGCTTTCAGCATGAAATGCACACTTTTACTTGAAGCAGACTCTTTCATATACCTCAAGATTTATTTTGTGTGTGCAGAAGAGGCAGAATTCCCACATGAATGTAGTAGTATGGGGAAATGTATTGGTTAGAATAAAATCAGGGTAGCGTCCAATGTTAGTCCTACTCAGAAAAGAGCCACTGAAGTTAATGATCATGGCTAACAGTTCCAGTAATTTCAGTGAGTCTACTCTGAGTATGCCGTATTTGGATACAACCCTATACCATTTGATTTCTAAGCAAACTTTCAATTAAAAATACTCATATCTGGGATAGGTAAAGGTAACCCTGCCCATTCGGGCCAGTCTTGCCAGACTCTAGGGTTGTGCGCTCATCTCACTCTATAGGCCGGGAGCCAGCGCTGTCCGCAGACACTTCCAGGTCACATGGCCAGCGTGACAAGCTGCATCTGGCGAGCCAGCGCAGCACACGGAACGCCATTTACCTTCCCGCTAGTAAGCGGTCCCTAATTATCTACGTGCACCCGGGGGTGCTTTCGAACTGCTAGGTTGGCAGGCGCTGGGACCGAACGACGGGAGCGCACCCCGCCGCGGGGATTCGAACCGCCGACCATGCGATCGGCAAGTCCCCACCTGCGTCCCCTACATATCTGGGATAGGAGTACTCATACTCATAGGTCTGGAATCCAAATGGCTACCAATATTTGGCATGCATATGGTGGGCTTCTTGACTTTGCTTCTTTTAAACAGTGGACTCTATCCCTACCATATCACAATCTGCTTTTGAAAGCTCCTTTGCTTTCAAAGAAGCCCAAGCCCTTGTATACTGTATGTTCCTCCCCCTTTTAACACTCCCCCCCCCATATCATAAAAAGCAACAAATGTTTTAAAACATCTTTCTACTAGAAAAGAAACTTATTCTAAGGTAAGGACAGAACTGAAATGGATGTACAGAAGGTACTCACAAAGCAGAAGTTTATGTTTGTGTGTGTCTGAAAATTCATAATAGTAGAGTCAGGGGCATTAGCCTTTACGTGACTATTTTTAACTAGGCCTCCATTTAGCATCAGGGAACACTGGTACTATTCACAAGCTTTTAAAACTTTGCGTACCATTCAGGTTGAGCTTTGTGCTTTATGTGCCACATTAAAAACTGTTGATCCCAAAATTCTGGTTTAATTGTCCCCTAAAACCTCTTAATATTCAAATTAAGAGTGCACTGGCATATGACAGCCCCACATTAATCTGTGAATCATATCACTTAGATATTAAGACCATAATCAGGAAATATTTTGCTCACCGCTTATTAGGGGTTCATGTATACATACATATGTAGATAAGTGTGTGTGTGTGTGTGTGTGTGTGTGTGTGTGTAGCCATTAAAGAACTCTCCACCTTTCCCACAAGGCAGCAATAGTCAGACAATCCTTATAATTAACCTAAAATCCAACACTCCCCTGCTCATACATTTTTCACAAAACTTCAGAAGACTGTATTATGTAGAGAATACATGCTGCAGCATAATGGGCTGGGTTAAGGAAGGAGGGGTCTCTGGATTCCTTTGCTTTTATAGATGAAGTCAGACCCTTAACACGGCTGTGTCTTTAGTACACGCAGTAGAGTTTGCAGCTCAGTAGATAAAAATATTTGTGGTTTCGTTAATTAGGTCATATCCATTTAGCTCCTCTGCATTTTAAGAGAATTCTAAGCATCTTAACGCTAATCTACACACAATAGGAAAAAGGAAGCGGTGAAAGACAATAAATAGGCTTAGGGGGAGTATTCACGATGCAGACTGGCTGGAAAGGCAGCATGAAAAATATTTATTTGGACACAGACACACACAAAAGGCAAGTTTTCAAACGCATAGAGGAGAAATTAATCCTACATTACTGTCCCCACAATGAATTCAAAGACCTTTTATTCAGTAATATTGCATAAACTGAATTGAGATGAACCAAATCTCTGCCTATTCTTCCCCAGTATAGGAAGCTTCCAGTAGGAAAGGATAATAATTCACAGCACCTCACACAGATGTACAATACACACACCACTCCCGAGGCTTTTTTTTTTTTTTTAAGCAACAGTACTCACTCTGTTAAAGCGTTTGGCTTGGAACAGATGCCCATTCACTCTGTACAGCTTCCTCCATCTTCTGGCTCCACGTCGGTAGATTGATTCTAAGAAGGAAATTAAAAAGGTGTAAAGCAGGAGCATAGTAATACCACACGCACTCTACATCGAGCAAGTTGCGCCTTAATCTTGCTTTCCTGAACATCCACGCACAGCTAAATATTGCTGGTAACACAATCTGCTGTCAAAAAGCATCTGGAGGAGATGCTTCCCCCCACCCAGCCTCTCCCATTCCTCCATCCCCCCCTCTTGCTGTTTCCCCTCACATGATTATAATCTTGTTACAGTTCTGTGACTGCTTGCTGCTTCAAGCTCAGGTGAGATGGAGAGAGATAACTGGGTTAAAGAAACAGCATTCCTTGCTAACCCTCATCATGGCAGTCTTGCTGTACCAGCTTTTCATGAAAACATCAAGGATACAAGTTAGCTTAAAAGGATAGTGCAAGAAGTACACCAAACCATACAAATCTTTGAACAGTTATGATTCCCATTTTCCCTGTGCTAGAAGATGATGTCACTATTTGATCTTCCTTTTTAAAAAAAATAAAGAGGGAACAATTCAAATGTTTTCTCAGTTGTACAGTAATTTTAAAAATACAGAACCAGGACAAAGGAACCTTAGGGACATGAGGACCACTCAGATAGATACCGTGGCAAGTTAGATTTTTGCATCACCTGCGCTTTCCAGGATGAAATTGGATTGATAGTCATAACTCATCTTCACAACAATTGTGATGCAAGTCACTATTACTGGCATTTTATAGAGAGGGAACAGAGTCTGACAGGTAAGGATTTGCCCAAGGCCATTCAGATCAGAGTCCAGAACACACTACCCAATGGACTATATATTGCCTTTCACACAGGATTACGAGCAGACATGAGGAACATGATGTGGCTCCTTAAGGGGTGATATAAACAGAGTAAATAAATGTCTAGATTCACAATTACCACCCCAGAGGTAAGGTGGAGTAGAGGCGATGGCAGCTGTAAGCAGTAGGACTCGCTAGCAGTCCACACTGGGGGAAAGGAAAGATGTACTGCTCTACTCATACCCCACAAACAGCAGTCTATAATAACTAGTTACAATTTCCCAAAAGGAAGCAGAGGAGAAGAGGCCAGGTGTACAAAGTTGTTGCTAGTGAATTGGCTAGGTAGCAGGATGTGGCAAAAGTGAAACTCATTAGTCACACTCCTTACTTTTAAAATTAAAAGTTGCTCCTGGGAAAGCCATGTTGTTGGGAGCTACAGTAGGAACTGAATTGTGCCCTAATACAGACACAATTACATCTTATTTAATAATTTTCAGGTTACAAATTTTAAGAAGTCCGCTCAATGCTTTCCTTAAAAAAAAATGTACATACGAGTTCTTGGACTTTCTCAGAGAACGCTGAATATTTTTTTCATCTATTTACGAGGGCGGTCTTCAAATATCCTGACATAATAAACTACAACCTCTGAGATGAGATTTGTGCTGACAGAACTTATTTGGGATCACAGCCACTCTAGCCAAACTGATATGAAGAGACAATCTGAAGAATTCAGTACTTTAAAAAAAAAAGTGTTTTCTGCTTTATTTTGCTATCAAAATATGCACGAAAGCTATTTTCACCACTAATGAAAGACCTATAGCTTTCCTAACGCAGAAACTGTTTTCTGAACAAGTTTACTTAGACTTGGCTGTGTAGCAGTTTTAGTTAGGTTATGGCTAATTCAGAACCAATTTCTACTCCCTGAAGAATGAAAAGTAAAAAGTTGAGATAAAAACCAGATTTAAAAGAGATAACAGAATGAGCAACTGAGTACCACAGAAAGTGCCATTTTCTTGTTTTAGAAACCTGTCCTACAGTGCTAATACATGTCAAGATTTGAAGAACTACTTTTATATGGAATTTTTGGATTTTTCCTTGAACAGGACCCCTTCAACTATGTAATCTAACAATAGAGTTTGAGTCTGTTCCGTTTTAAGAACAGTTTTTCATAGTGCATAAGAGTTGCCATTTGAAATACAATAGTCCAAAGCAGCGTCTTGGGTCTTTTGGGTCCTGGTTAAGAATGTTAATGTAGGCGGCTGAAACAAGGTACTGTCTTTGAAAAGTAGCACTCATCATGCTCTGCTTTCTCTGAAGGGGTGGAAAAAATGATTTATTTTAAATAAACACAGCCCTTCAGTCTACAAAACTCCTATGGTAGCTAACAGATTAACTAAAAATCAAAGATCATCAATACATTCAATGTGTAAAAACAGATCAGCAGCAAAGACATTACTACCCAGAAAACCAATGGATGAAATTTCCTTTCTTTTAACTTGAAACCATTGCTCCTAGCCTCCGGAGCTGGAGAAAACAAGCTTGCTCCATCTTCTATGTTTTTGAGAAACGCATGCTGGGTCTTAGTAATCACAGCAACCTTATCTAAGTGCTTGTAGACCGATTGTTTACTTATCTGTTTGATGACATTTCCTAGAATCAATGTCATGATAACCGGATGGTAGTTACCTGGGTCTTCTTTCCCCCACTTTTTCTTTGCAAGAAATGGATCTTTCAGAATGGCGGCACCTATTACCAGGAATTGCCCGCCCACTAATATTAGGCAGTTTTAAAAACTGTTTTGTTTAGAAAAGTGTACCCAGCCATGTAATTCTACTATGTATTTTTTTTTAAATAATTGCTGATATGGCATATATGTTGATAAACTAGGTTTACTAGCTTTTAATATTTAATTGTATCGGTATTTTTATGAACATTTTATATTCTATGTAAACTACTTAGATTATTGATAAAGTGGTGTATATATTCTGTTATATAAATAAACGCCTGTGGAGAGTAGAAACAGAAGCAAAAGTGAGTGAAGTAACAACAGCACATTTTACCTTTGTACAGTAGGCTAGTTTTTACTCTCACACACGTCTCTTTCTATGCTCCACCCAGGCTAGCAGAAGGCATGATCAGAGCTCAAGGACACATTATCGCCAAGCAAAAGTACTTGAGAAGTGAGTGAGGCAAAGCTGGTGAGATGGATGTAGCCTGGGGATTGAGTGAGTGATTGTGTGGTGTGTGTGTGTGTGTGTGTGTGTGAGAGAGAGAGAGAGAGAGAGAGAGAGAGAGAGAGAGAGTGTAAGTAGGGAGGAAGTGTGAGAAGAGTCCTCAAGGCCAGACAGAGAGTTTTAGAGGGCTACATTTGGCTCCCAGGTCTGAGTTTCCACACCCCTACTCTAGCAGCCTCCAAGTTAAGATTGATGCAAGTGACTGTTCTGAAAGTACTTAGCAAAACAAGTCTCATTAGGCCTGTTTTGCCCAAGAGTCATACTGCATGAATTTTGTCCAATACTCATTACCCACAGAAATTTTATTTTGGCCTGAAAACACCAGATCCTGCCCATTCATTACACGGTATTCCCTTTGAAGAAATCTCCCCTTTCTGCATCCAAGCCTAGTTTGTCTTGACCAGTCAGAAACTGAAGGCCTTAAGAAAAACAAACCTTGATGTGAGCTTTTATTTCAACATCTATTAGTAGAATATTCATAAAGAATTGTAGTAGTTTCTATAAGAACTGTATGCCCAAGGTTTGAAATAATACATTTGAAACCAACTATGTGACACACATGAATGCTGCAGTGTGGAACTAGTATTCCTAAAAACAAAATAGGTAACTAGTATTACACACACAAGCAGAACACAAAACTCCAAGTATGTATGAGACAATGCTTAGAAGCAATGCTTTATAATTCGGGGATATAATTCCTAGCCCCTCTAGAACGGCAATAAGGAAAGTCTTGGCGTGAAGAAACGCCTGTCCTTTCCTGCACCCTCTTCTACAAAAATTTCCTCCTTAAGAGATGGGAACAGTACGAGACTCCACCCTCCAGGCTGGCAGGCAGGTGTCCTGAACAAGAGCACTCCTCTGAGGAGGTAGGAATGCCCTACAAATTTTTGTAGGAGACCCCAATAATTCAGTTCCAAAATACTACATTTGTTTTAGTAACACACCAGGGGACTCAGGACAAAGATAAAGTGACAACTATGGCAGCTTCTGGAGTGCTCCTACCTAAATTAAATGAGGCACATATGAAGATCTGGAGGGTTTTGATTTTGACAGAGCCTCCTTAAATGGAATAATCCTGTAGCAATTCTTAAACAAAACTTAAAATGTAGTCAGAACCAACTAAACACTTATGTAAATGTCCTTTAAAAGGCAGCATCTCTTGAATTACCTCAGAGCTGGGAATAAAATGTGCAGTGTTTCAAAGCCCTTAAAACACATTAGGACTACAAGTCTTAATTAGTATAACGAACATTGAAAAGAAGTTTCAAACAATATTTTTTTTTAAAAAAACACCAATGCATTTAAGAGAGACCAAGGCAAACAAAATGTCTATTTCAAGGCCACTGAAGATCCCCTCCCCCAGCAGCTCAACGCAATTCACAGCAGAAATACCAGTGCTCATAACAAAAATGTCCTTGAGGCAGGGACTCTTAAGTGCAAATATCTTCAAACTCAAGATTTTAAACAGAGTTGACAGAATTCTGGCATTGGTTGGAGAGATTGCTAATTCCAATAAAGGACTTCAAGCAAATGCTTAAAGCAGCATGCAGAATTCAAATGCTTTCAAATCCTGTCGAAAACTAGAGAACTAACAACTAAAGAAAAAAATCTTCAGAGTTCAGATTTGGGGGAGTGGTTAACTTTATTGGGGGGGGGGGAGGATTTTATACAACTTTCCAGCCCGAACAAAGGTCTCCAGAGAACAAACTGCCGAGTAACAAAAATCAAAACTAAAACAAAACCAAAAGGATCAGTGTTCAATCATACTTTAAAACCACAAAAAGCTGTAAGAATGTTAACACTGCCCGTCTAAATGTAAATAATGGGACTATTTCCCCCTCCTTTGGAAGTGAAGGGTGCTGCCACCAAAAAGGCCGTTATGCTATATTTTCTTTTAAGTTGGCATAATGCAACATAATAGTCAAAATAATTAACTAAGCGTCTCTGGCTTAGCTTGGCCATCAATTCTGGGTGGTCTTTGGAAAGATACCACTTTGGCACTGGCTTCCATTTGCAATAGGGGAATAAATACTGGTCCAGCTTACAAGGCTGTTTTAAGAACCACAGAGACAAGCTATGCAAAGTGATTTGAAGAAATGAGGTAGAGCAAGAACTACCAAGGATTGCTGATGGATACTTCAAGAAGTGCATCGGACCTAGTCCACAACTTTAAACAACACTGTGGGAGAATCATTCAATCAGTACCCTCACCAACGGACAGGGATGAAGAAACAAGACACTGTTGGACTCAAACTCCCATCAGCCCCAGCTAGTATGACCAATGGTCAGGGATGACAAAAACTGTAGTCCAACGATGTCTGGTGGGGGAGCTGTTAAGAACATAATAACTTAATGACAGCCGGCTGGATCAGGTCAAAGATGTGTCTAGTCCAGCTTCCTGTTCTCACATTGGCCAACCAGAGATATCTGTGGGAAACTAGGGAACAGAACAACTGGTATTCACAAACATTACTGCCTCTACCAGTGGAAGTAGAGCATAGCCATCATGGCTAGTAACAACTGATAGCCCTCTCCTCCATTAATTTGTCTAATCCTCTTTTAAAGCCATCCAAGCTGGTGGCCATCACTGCCTCCTAGGGGAGCGAGTTCCATAGTTTGGCTATGCTATGTACTGCATGGCAAAGTATTTTCTTTTATCAGTCCTAAATCTTCCAACATTCAGCTTCTCTGGATGTTTCCAGGTTCCAGTACAGTGGTACCTCAGGTTAAGAACTGAATTCGTTCTGCAGGTCTGTTCTTAACCTGAGACTGTTCTTAACCTGAAGCACCACTTTAGCTAATGGGGCCTCCCGCTGCTGACGCACAATTTCTGTTCTCATCCTGAAGCAAAGTTCTTAACCCGAGGTAATATTTCTGGGTTAGCGGAGTCTGTAATCTGAAGCGTATGTAACCCGAGGTACCACTGTATTACGAGAGAGAGAAACCTTTCTCTGCCCACTTTCCCCATGCTATGCATAATTTTATAAACTTGTATCATGTCACCTATCAGTCACCTTTTCTCTAAACTAAAAAGTCTCAAACACTGCAACCTTTCTTCATAGGGACGTCACTCCATCCCCTTGATCATTTTGGTGGCCCTTTTCTAAACATTTTCCAACTCTACAATATCCTGTTTGAGGTGTGGTGACCAGAACGGTACACAGTACTCCAAATGTGGTCACACCATAGATTTGCATAACAGTATTATGATATTGGCTGGTTTATTTTCAATTCCTTTGAAAATAATTTGCCCTTTTCGAGGCTGCCACACACTGGGTTAACACCTTCATTGAGCTATCTAATGTGACCTCAATGTCTTGCCCAGACAAACCACAACTGTAATCATGGTTTGTTCTTCGGTTTACAACTTATGATTTGTCAAAAAGAGGCAAACCATGAGCTGGGACTCAAACACTACACTACACTAAGACAAACCATGGCTTAGCTCACAATAGCAGGACTGGAGGAGGTGTGCAGCGGTCAAAGTCTTCTTTCCAAGAACCAGCACATTTGTACTAAGCCATGGTTTGGCACAGTATTACATGCCAACTAGCTCATGGTTTTTGGGGTGAAGTTTTGACCTATCAACCTGCTAAGTTTTAATTTTCCTGGAACTGAGTTTCAACTTCTTCCATCAGCTGCTTAATGTTGGTATTTATTATTAATCATATTTTATTTCTATTTTAAGTATATTATTGTGTTGTAAATTGCCTTTGTGTTTTCAGAAGGACCTTGAAGAACTACTTACTTTCACTGGCTTATTTATGAGTGATTCTTTATGCTGCTATCAAGTTCCTTTGGGGAGGGGCTGTGTTTTATCTCTGGGCTGGATGTTTATTTATTATTTCTGGCTTTATTTAATAAATTGATACCCTTCTCTCCCCCAAATATTTCAAAGTCTTACAGAAAAAAATGACCCAGACACACTAAAAAGTTAACAATACCATTAAAAGTGTTTTCAGGGGGGTTTTTTTAGGGGGGGAATAAAGTATTAGGATTACAACCAGTCCATGACCCACTTCACCATCCAGAATAATTTGATCATTGTTAACTTGGTGCAGCTTGCACTTTCTTTTACTCCAGGCCCAGTGAATTAAAATGAAATGCAAGTTTTTAATCTGTTACATGGGTTTTGTGCTCAGCCCTCCACAATTATCTTTCAGACAGTTCTTCATGCCCTAAATGGCAAATTGGAGACTCGTCAGAGATTTTTTAAACATACTGAGCGATGGGTGTGTGTTTTTGGCACCTTGCAGCATCCATTTTTCCAACCAAACTGCCCACAAGCTTTTCATATCTGCTATTGGTGTGGTCTTTGAATTTAGATTTTTATTTGAATTCAGTGCATTTTTAGTATCCTTTTATTATTGGAGAATTCCAGGAACTACCAGAAGCCCTTGAAGAACCTGCACTAGGCCGTCTGAATCAGGACTGCTTAGATGTGATATCTTTGCTTCTGGTGAGTAATAAGAGTGCTTAATTATGAGCCACAGTTCAGATGACACAATAAGCTGGGCCTTGGCTAAGCACAGCTCGGGCAAAAAGGGCAGCAGAGAATGGGACAGGATGGAACAAAGCAAAGCTGCTCCAAGCACCTCTTTGAGAGTATGTGTACCTGTGAAGTTAGCTATAGTATAGTTCACAGTGTCATACAAACTGTTGAAAGTGTGGGAATGCAACTCAGCTTGTATTAAGGTAGGTGGGTTTGCATGGGGTTAAAGCAGATAGAAAAGGGGACCTCCAGCATTCCAAAACTGTCTCACTTCCACCTCTGTGCTGTACTCTCCTGCATTCCTAGATGGATATGCCAGATGGGGTTCATCAACCTGAGAAGGGAGCTCATCTAGGAGAAGGAAAAGGCTAAAGATTAAACCCAACACGAATCCAGAGTGGAGTCCCTAAAACAGTTGGATGGCGCCTTGTATGCCCTCCTTCTGGCAACTCCAGCAGCCAAGCTGGTGCCAAACATATTGCTCTGCTTTCCTTTGGACCTCATTTGTGAGGCTGAAAGTGGTGTCTTGTCGTCCGCCCAGGTCTGTGCCCTGGAGAGGTCGTTTCAGTGCAACTAATGCAGTGGTCTGACTTCACCACAGAGGCACAATTCATTGTCTCTTGAAATGGACACATAACGACACCCCCCCACACACACAAATGCCGGTTTTTCATCTCTTCTTCCTCCTATAATAGCTTTCTCCTCTTATTCCCTTCTATCTATCTATCTATCTATCTATCTATCTATCTATCTATATCTATCACCAATTTATCTCCTTATGGCATAGGGCCTTCTTGGTAGTGGTGCCTGCCCTGTGGAACTCCCTCCCATCAGATGTCAAAGGAATAAACAACTATCTGACTTTTAGAATACATCTGAAGACAGCCCTGTTTAGGGAAATTTTTGATGTTTTGTTGTGCTTTTAATTGTGTTGGGAGCTGCCCAGAGTGGCTGCAGAAACCCAACCAGATGGGTGAGGTATAAATAAATAAATTATTATTATTATTATTATTATTATTATTATTATTCTTCCCTCAACACTTCCTCTGGCCTCTTTCCCCTAGAAAAAGAAAACCTCCCTTAACCTACCCCAACTTCTTGGCCTCCCTGCCATCTTCACTTAGCACAGCTGGGAACAGACAGACAAGTAAGGGGCTGGGCAGGCTGTGGCAATAAGCCCCCTCCCCGAAAGTGGCCTGATATCCGCTGGTGGTCCCCAGCACACAGCTTAAAAAATGATGGACTTATACATTACTTGACCATGTACATAAACCTTAGAATTCCCAAGCAAAAGTACTATTGCCTGTACTTCAGCATATTGTAAGCCCGCAATCTGAAAGTAAAACTCCTGTCAAAAGCTGAACTTAATTCTCTTGTGTTCATCCTGCATAGGACACACAGCTGTTTTATTTCATATAATGTTCCAATTAATTTACTTCGAAGCACTTAGTCTTAAAAAACAAGATCACTCAATACAGCTGTTTAGTACTCACACACAGTCTAGAAACAAGCCTGTATTAGTCACAAGGGGTGAGGAAAATTAAATACATTCTGGTCTCTAAACAGCAGAGTAGGCTTAAACTAGTTATAAAAACATACTTTTCAGGGACTCTGGGGTTTGAAACAGGAACCTGAAGCTGAGACCTGCTACCTAGGATTGAAAAATAGTCTGCAATATCAATACCTGTAACTAGCAAGCACCATGATGCCTCTAAATATTAGGACCATGGCCTTCTGCTCTTCCCTGCTCAACAGAGCAATGTCCTCTGCCTGTTGAATTTCTGCTTTTCCATACTTCCAGCTCTAGCAGTCGACACAGGGAAAACTTGAACTAAATAATATATTCCTCCAAGGTTGGATTCTGTTGGAGTTGCTTAAGGCCCCTGTCTGGCTCTGTAAATTGATAAATGCATTTCTCACTGCAAGGTGGGACTTTAGAGGAGAAGTAATATGTAATGGGAGCAACTGAATGTTTTACAAGCTGCTTCATGAGAGAGAATCTCTGTTTTCTTTTGAGAGATAGAGAGAAAGAAAGCTATCTAACCCTTCTAAACCACTGTAGCAGCAAGCAGACATGGATGCTCTTCTCATCAGGATCAAGGCAAGTTTGGATTAAAAAGAGTGGGTTGCAAATACAGACACAGTGGTTGGAGCAATTGAATATTTTACCAGATAGCTAAGATGTTAAACTACAGACAATCTTAGTTTTAATTAAAATTGCCCCTTGGTGACGCTCAACATAATAAAGTTCTTCTCAAAGAAAAATGACCAATTGTGATGTTTAGTGATTTCTTAGAGGAGAAAAAATGCAACACAGAAAGGGATGAAACACTGGGAAGCTGAGAATGAAAAGGACAGCAAGAGGCCAAGACCTACTGAAGTTAATGTCCATGACTAACTAAAGTTCATTAAATGTAAATGGTCTACTCTGAGTAGGACTTTGTTGAATACAACCACGTGCATCTTGTAAGGCTTAAACAAGCTTCTAACTGTTGTTGGTTTTTTGTGAGGGTTTTTCTGAAAGAAGAAACTTACTTATCCTGGAGAAGCTTAGCTTTTCATAAAATTAAGTCTGCATGAACATCAAAACATTTACTGGATCACAATTCTACATAGATTGGCAACAAACACTAGGGCCCCCAAATGTATATATGGTTATCCCCCAAAGCAGGCAGCAGAACTAATAAAGCTAAGCAATCTTAATTTGATCTCTAGTAACACCCAGCTAAAATTAAGTTTTCCTTAAGGAAAAAAAATGTATACCAGCAGTGATATACTGGATTGGATCTGAAATCAGGTCACAAAGAAATCAAGTTAGTCATGACTTAAGTTCCACTGATCTCAATGGGAATGAAGTTCAACTTAGCCAGGATCCAATCTGCAATACTTTGCTTTTACATTTACATTTAAGCAATCTGCCATTCCTCCTCCAAAAAAAGAATGCAGAAAGCAGAGTTCTGCCAGTAAAACATCCAATGAATACAGTACTTTGGTGTTGAAATTGACTGAGACCAGTGACATATGATTATAAGGTTGTATCCAACCACACACCCTGCCAAGCAAATGCTTGAATAGTCTCTTTTTGAAGAAATGACGGGATTTAAATATAATCTTTAAAATGCTGATGTCACTTAAATCTAAGTGTAGGGCAACAGGTGGTAGGTGGCCACTGATGAGCTAAAGCAATTTGATAGCTTTTCTTATGAATTTCCTTTTAGAGAATAGGTCAACAAGTCCTCTACTGTTGCGTGCATTATTACAACAACATGATTTCAGACAAATTATCCTGAAACTATGTGAGAAGCTTTTTTCACACTACAGGAAATTCAGCTCTGACTACCCTCTCCTGGTAAATTCAATAACTGCATCATTTAAAAGGCATTACTGAAAAATCTTTCAGAAAAGATTATACCACCAAGTGTAGTGTTGCAGGTGTGTTAAAAATACACAGAATTGGGGGGTGGAGGTGAGCCTGAGGTGCACAAAGCTGCAAGAAATATGAAACCAGATACTGCAAAGCTTTTGCTGCTCTTTCACACCATACTATCATATCCATCACCTCTCTGCTCTTTTAGAGCATCTGCACTTAAGCCTGCTGCCAACTGTTTGAATGCAACTCTTTAAAAACTTTGATATTTTGTTTATGAATTATTATAGTGTTCCTACTCTTCTGGGGAACTTATTTCTCACTTCATATTAAGTGCTCCTTCGTCTGTTCTGTGGTGTCAATATGAGGTCTATGTCTGGCTGAAGGAAAGGGGGAAGGTAAAGACTAGGTAAAGACACCTATTTGAAGAGTCACAGAAAACAGAGTGCATAACACAGGTGGATGGTTATGCCAGGTGAGAAAATGTGGCAGACATTTGTGACCACAACTGGATTATCCACCTGTCTGTGGGATGGGGCGCATTGTAACCAGTATGATGCTGACACACAGCTCTCTCTTGCTCTGTCATTTGAAGCATCAAGTAACCCCAGTGGCAACGAGTGCATATTTCCAGCTCAGACAGAAATACCATGGCCACAATAGCCCATGTTCTGGTAACCTTCCAGTTGAGGCTACAGAAATGCACAGTACATGGGGCTGCCTTTGAATATGGTCTAGAGATTGCAGCTGCTTTCAGCCAGAGAACTGACAAGTTCAGCTGCTCAGAACCAATTTGAAAAAAGGTTTGCTTTGGCTGCCTGTATTTTACTGAGCCAAATTCAAGGTTTTAGTGTTGGCAAATAAAGCCCTGAATGACTTATGACATAACTAATTGAAGGAGAGGCTCTAGTTGAATTGTCCTGGTTGTGATTTAAGATCTACAGCGGACATTCTTGTCATTTCATCACTGAGTAATGCCAAAGAGTTCTTGTCAGCCTTTGATATTATCAACTATGGTATCCTCCAGGGGCACTGTTTTATAGTGGTTCCAATCCTACTTTCAGGACCAAGTCCAGAGAGGATCATTGGAAAAGTGTATTTTGGCCCCCTGGTGGGTATGTTAGTCCTCCGTGGTACCCCCTATCTTATCCCCAGTGCAATTTGATATCTACATAAAGCCACTGAGCAGTCATTTGGAGTTTCAGGGTGAGGTACCACTCATCTCTCTTTCTACATAACATTTCTACATAACATTTTAATTAAGATACAAATATAATACCCAATGGGTCATTTTGTTAAAGTAATTTTCACCCCTTTGAACAGCATTACTGATGCCTATCACCAGCTGCTCATGACATTTTTTTCCTACAGAACTGGTTTCTCAAACATTTGCACGGTGAGTATTGCATGAAACCTGTCCTTGGAAACTAGCTGTAGATTAATGGCCAACACCTTAAAATGAGGAGAAGGAAGCAAGTATTTTAGTATTACAATTTATACTGAATGAATAGATGATACATTTGAAGTCCCCCATCCATAGTTAAGAGCTTTGTACTCTATGCAGAAGAGCCTATTCTTTCTTGCAAGTTTACAAGTTCAAAGAACGGAATGAGGCTTATTTATCAAGCTAAGCAATGGAACTTTAAAAGTTAAGCTATAATAGAATAAGGTTGCCTTTACAAAAATGTATTTTTTTAACTAATAGTCTCTTGTATTGCATGGCTTTCAAAGTAGCAATTGAATTACGATCATCAATCAAGTTTCTCTGTGTAATGAATATGAATGCAAAGCTGTTGTTAAAGGGATAAATTCTAACGCAGGCTTACAGTATTGAATGGAATAGAATAATTAATGTAGGAGTTGTCATTGCTTTCCATAGTGTAAGAGTTTGTTTACCAGCAAGTACAACTAATTATATAAGACGCCTGCCAGCTGTACTGTTTGAAAATGTCCTTCTGCCTAAAAACAGCTTTGCTAAAGAACAAGTGAGGGTTCTTTGTAAACTCTTGTGGATTATACAAGAAAAATGGTCATTTCCACAAAAAAGGAAAAACTCTTTTACTAAAGAATAAATGATAATGGATCAAGATTATTTGCATGAAGGGATCAGTCTATATTTGGCCATACCTGTTTTGCATAAATCCATTCCCTTTAAAAAAACAACAATGTGCAAACATTTGCATTTAAATTGTGTGCATTTATCCTAATATGGATTTTGTACACATTTTCCTTTGTGTCTCCTCCTAAAATACATACTTTCATAAACCATTTTCCCTCACACATACATTTCTCGACTTTTATTTTTCAGCCTGAACTGCATCATAAAATTCAGAAATGTATGCTGTTCAAAGAATTACCATAACTGTGCTCTCTGATCTGTGTATTAGCCCAGGAGGTACAAATTAGTTACTTCAGGTAAAAATGAAATTCTCCTCCATCCCTATTATAGCAACCATCACCAGAGCAGAGGGCTCTACTAGCTGCCATTCACCATTCAGGTCAGAAAATGTTCTACCCTGTTCTTAACCAACACCTGGAATTAAAGACTGGCTCCACCTCCCTCTGCAGCACCTCAAAAGGGTTTACTGTGGTGCTGGTGCTGCTAATGGAGGTTTTTGAATTTTGCGTTTTATTATGACACTGTTTACTTTAGAGAATTTTTTAAAATGGAGTTATTATAGATAGTGATTGCTGATGTAGGTATTTATATTTTCCTTTCCTTTTTTGTCATGCTCTGTTGAGTGTCATGTATTCAGAAAAGTGGTATATAAAGTGAATTTGACTATGTAGGTGGCTGTGCAGTACTCAAAATTCTGCTTTAGAATGGTGCTTCAAGCACGCATTGCAATTTAAGGTTAAGTAAAATAAAACCACCCAACAGTGCTCACTGCAGCTGCCTACGGCATGACTGGTAGCACAGAATTACAGCCATGAAAAGGTATTACATATACATGCAACAGAACCAGCCAAGAAAGGCACCATACATATAGCAAACTGTTGCCTCTAAAATGTTCATATATACATCACATTCTTTTTTCTAAGACAGTTTTGGTTTTATTTCAAAAACCACAACATGAAATAATGAATTTTAGCAATGTCTTTATACTCCTTAAGTATTTTATAAACCAAATATTTATGTCAGGGCTTGGTCAAATGCAAGGACATTATGTAACAGCAGACATGGGGAACTCATGGTCCTCCAGATGTTGTTGGAATCCAACTCCCCTAAGCCCTGGCAAGCATGGCCAATTGTTAGGGATGATGGAAGCAGGAATCCATCAACATCTAAAGGACCACAGGTTCCCCATTCAAGGATTAGGTGTTTCAAGCAAGTCTGGACAGTACAACTACTGAGTTCAATTACGTGATACTTGGGGATCAATTTAACTATAATTTTAGACTGCAGATGCTCAAGTGGCACTTAACATAAATAGATCTTCACAAACCTTCTCCTAGTGTCAGAACTTAAAATATCCACCCAACATCCTTTATCAGCTACCTTCCATCCATCCACCAGACAAAAATAAACAATTGCATTATTCTTGAAGGAGCTTTATCTATATGGTAGTTACTCTCAGCAGTTAACATACTTTGCAATCATTACAACATAACATTGTCATCCAAACTGCTACGTTACAGCCAAGTGAAGAAACAAAGCATGCTAATTATGACATTCAATTAGCATGAGTTCTTGCCAAAACTATACTCAGGCTTTAGTTGATTAATGCAACCTAAAAGGCTTCTGGGGTGAGGAGGGAGGAAATAGATGGTGTCTTGGCAAGAGATGCTTAAGTGACCAAGCCAGAGTGAAGAGCAAAATGAGGACCAAGAACTAGTCACATTCTCAAAGGAGCCTTGTGTAGTAGCAACACAGAGAAGCAGAATACCACAGTGAAAACACAACGCGGGTGCTTACATGCACTGTGTCACGACTGCCCCTCTGCGGGTCTGTGTGCCACCTCTTGGAGGAGCCAGCCAGTTCAGCAAGGAAAAAGGTTTGGGACACTTCTGAGCAAGCTCTAAGGCTGAAACGCTGCAGATTTCCTTGTGCATAAACCCAAGTTGGACTTACTACCAAAACTGCCCTGATCTAGTAAGCAAATTCTTTCTTCAGAAGCATTGGTTGTGAAAATTAGTGAAAATTAATGCAAAGATAATCAATCACAATATTAAAGTATTTTTAAAAAACCTGGACAGGACCCCTAAATACTATAAACAGGGAACATTTCTGGTCCACAGCTGCAATTTTTGGCCAACATTGTCTGCCGGGCTCCCCAGTACTTGCCACAGCAACTTCTCACTCAGCTGTCCCTTCCTGCTATGCTTTCTTTCACCTGCCCTTCCTGTTGCCTTCCCCTCTATAAATTGTTGGTTGCTCTTGGCAAAGAGTGACTAACAGAAACTTCACAATGTTTAGCTAGATTTCTTCAAGTTTTGCATGCCAAATTCCGCATTTAAACCAATACCCCAACCATTTACTGGCTTATCACAGTCCTTTTCCTGACCACTGTGTATTCCTCTAATTATGTTGTGGAGTGCCATTTCAACATGTTTGCAGTGTATTGGGGGGGGGGATGCATTGATACATTTTAAACAGGGCAGCCATAAACTCAACAGCTAATAAATACGGTAGCTTTATTAACTCTTCCATGACAAATGTGATAAAACCGATTGTTACTGTGCTCCAGTCCACTTCCAGCAGTGGTAATCCTGTTACCACGACCTTTGGTTTATTTATTTATTTAAAGGAAATGTAGAAAGAATTTCCAACACACTGGCACTTCAGAATGTCTTCTAAACAATGCAGTGTTTAATCAAATGCTCTCACACTGCCAGTGAGTTTATGAACAAATAGGCAACTCATCATGCATGTCTGCTACAACTCACTGCATATAGCCTTGTATCTCCACACTATGTACACGCATCACCTCGCTTGCCTCCCAAAAAACTGCACTGTAATTTATCTTTAAAATGCATTCTTTGGGGGCAGGCAGGATGTTTTGCTTGCACAGAAACAATAAAGGATGGCAATTTTGAAAGCTCTAGACAACTCAGAAGAGAGCCCATATTCAAATCACTGCTGAGCCAAAACAGTGGCTGCAGTGGTAGCTGTTTCATGAATATTTTAATCATCACCACCCATCAAATTGAAATATGTCTTCTCCTTGTGTGCTTTTCACACCCTTTTGTAAAAGGCTACAAAACTGTTCACAGGCAAGCGTCTGAGCGGCACAGGGGAGAACTGAGTTCAAATCGCCAACCAGTCAAGACAAATGTACAAATGCTGTATCTGAATGCACTTCCACACCCAACCATGCACGTTTAGCAATGTGGAGCTTTCAACATTGGGCCACTGGCAGCAGAGGGACTCATGAGCAGCGGCTGTTTTCCCCACAATATACTGCCAGGTGAAGCCACCATCACACTCTGCCCTTCATACCACAGATGGAGGAGCAAGCTGTATCGCTGGGCTGATACAGCTTTTTTAAACTGCTCCCGCACCGCAGCTGAGCGAGCCCCAATGTCCCTCCTGCACGGCTCCATGCCTCTCTGGCTCATGCACGAGGCATCAGAGCTTGCTCATCTGCGGGGCAGGAGCAGTTTAAAGAAGCTGAGGGAGGAATAAGCTGCATCAGCCCAGCGATACAGCTTGCTCCTCCATCTGTGGTATGAAGGGGAGAGCGTGATGGTGGCTTCACCCAGCAGTATATTGCGGGGAAAACAGCCGCTGCTCATGAGTCCCACTGCTACCAGTGGCCCAATGTTGAAAGTGATGCTGGTAGCACAGGGATTCAGGAGCAGTGTCGGTTTCACCTGCAATATACCGCCGGGTGAAGCCGCTATCACGCTCTGTTCCTCATACTGGTCCTGGCGATGTATTGATACATTGCCCAGGCCTACTAGTAGCCACTGACAGCTTTATCCTCCATGAATTTGTCTAACCCTGCTTTGAAAGCAACCTAAGCTAGTGGCCCCCTCCACATTTTATGTCAGTGAATTCTGTAAACTAACTATAAACTGTGTCAGGAAGCACCTTTTGCCTGCTCAGAATTTCTTGCCAATCAGGATCATTGGATGACCCAAAGTTCTATTATTATTTGTATTATGACTTGCTTAAAAACAAGTGGTCCAAAGCAACTTTCAAAAATAGTACAAATCATTAAAACTAAATATAAACACCAAGTCACAATGATAACTTAAAATACACATCCACGTAATATTATGAGGAACAAAAACTTAGCTTTATAATCCTCTATCATGCACTCATTTGCTATTTTTCAGAACTAAAAAGCACCAATCATTTTGCTTTCCTCATAAGTTTTTCAGTCCCCCACCTCATTTTCCACCACTACAGTATACTGTACAGTGTGCTCAAAATGCGGCTGCACTATAGATCTGTACAAAAGTATAAGAATCCTGGTAGTTTTTATTTTCAATTGCCTGATACACAGGAGTATTAGGGATACCTGATCTGGACAGAATACAGAGTCCTTATTACAGTATTTCCAGAGCTGACTGGTAGAGAGTCCACCCATTATTGCATGCTTGGCTTCCGGGCAAGCCGAGTACTAACCTGCAATTAGTTTAGCTTAAATGAAAAGGTAAGTTGATGCATCTATTCACAAATAACTGGTTTTGATTTCTTTCATTGTTGCTTCACTGGTGTTAGGATTTATGGGACACACCAAAGGGGAAAAAATGAATTTGAGAGAAGCTGTAGTGCAGCTGTCACACCCAAAGTGCAATCACTGATAAAATATATCTGAAGTGCATCCTTCCAGTTCTAGCAAAATATACTAGAAGCTATTTTGATGGATCAGAGAGAATAATCTCCAGTTTCATGTGAAGTCAGTCACAGTAGAACACCAATGATTGCATCCCCTAAAAAGAACACTGCAAAGTATGCAATAGTCCCAATCCCTGTAAAAATGGAAAAGGAGTGGGATTTAATGCATGCTCTCTGTTGAGTAAAAAAAAAAAAAGAGTATGCATTATTTCCAATCTCTGTAAGAAATATGAAAAATAGCTTGCTACAGAACACTAATCATTACACACGCTAAGTCAAAACAATCACACCATTTCCCTTTTATGGTTAAGACAGTTTTCTGTATGAAAAAAGCATTTAAGGTAAAGATGCTTCTTAAACTCAGTTTTTCCTGTATAGTGATTTATAAACAACTTTCCACATATCTGTACACCAGGAAAACAGCCACTCAGGAATATAAAACCTGACCTTCATTTCCTTTTCTCTCTCCCTTCTTCTTCCCTTCTCCCCCTCCCCAAATGTCACGCTCAATTGAATTTTCTCTTTGTTCTCAGCTTCTCTTTTTCCAAGAAAGCCCAAAGCTGTTCTTGTTACAGTTTTATGCTGGTCAGATTTCTATTCCCAGAGCTTAATTCATATTCTTATCAGAGATGTTGTGTTTTTTTAATGTGGAATTGCAAACAAGTGGCAGTCAAAGAAATGATGTATGCACATGTTCGTAGTACCATAGAATTGTAAAGTTGGAAGCGACCCCGAGGGTCATCTAGTCCAACCCCCCGCAATTGCGGGAATATCTACTAAAGCATTCATGACAGATGACCTATCCAACCTCTGCTTTAAAACCTCCAAAGAAAGACTATCTACCACCTCCCGAGGAGTCCATTCCACTGTCAAACAGCTCTTACCATCAGAAAGTTCTTCCTGATGTTTAATCAGAATCTCTTTTTCTAACTTGAATCCATTGGTTGGGGTCCTATCAGTGCTTTTTTCTAGAAAAATAGGTGCTGGTACTCACCATAAAGTTGCTACAGTAAGTGCCCCACTTTTTAACAAAAATGAGGTGCTACTGCATACTCTTGAGTACCCCCTGAAAAAAAGCACTGTGTCCAAGCCTCTGGAGCAGAAGAAAACAAGCCTGCTGGATCTTCCATGTGACAGCCCTTTTAATATTTGAAGACGACTTTCATTTCTTCTATCAGTCTCCTCTTTACCAAGCTAAACAAACCCAACTCCCTCAACAATTCTTCATAAGGGTTGGTTTCCAGACCTTTTATCATCTTGGTTGTCCTCCTCTGCACACACTCTAGCTTGTCAATAGTCTTCTTAAACTTTGGTGCCCAGAAATGGGCACAGTATTCCAGGTGTGGTCTGACCAAGGCAGAATAGAGGAGTACTATTATTTCCCTTGATTGATACTTTTGTTGATGCAACCAGAATAGTATTAGCTTTTTTGCTGCAGCATTACACTGTTGACTCATAGAATTGTTGAGTTGGAAGGGACCCAGAGGGTCATCTAGTCCAATACCTTGCAATGCAGGAATCTAAACTAATGTTAAGCTTATGGTCTACTAAGACCCCTAGATACTTTTCATGTGTACTATTGGCAATCCAGGTATTCCCCATCTTATATTTGTGTAGCTTGTTCTTCCTGCCTACATGTAGAACCTAACATTTGTCCTTATTGAAATTCATTTTGCTAAGGTTTGGCCCAGTCCCCCAATCTGTTATGGTCATCTTGAATCCAGATTCTATCTTTGGTGGTACGGGCTACACCTCCCAGTCTGGTGTCATCTGTAAATTTGATGACATCACAGCTCTACATAGCTAATTGAATTTCACTGTAACTGAGGCCAATTAAGCTCTCTCTTTGCCTTGCCTCTGGGTTGAGGAGGGAAAGAGGAACCAGGCTGGAACTCCATATCACATTGGGTAGATGGTTTCATTATTGCAATGCACTGTAGAAATTTGGCTTAGACTACTCTAGTCCTGCATTGCTAAACATGCATAGTTGGGTGTTGAAGTGCATATACTTTTTCCATTGATCTGGACACTCTACTTCTGTTGATGCAGCCTAGAGTTCTTGTACCATGCAACCATGGCATTTCAGTGTTGCCTGTTCTCAGCCATGACACATTGCTCAAGCTGAATTGCCTCTTTTAATCTGTAAGCGTGAGAAAGGATCACATTTGCTGATGTTAAAAAAGCAGACTAACATACAAGAAGGTAATCAGGAAGACTGGGCATGGCATGTCAGGTTTTATAAGTTGGAAGTGTAGTCAAACCCAAGATCAGATTGACACCAGCATTTTACATGGCAGATGCACTCTCCCACACCTTGGGCGATACTATAGTGCAAGAACTGAAAATCTGCTCACACTTGCTGAAAACAAAAATAAAATAAAATACTACGCTGTAAAAATGAGTTAAAACAGGCCCCTTCCCAAAAGATTTTTTTTTTAAAAAAAAACAACCACCAAGAGAACATCCCATATACTTAATGCAACAGTACCTATCAGAATCAATTTATGGAATTCTCAGCAGCAAAACACATTTACAGTAGTTGGAGCCTTCAGGTAGCATTTTAGGGCAAAATTAAAATTATCTTTGTGACTGGAGGAAAGCATTTGTGGCACATAGAGAGGCTCAGCAAATTTGTGTCATGCACCTAAGAGATTAGGAACCATTTTCTGTTTCTTGGGCGATCAAGGTGTAGCATAGCCCTATAGCCTGTACTGTTGTTGTTTCTTACATGGAAGTGCAAACACGTGGGAGGCAAAGAAACAATGTAGGCATTTTTTAACTGTGTTTTGATCTTGAAATTGTTTTCAATATCCAGGAATGCTGTTTCATGCTATGCTAAAACCTCTATAACAAATCAAGAAAAAACAACAACACTGAATTACTTAATGAATTTGTTTACAGCTCTTCAATAAACATTTTCACAGTGTTTCACTTTTTTAAAAGAAAGATATAATGTAATGTCAACAGAACAGTACAATAAATATTGCCACATAGAAATTGGTCACCAAGTTCAAAGGCTTTGGAAAATCATAAGAATCATAAGATCTTTACCTTACAAAGATATATTAACATTGGTGCCAAGTGAGTTAGCCTATGAAGCACTGGTGAAATATCTTTCAAATTATCAATTCCAGCTAGTAGCCTAGCTGTTATAAGGTGCCGCCCATTTTAGGCATGTCCAAATGGCACGCAATTGCTGACATGCAGGTCCTTTTGGACCTGGAAGAGGAAAGAACAGGGAGCAAGTCAGAACAGAACCCCTGGGCAAAATGGTTGCTGCCTGTATTTTCAACCAACTGTAGCTTCCAGTCTTCAAAGTCAATATTCTGCACAACAGCAAACAGCTGCAGCAAATACTTGAAGGCTCAGGTGAATCAATGATTCCACAAGCATCCATGGGTTACTCCACTGAAGCAATTGAGCCTGAACCCTGTTAAATACCCATCCACTCTGGATCATAGCATATGCCAACTATATTTAATTCAGAAATGAAGACACACTAGAGTATAGTTATACAAACATGGTTGCGTAATCTCGTCCATATCTCTTACCTAGTATTTATGGTATTGTAAAGTGTAGTAAGTAAGGGACGCGGGTGGCGCTGTGGGTAAAACCTCAGCGCCTAGGACTTGCCGATCGCATGGTCGGCGGTTCGAATCCCCGCGGCGGGGTGCGCTCCCGTCGTTCGGTCCCAGCGCCTGCCAACCTAGCAGTTCGAAAGCACCCCGGGTGCAAGTAGATAAATAGGGACCGCTTACCAGCGGGAAGGTAAACGGCGTTCCGTGTGCTGCGCTGGCTCGCCAGATGCAGCTTGTCACGCTGGCCACGTGACCCGGAAGTGTCTGTGGACAGCGCTGGCTCCCGGCCTATAGAGTGAGATGAGCGCACAACCCTAGAGTCTGTCAAGACTGGCCCGTACGGGCAGCGGTACCTTTACCTTTACCTTTAAAGTGTAGTAACTTCAGCAGGATACAGTTACTGCTGTCAATAAGAAAGACAACAAATGTTGACTTATTGCGCTGCATATAGGCATTTAGCTGTGTGGGCTGGATATGGACTTTGAAACAAATTCTCTATGCCATTAACATCACAATTATTTTTTTATCTGCAGTCACATTCAATTGTTTCAAGATATTGAAATATTCTCTAACTAAATGAAATATCTCTTTGGCTTTTGCATACATATTCCTGGCCTTTCACCGACTTATCATAGAACTGTAGAGTTGGAAGGGACCATGAGGGCCATCTAGTTCAACCTTCTGCAATGCAGAAATCTTTTGCCCAACATGGGGCTCACAACCAGACAATTAAGAGTCACGAGCTTACTGACTGAGCTATCCATACAGAATCCAACCGTCCATCAAGGAGTGAAACTGTCTAGTAAAAAGAGAACCCAACTAACTTTGCAGCCTGAGCACTTAAGTCGAGAACAGAGTATCACTTCAAGAATACAAAAGTTGGCCAGCTCAAGTATAAATGATAATTATTCAGGAAAAGCACAACTCAAGCACACCAAGTAGACATTTTCCGGAACACACAAACCTTTATCAGAGAACTCTAAAATTGTATCAAGGTACAATATTTTTTTAAAAACGAAATTAGAATGCAGTGAAGAACCCTTCATTTGGGTGACATTAGAGTAATAAATCTGCTCAAAATAGCTTAGGGTGATTGACATTCAATTAAAAACAGAAGACTTGAACAATTCTTTCACTTCAGGAGCTTAGATATTCCAAGAAAGTATTTATAGTTGCCAGCAGAAGAAATTCTTTCAAGAGGGTTTTCAAAAAAACTGAGGTTCAAGTTCAACAGATTCATGAAGGCCTGTAAGCAATATTTTATCCTTAAATATTCTTTCTACCCTTGCATAATCCTACAGAATACTAGAACAGCAATCTTTCTTGAAAACGGGGCAAAATGATTTCATTAAGTTTTACAGCCCATTTTGTATCTACATTTCAAAACAATCACACTTCATCAAACTTATAAAGCATTTCCTTAGTTATCACATTCTTATGGAAGTCGCTTGGTCTGATCTCTGCAGATGCAGCCCCTCTAGCATTTGTATGTCCAGTATCATTTGTCAGACATGAGGAAACAGAAAAGAAATCCATGATAAATATACATTGGATAGGCAACACTCTAATATCATCACATGCACTTTGCTTAAAGCTGTTGGGGTGGGGAGCACTTTAATTGGGCAAGCCAAATGAAAAAGTGGCCAACCCTCTGTGGGCCACATTTGATAAGTAGGTGTCAATCATCTGAAGTCATATGACATCAGGTAGATCTGATCCCACCTGAAAATAAGGCTTCAAAGTGTTCTTTGGCAGTTGCAGATTTAAATGTCTCGTGTCAGGTAAGCAACAGGGGGGCGTGTCCAGCTGAAAATGTCAGCAGGTCTAATCCATCTATCTGAGCTAGATCAAAGTGCTTTCTCCTACCAGATTATCACATTAATAACCCCTACCCCTCAGATTCTCAAGAGGCAACTAAATTTGCTGACAGAGAATAAGAGATCCAGAGTACCTCACCGCTGCTTCTAAAGAGATGATGATGTACAAAGTGTACAGAGAGGTACACTTTGGAGGTAATGGTTTATTATCTAATAAAACAGCATTATATATTCCAGAGTTGCAGGTAATTAAGGACATGCTCTTAATAAAGTCACATCTAGTTTTGTTAGCCAATAATCCCCACTATGGTCCTCCAAGCTTCCCATCATTTTGTTCTTACAGTAGAATAAAGACCTTCATATTCATTAATAAAGCCTATTTATTGGTATGGTTAGCCCAGTTTTTTAACGCATGGGTTTGTTTATAGTCTACCACCTTATAGATGGGTTAAACACAAGATGCAATTAATCAGCACTTTAGCTCACCCTACGGGTGGTGCGCCACGCCCCCAGGACACGTGCCAGCCCCACCCCCGCCTGCTCTCCGCCCCCTGGTGCCGGAGCATGAAGCTCTGCCACTGCACAGCACCAAACAAATTTTGCCTTCAGAAATAACTGCAGACGATGATTTGCCACAAACCAGGAGGCACCTAAGTGCAATTTGTTCATTTAGGGCTTGATCCTGCACCACCAAACCACAGTTTGGCATTATGTATGAAGAGACTTCTGTTGCCTCTTCATTAATAAGACTGTATTAGGAAGATTCCTGTCAGGAATTGCTTCCACTCTAGACACATTTTCGCAGTAGAATGTGAGAGAATTTGGTACAGGCAATCCTTGGTTTGCATGGGGGTTCCATTCCGGACTCCCACACGCATCAGAGGAGTATGCATAAACCCGCTCTGTCCCCATCCCATCTTGTTTTGCCCCTTTCTGTGACATCTTTATGATGTTTTGGAGCTCCTTCGGCACTGTGTCCATGTGCACAATCACATGTCATTCGGATACGCCTAAATCGGTCATTGCCTGTATCTCTCTGCAGGTGCTTCAGACTTCCAATGCACCTGCTCTCCTTTTCTCCTCCCTGCAGAGCATCTCAGGACTAGTGCTTTTATTTTATTTTTTGATAGCCCACTTACTATCCACAGATCTCAAAGCTGCTTACAATAAGGAACATCAAAATATACCATTTTTTTAATTATAGATTTATTGTAGATGATTTACATTAAGAAAAATCCAACCCACATAAATGTACAATACAGTGGTACCTCGGATTACATACACTTCAGGTTAAATACGCTTCAGGTTACAGACTCCGCTAACCCAGAAATAGTGCTTCAGGTTAAGAACTTTGCTTCAGGATGAGAACAGAAATTGTGCTCCAGCGGCACAGCAGCAGCAGGAGGCCCCATTAGCTAAAGTGGTGCTTCAGGTTAAGAACAGTTTCAGGTTAGAAACGGACCTCCGGAACGAATTAAGTTCTTAACCCGAGGTACCACTGTATTGACTTACATATTGAGTAAGTTACCAGGCAAAATGTTACAAACTCCCAACCTATATAAAATACACTATAGCAACTTCACAAAGCAACATAAGAAGCTGCCTTATACTGAGTCAGACCATAGTCCCATCTAGTTCAATACTGTTCACACTGACTAGCAGCAACTCTCTGGGGTATCAGCTGGGGAGTGGCCCTCTCCCGGTCCTATATGGAGGTGTTAGGGACTGAATTTAGGATCTTTTGCGTGCAAAGCGGATGCTCTATCACTGATCTATGGCCTTCCCCATACAATGTCACCCTCACCATACAATGTCACTCTCACCACCCATTTACACAACCATCTAATCATTTACCACTTCATACAATACCTCAACCATCCAAGCAATCATATCCAATCCTGTCACAATTAACAATATTATAACCCACATATATTTATTACACACTCAGCTATGTATCAGAGCAGAGGGGAATAAGACAGCTTCTCTCCAATAACTCCCAACAAGAGAATTGTATCACACATGGTACTGAACCAGCCCATATCATCTCAAATAATAATCAACAGCAACACTGATAGAAACCACAAAGCAAACAAGAGCTGTTATAACAGCAGATAAAAAAATTAGCAGAGCTAATAAATTCTCTCACTACAGAACAGAAATGGGAATGAAGTCTGATTCAAGCTTCATGCAACAGATGCATTTACTGCACATACAATACTGCTTGCGATAGTGAATGCTGCAAAGTGTGAAGGAAAGGCATGTATATAAAAACACAGTGGGCACATACAAGTCATCCATGGCTATGCATTCACTTGCACTTCTGCATTTTGCAACATTCATCCTATGAAAACACAGCACACAAAGAGCAAACACTTCTGCAGTGTAACATATGAGTTAGCACTTAGTTAAAGAAAGCACTATCAACCAAATCTGAGCTCCACAACAACACTTCATGGAATAAACCCTGGATTCTGCAGCAGCAGCAGAAAATTTTAAGGTCTTCACTTGATACATGCAATTGTCCTGTGAGTATCACAGAACTGATGCAGATATAACACTATTCTCCTCTTATTCAAGGTTTAGGGATGGACAGTGGGCCTCCCTTATCTAAAGCAAGCTGACCCTTTCCCCACTGGCTTTAACACTGAGTAAGGCTTATGTTGTCACAGATTATAACCATAGTTAACATTAATCTGGGGGTTTTTTTTAACCAAGAGTGATAACTAGCTTCATACCATGATTAGCAGCAAGCCTTGGTAAGCTCAGTGACACAACTCAATGGAGAACATTTGTTTTGTACGCAGAAGGTCCCAGATTCAATTCCCAACATCTCCAGGTAGGGAAAGAAAGGATCCTTGTCTCAAATCCTGGAGAGCCACTGTCAGTCAGTGTATATAATGGAGGGACAAAAAGCTTGATTCTTTCTATGTGTCAACCATGACTAGCATTAATGCTGACATACCCTTAGCTGTGATGAATGCCAAGAAAAGAAGCATGGGATCCCATAAAACTCCTGTAATTATGGCTAAGGGATAGGGCATTGTGTTCATCTGAATACACCAAGTAGGAAGACTTGGAAATATCATAGTGGATTTGTTGAGGAATGCAATGGAAGACAGCAAAATATTCATTAGGGAAAAGAAAGAGGGATGTGCATCCCTTAAACACATAAGGGGCAGGGGACAGGACTTATCTTCCTGCACTTTTATAGACTGAATAACCTTTTACATTTCCCATGTTATTATTTCAAATCAAACACCATATATTCCATTATTTAGACTGCCAAATGGCCTCCACTACTAATGTTCCATATATTCATAAGTACACATAGTAGAAACAGCAAACCAATGCTATCTTAATAGTGCAATAAATTTCATTATTATTTTTTTTAGATTTCGTACCCATCCTTCACCTTAAGGTCCCAGGGCAGATCCTAACAACAGAATACATGACTATAAGAACAGATAAAACTGTTAGTTATAAACTACATATTCCAATAATATGTTCTATGTCCTGCCCCACCCACAGGGCCCTTTAGTATCTATCCACATACTCAGTTATCAAGAACAAGCTTATGTCATCCCCTCCACATTAGGTTTGAGATATATGGCCTGATCAATTCCTAGTTGATTGAACACAAGTAAACGCAATCCAATAGGCCTTTTTAAAGGGAAAAAATTATACAGGTTACCATATCTATCATCATTAATTGAAACACTCAACTATGGAAAGCTAGCAGATGCTTCTTTAATATACAGCTTTAAGACCCACATTTAATAACCTGTTAAAAGAAATGCTTGCTTGTAAAAGTCCAATTGCATACATGCTGCACAGTTCCATTAATCTTTCAGCCTTGCAGAAACTCACACTTTAATGCCTTTCACCCCTCTATAACCATCTATGTCTTATGGAAGCCTTCCCATTGGAGACATGCTTGCTCACTTGCAGGAAGCTCAATTGCCATAGGCAAGAACTCAAGTGGCAACCATGCACTACAGAGGCAACTGTGAACTCCTCCCACCTTCCTCCTAGCCTTAAAGGGATACAATCCTGGACAGAGATCATGAAGCAAACACACAACCAGCTCAGAACTGCAGGTTGGGACTCAGTACAGTGGTACCTCTGGTTACAGACACTTCAGGTTACAGACTCCGCTAACCCAGAAATAGTATCTTGGGTTAAGAACTTTGCTTCAGGATGAGAACAGAAATCGTGCGGTGGCGGCGCAGCAGCAGTGGGAGGCCCCATTAACTAAAGTGGCACCTCAGGTTAAGAACAGTTTCAGGTTAAGAGTGGACCTCCAGAATGAATTAAGTTCTTAACCCAAGGTACCACTGTACTAGCTTTAAGGGTTAGCAGACCTTTAAGGCCAGGAGAGGCTTTTCCAGACACAGAGTACACTAACATGACTAATATTTTTATAGCAGGATGGCCTACCAAACCTACCCTGAGTAGATGCTACTATAATGTATGCCAGCTGAAGCCATACCACACACTATTCCAGATTGTGACTGGATTTAGACACAATGGTTTGGACATGTTTCAATGTTACATGCATGAGCCTTGGGCTCATTTGCTCCCTCCTCTTGTAGAGGATATCAGAAGTTTTCATTTCTGTTTTCAATGAACTGCAGTTTAATATTGAGATGTAACACTAAACGTAAGTTAACTATGGTTTATTGTAGCAAGCTAGCTTCATTAACCAACATTTGAAGTTGGCTTGTTTCTGCATAACTTGGGAGAAGTATGAGAAAAAAATGGGGGTGGGGGGGGGGAAGGTGAGAGGTTAGTTACACAGCACAGACATGAAGGCAGTGAGAGAGAAAGTAAACTAACGTCCAAAAGGAATTACTTTCTTTTGCTCTCCAAAACAAGTGTTGTGTCTGTCTGCTGTACTAAAAAACACACATCTGTATACTTATTTGAGAATACAGTACTACCTACCACAAGGGTACACCATAGTTAAGGCTAACCACTGCTTGTCCTGGCTCAGACATAAGGCCAAAGTGTGGTTAGCTAAAAGCAGAAGTAAAGACTTTTAATCTCTTCATAGCTACACTGGAGAGAGGAATGAACAAGCTCAAGGCTCTTTCAGGTAGCATTAAGCCATAACAAGAGTATCAAATGAGTCTGAAATTTAAGTAATTTTTGCTTCAGCTGGCAGCACTTTGCTTGTCTAACAGTCAGAAATTAAAAATGCTGCTGTGCTTAACGCAGCCTTGCAATAAATCTGCAAATGTTATCATCTAACAGAAATCTATATTAGTCCATCTGTCAACAGATATCTATGTTAGATTCTGAAAGAAAAGAGAATTAACTTTTTCCCATTGTGCAAGACTTCCATGCCAGGTCACCTAAAGTGACTTTTACTCAACACACAGGTGGCTATTTACAAACCTAACTGACATAATGTAAGTATTTAATTTCCACTACAAGAGAAAATTTTAGACATCTCCACATTAAAAAGCAATCATTTCAACCAGGGGCAAAGCAACTTGCTTCAGAAAGTCACTATAAACAAACAATTGCAGATGTTTCCTTTATAGTCCAACTCTAGGAAACAATGCAACAGTTTAAATCAGCTGTTTTGGTTTCCTTTAATTTCTGTTCTGCAAAGTGATTTCAAGCGGCATGTAACATGCAGCCAATTCTCCACAAGAGGACCTGTTTTTGACATTTCACACATAATACTAGTATGTGTAAAGCACTCTATAAATACTTACGTTTTTATTTAAATCTCTGCATAACCTTGATACTAAAGCTACTTGATAATAATTAAGAAAAGCCTCACACTAAATCAATTCACAACTTATCTGTTGGTTTCAACCAAGAAATAATTCTGAACATCAATTCTGACTATACATGAGTTCTCAGAAGTTCAATATTTTATATATTACATTCAAAATGCAATTCTCCTGTCTGTCAAACCATGAAGAAATAAGATTATAAACTATTTGTTTCTTAACAGAACTGGATGGCAATTGGGTGTTGAGGGCTGGCAGACTTCTATAAAACTTTAAGTGCCTTACTTGAAGTTTCTCAAATTATTATTGAGGCCAGTACACAAGTAAATAGTAGTTGCCCTAGCAACAGCAAAATACATGTATACATTTGACCACTATTGCTTGATGTGCAGAATTATGTCATTCACTTTCAATCAGACCTGCGTCCAGGTTTGAGAACAAAAGTTACACTACTGTTCTAGTCCTTGCTACAGCTCAGTTTGCACATAATGATAAGCCAAGCAATGACTTAGTGCAAACAAGTGGGTTCCTGGAGAGAGGTCAAACTTTTTTCTAATTATTATTTTTAATGATAATAGGTCATGCTTGGTATTTATTACTGCATCAAATTACAAACATTTGAAGTTTCTAAACATTATCAATTATATCTGAATTACACATATGCCTATAGACTGGTTTTTGTGGTATTTTTCCACAATAGGAGATGCTGCACATTTTCTAGTTAAACTTTTGGAAAACTGATTTTCACATCTTTTTATCAGCTCTGAAGACAACACCCTCATTTGCACCTGACACTCATCCAAAGCATGGTTTAGTACCAACGAGCAAATATGGACCAGCACTTTGCTTTTCTCCAATCATTTCGCTGCTGAACTGAATTAAACCATGGTTTGTCTTAGCATGTTATCTGAATCTGGGCTCATGGTACAACTGTTCCAGACAACCACAAACTATAAATCGTAGGACAAACTTTGATTTCAACTCAAGGTTTGTCTGGAGAGAGCTAAATCACAAGCTGTACCTTAACTCTGCCCAGAGGTAAAATGATTTGGGAAGAGAAAATGAGCCATAATATCCTCTTCAGGAACCTGAATATTTGCTTATTCAAACTAACCCATAGTTTGACTTAGCATTACATACAAACTGAGTCAGTGGCTGCATTTACACCATGGTTTAGTGCAACATGAAAAACAGGAGAGGGTTGAAGAAAGCTTCAGATTTGTCTAGCTGGAAGTTGGGAAGTTTTCAGTTTCACTCTTTAGCTGCTGCTTGCTGGGTCACTAGAGCAACAAACTGTGGTTAATACTATTTTTAATATTAAATAAACCAACTTTTAAATGCAAAGCTAGTTGGTTGAAACTAATTATAGGTAAACCAGAATTCTACTTCTGAATGGCATGGCAATCAGAAAGCAAAAGCTTCCAGACTTCTCTTGGTTATTCAGAAGGGGAGAGCATGTGAGTCTGATGATTACTGTGGCTCATGCACATCACAGTAAACCACAGTTTAGTGCAGGGGTGGGGAACCTGTGACCTTGAGATTACTGCCCCAGCCAGCATGACCAATAGTCAGGGATGGTGGACATTGTAATCCAGCAACCACAGGATCACAACCTTGGGTTTGGCATCAAAGGCAGATACAGTCACTGATTTGTAGATTCTGCCTCTTCTGAACTTTCTATTACAAAGCTGTGATTGCTGAATTAAGAGTTGTGGGCAGTTAGGTATGACCTTTCACCTTTTAAGAACTATGATAGATATCCTTGAGATTCTCATTACCAGAGCACACTGCTCATGACTCTATTACCCCTGAAAGAAAAATGATTATTTAACAAGTTCAGCACAATTGCACATCTGAGCCAACAAGCAGTCAAGCAATTTATTAACAGGTCTGTCAAAAGTTCATATATTAAAAATCAAGGCTTGAGCTTGAGATAGCTGTACAGGTTTAAGAAGAACATTGCATTATGAAGCCTAGGTGATAGCACAAGGTGCTAGTGCAGATATAACACTCACAATCTCTTAACTATGACTATAGGTTACAGGATTGCACAGTGCACACATACCTCACATACAAACTGCCTCTCCCCGTGGCCTTAACTATTGTTTAAGGATTAGGTCAACTCCAATATTAGCCATGAACCAAGACTAGCTCTAACAAGGATTCTCTCTAACCAGGTTTTGAAACTAACTATTACTAACTAAGGGATGATAGTAAAGGATTGAATAAAATTACCTTGACACTGGCCCTAGAAGACAGAGCAATTTATTACAAGGCAGAGCTAAGATGTGTGTAAGAAAATACGCCAGCTTTGCCATTTAATTTTATGTAGTATAACATACAACAAAAGCCACGCACTAGACATCCTAAAATTAAACTTCCACTATATGCAAGCCAATACATTTTAAAGTGTGTGACAGTACTGGGTTGCAGCCAATGATAATCCTAGTCCACTGAAATTAATGGATGTGACTAAGGTCTATTAGTTTCAATGAGTCTACTGTGAGTAAAACTTATAGTAGTTTGATACAATCCTATGGCACTAGAAATGTAAAAATCAGGTCATGTGCTTTCTAAAGTCAAACCAATAGTACCCCTTTAAAGAGGTTTCCATACACAGACCAATGTCTAAAGAGGTACTTCAGATGCAGTCAAGGGCAAACACAGGTATGACCGAAGTAGCAGGTCCATATGTAAGATAACACTCTGCTTTTGAAAGCCCTCAGATTTTAAAAGTAGATTGCCACGTGACAGGAAGGGCTGCCACTTGAGAAACAGAAGCCAAATGCCACCATGAGCACATAAAGAATAGTTGTGTGATTCTTTGAATCCCAGCTATTATGCTATGGTCATTTCAGATTTAACGAAGAAAAGAGAGAAAAGTATTGCTGCAATTAAAGAGGAAGAAGTCATGTAACTTGTTTCAAACAAACAAATCTGACATATGACAGCCATTCCCCATTTATTTTTCAGAGATAAAAAACATGTATGAACTTTGGGGGTTGGGATGGAGACACACACACAAGCACAAGCACACTAAAAGGGGCAGATCAGGGATTTCAGCACTGCTGATAAATAGTGGTACAGCTAATACCTACGTAACTGTTTACTTTTTACAAAAACGGTTGTACTACTCCCACACACACAATCTGTCTAGCCAATAAACCTCATTTCTTAGTACTGTAGTTGCAGTACAAAAGAAATGCTCTCTGCAAGCAAAGCTATGTCTTCAGAGTTGCCTCTATAGTCGCAGTCACTCTTTTCTTCACTGGGGGATGGGTCTTGCTCACGTGCTCTGAATAACCTAATCACTGCTGCTAATACAGCAACAAATAAAGGGAAAACCTGCCCGTATGAGTTGCACAATATTTACAGGCCACAAGCCGTTATTTCCTTCCATTTGAGATACCATGTACTACGTCCTTACAATATGTTGCACAGATAGAACAAAAATTCCCAAGGGAACATGCTGATTAAACACCAGAAAACCATTTAAGACCTAGAATTTAATTTTCAACAACAATATATGGCAAATGGATCATAAGGAACAACAACCGGCTCCAATATACAAATACCAGTACCAAATATAAAATATATACCTGGCAAAAGAAGATAGTCTTTTTATGGCTGAAGACTCCTGTGAATAAATATGATTAGATTCCTTGATCAGATTCTGTGGCTCAATGACTTGAAAAGGACATTAGAGAGGAGGGGGGGCTGCTATACAGTAAACAAGAGCAAAATGATTCTTCCCTTCCAGTCCTCTGTTAAAAAATATCAAATAAAGCTCTAGCATACGTTAACATCAGCTACTGCACAAAATACAATTTGACCATTAAACATATTGATTTAGTCTGATGTAGCAATGCAGTACCATTCGACTTCTCAGCATGACGACAGAATACACTAATTCATTTTAAGCTTTTTTTCAAATGTAACCAATTAAACCAAACACTAAACAAATCTGTGAAATAAAGAAAACAATACTCTCAAATAAACAGGCCCCAACTCACATACCGTCAGGTTTTTTGGGATACATTTCCTTCATTAATCTCTCTTAGCAGCAGCATCACTCACTCTGCATACTCCTCTGTCTGGTCTCTGTGCCCCCCCCCCCCCCAAAATCCGTCACCTGGCAAGAACACGTCTTTTCAGGGCAAATCCCCCCCCCCCACTATGTCTCAGAGCTCTTTCAGCCACATCCCAGTGCACGCAAGAGGCAGCGGCGAAATCTGTGTTTGTAGCAATTGTGGTTGCAGAGGAGGACTGTAGGCTAAGGCAGCTAGATAAGCAAAATGCTGACTTCTATTATCTATTGCACCACATGCACAGACATACTGCATCAATGGCTTCGGTTCACAACAATCACAGTAAAGGCACATAAAATCTACAGAAAAGAAATGCATTACTCACTGGGTTTTATTCTTTTGCTTCCTCAGCATGTAATTCTTTATGCTTTACAATGCAGTAGGCATGCAATGAGATTTCCCCTTGCCCTTATTTCACTGATGCTGCTGTGTGAATAGGACTAGACACCCAGAAAGGACGACAGGCAGAATCAGCCTGAACATTAAGAACAAATATTTAATGGAAGCCTGGTTATCCTGTTCTCTCTCTTTCACATCTCTGCCTCATGTATCCAGGCACGGGTGGTACTGGCTCCCTTGGGAGGCTGTAGCTAGCAGCTGAGGCACAAACTAAAACATGGCATGGATGTCAAGGAGCCGATGACAGAAAGAACAAATATTCCTGTAATATTATGGACAGAGACTTTGCTAATAAATATACATTCACGAGGCCACAGCAAGCAGCTACAACAGAGGTATTGTTATGGCTCTCCATAGGCAAGGAATCAGAAGCCGAAAGCCAATTCAAAACTCAAAGTTGCCAGCCACAGTTTGTTTTTTAATAAATGATACTGCAGCCACATCAAGCTGCACAGTTACTCCTCCAACACCACAGAGCCCAGAGCCAGTTTCTTGGCAATAAAGTAGTAGATAAGGCCTCACTTGCTTTTTCCTACAGAGTGCCTCAACCACCTTTCATAATGTGGTTTTAACTATTTCCTAAATACTTAGCCCGGATAAATGCATCCAAGGCCCGAAGGCAAGTGGGTAACATTTGACATCCAAGAGAGATCATTTCATTTTACATCCATGAATCAATTAGCACACATGAACCTGCATTAAGGAGCTCCAGTACTCTACAACCTTACCCCACAGATCAGAATTCCAACTTGATCTGCATATGTATCAATCCTGATTAAGGAAATTGTTGTTGTCACACCCAGGACCTTTGATTAAGGAATAAAGATAGCATTTACACACACGTGATAATTCAGACAAGGAAGTGAAGGGGTGGGAACACAAACAGGGTCACTACGAGTTCAGAGACTGAACAATGGTGAAATCCTATTTTATATCAGACTGTTGTGGTTTGCAGATGGGATTCTCATAAGAGTAGGAGGAAAGGCCGATTACATTATTAAATAAAATAAGCCTGAAATAATTATTTAAGCTTCTGAACAAAATATAGTTCAATATGTTTCAGGAACACAATTTAGAACGGCTGCTTGAAACAGATGCGAAATAGCCCTGTTGAATTAATAGTATACAAAGCTTTGCTAGTAGGAAAATATAGTTATCACATCTTATTTTCAAACAGAACCAAAGCAAAAAGCCATCACTAATGTTTACTCTAAAAATCAGAGTAAATGAAAAGCATTTAAGGAAACAACTACTGCTTTTATGTATACCAAAGTTCGTGGCAACAAAAAATGTAAACATGCAGGCTCACACTCAAAAAATAAGGCCAGAAATCAGGGTACTGCTCACAAATCATGATAAAATGCCTATTTTTTAATAACCTAATATAAAATATGTGGAGTTGTAAGGCAGAGGGGAGGGACAATTTGTCCAACTGCTCTCTATTCAACTCATTCCAGAAAGTCCATATTTTTGTACAATTGTAGAAAATTAGTCTGCACAAACAGATTGCTAATTTAAGTGGCAGCATATTTTGAGTGAACAAAGAATTAAAATTTCTCACTTATCCCTGAAAATAGTTTTCCAGCATAGAAATATGGCTCACTATAAACACCAGACAGAAGAATGAGTGAGAATTTTAAAATCAATTAAACCAATGTTTATAAAAGATTTTTAAAGTTTCAACTTTATTTACATTGAGAAATTTATCAATATAAATATAGCAGATTCTTACTATATTATCTCTCATATAAAACTTTATTTTACAGTTGACTGTATAAAGACACTTAAAATGCTGCTAATGACGTTGACTGAAACCAGATAATTTATATACAAGCATTGCTCACACTTGAGCATAGTCCAAGTGTGCAGTACAGGCCACAGTTGTTTGAACAGTTAATAATTAATCCTAGCCAATACCATTTATTGGTTGGTAACCATCTTTAATGCTTAGTAATACAGGCAGCTCTCTCAGCACCATGTTTCCAGTAAGGTTCCATACCTATAGAATACAGATAATATCTGCCTTCTCAACACAAATCCTAAGAAGTCACTCACCAACTGCATCCTACTAGGCTTTTCAAACAATTCAAGTGTGATTCAACCTGACCACTAACACAGCAGTAGCGTGAGCATTCTACATACCAGTGAAGAACTAGGTCAACCGAGTCTATACAGATCCATAATTTATAAATGTGCCTGTCAAATCAAGACCTCTAAGAGTACTAAGCTAACTGACTTTATTATTCATTTATTCAGAGTATTTATAAGCCGCTTTTCAGACAACAGCCTCACATAACAATGTACACAAAAGTACCTGCTGCCCTAATAAAAGCACCCATTTGAATAGTTATTCAATGAGGGAATCGAAGGGCTATATCCAAACTTTGGTCTAGGGGCCTTTTTAAAAGCCACATTTCGTAATCATTAATATATGCAGAAATGTGTTTGTTTTCAACAGCTAGTACTATTTCATTTACCATAGCTGGAAGAGACTGGGACCTGTAAAGAAGCCCCAGAGAGATTTCATTTATTTCTGAGCTAAGTGGTCATAGGTTTCCAGGCATTACTACTATGAAAACTCACAGTACACCATCTGCACTGCAAGGACATAGTTCTGTTTCCCTGGCTATCCGAACTCCAGTTTATTTGTTATCCTAAGACTTCATAAGGTGTGCCATGCATAAAGGGTATTTAAACAAAGGCTGAATGGAAAGTCTGGGGCATTTTAGTACAATATACGGACTATTAAGATCTTGGTTTGTACCCAAATTCACTGCAATTTTCTATCTCAGGATATATTAGCATGACCCTCAATGTTTAAAAGCATGCCAACCCTATCTCAGTAACATTGTCATCCGCAGCCTCCAGTTTTCTACTCAAACGCTGACTACCTATAAGCAAAAAGGAAATTGGATTTTACTAAGTGAACTAGCAGCCTCTTATTTCGGAGGGCAAATTCAAGGACTGATAATCTACTTTTTATTATATGTTGAAATAGTCTTACCAGAAATGAGCACCATCAAGTTGCATGCTGACATGCTAAAAGGGCTGTGTGAATCGATCCTAGGTCTACCCTCATCAAGCGGAATGCATAATAACAATGGTCAGTGAGGACACAGATTGAATCGGATCACCAAGCATTTCTCTGACACCAATTTCTAGTTTCATTCTATTAAGGTCATTGAAAACTGAGCAATCTTGCCACGATGCTTTGGAGATTTTCCTGTAACTAAATAGCAGGGAATAAATCTTCCTTGTTCTCAGTTTATAAGAGACAACTAGAATTTATTCAAGTAAATTCCAGGATGTGATTCTTTCAATACCCCAAACTTGTATGTGATTCTTTCCTTTCTAGCTTTGATTCACTACAGAGCAGGAACAGCACAACTACTTCTGTATACCTATAAGGGGCTCTGAATATGTAATGCTTGAACGGCAGCCCTCCCCTCACACATAAGCTGTAGTCTGCTTTTGAAACTCAAGGGAATTAGGGGTTCTGCTGTTCAAATGCTGCTTTAGGCATGCCTAAGGACCTGGGCACATAAGGTACCTGTAGGTTTTAATTTTGTTAGATGGTCCATAAAAACTGCTCTGTTATAGCAACAGTAGATCTAGGACTAATTGCTTGCTTTCCAAAATTCTACGTTATTATTAATGTCGATCCCACAGAAGAGGGTTATAAACATATCTTGTGGCAGGAATAACCTCCAGGAGGAGGGAGGGAAGCTTCATAGAAGTTGAGCTCCACACACAAATACCCCTTTTAGTCCAGTTTACTAACACAAACACGTGGGCAGGCAGACTAATAAAAAATGTTAAGGAGATATATTTTATTGAACCAACATCAGCAGATGAATGAATAAAGGGATATCCAGACTTCTGAATACAAAAACTGACATATTTCCTGACATTATATACCCCAGACATTTTATATCCCATCTTTCTTCCACCATGGAACCCAAGACAGTGTGCATTTGGTTCCATGGTACTGACCAGACCTGCTTAGCTTCCGCAAAGTGGTGGTCTCATGTACCTTCAGATAATATCCTGGGATCTTACAGACATGGCTTATTTTACCTGCCAAGGAAGACTTCAGTTACACAGTGGTTGGTTCAATAAAATATATAGCTCTGCCTCAAATTGTGGCTTGCAGATGGCCTCTAATTGTGCCATTTTGTTTTTGTTTTTATGGGTAAACGCCTAAAGTAGCTTAAGGTTTTTAAAAACTACCACCCACTCCTGAACAGCAGGCCCTCCTGAACAATGCTGTATCACAAATGTTTTACAAATTTCTACTGATGTCATTTAGCAACAGGGTCTGCTCTTTTTAGAAGCACAAGTCCTAATCTCCCTCAGGCTCAAGGAATTAGTCATGTGCTTATTTGCATGTAGACTAAATGTTTACAAACTTTGAGATGCTATGTGCAATTTTTTTTGTACTTTAAAATATAGATATCATGCAACAATGTGACATTCAGACACCCCGAAATATGAACATTTAACATTATCTTCAGTAGTGTCTTCTGTAGTTTACACAAATTAGTTGCAACTGTTTCCATGAGTTGACTATAGTTTGATAAAGTTGGTTGGATCCAGTTCGTGAAACTAAGGTTTTACTGAAATCCATGAGACAAGTTGAACAGGCTTTAAGTCCCACTGATTTCAGTGGGAATGAAATGCAACTAATTTAGTCTGGATCCAAGAAACTGCAGTATTTCTGCACCACAAGACTAATACTATACTGACCTCACTAGCCTTAACTGACACTTTCTGACACTTTCAGCATCTATTTGCATAAGACCACCCACACTTGGAAAAGTAAGGTACCCAAGGGCCTTGCATTAATGCATATATCTGAAACTCTGGCCCAACTTCTTCTCATAAAATACTGTTCTAATACTTTCACAACTTTAGAAGTAGAAGGATTAGTGCATAAAGAACTATCAGCTTAAATGCTGCTCAACTACTAAACAATTTTATGTAACAGGCAATAAATTTATCCTTTTCACCTATGCTGAAAGTATTACCACTTATTAATGTGATAATGAGTGAAATAAATTAAATACCTCCAAACACACTTCACAGTACATCACAAGCATTCTGAAGGACACAAACATGCTTTTCATAACAAAAATATTTTTAATGTTAAGATGGTATTTTATGTTGTTGTTGCTTAGTCGTTTAGTCGTGTCCGACTCATCGTGACCCCATGGACCAGAGCACGCCAGGCACTCCTGTCTTCAATATTTTATACTGTATTTTATACAGTATTTTATACTGTAATGCAAACACACACAGAAGAATGGACCACCACATTCAAGTACTTACGGTCTTCTCCTGGACATGGCATGCCTGGCTTTTCTGGAACACTGGGGAAAACTGCAATAAAACATAAAGTATATATTATGTCTTAATGAATTACATTTTTATCCATTCACTGTTTTATCCAAAAACAATAATCATATATTACTTCCACAACTGAAGAATACAAAGGCAGGGCAGTGTCTTAAAAATATATGGTTTAGGACAAAGCTGCAGACAACAGGGTTTCAAATGGCACAGATGATGATCCAGTCAGAACAGAAGGCAAAAAACAAAAAAAAAGGACTGTGGTGACTTAGGAAATGTTTGCAGAAGCAATAGGTGCTAAGAAGTGATTTATAGGATGAAGAGTACTAGATAAAGAGAGTGCTTTTTGAGGAATACTTTAAAATAAAGAAGTACAAATGTAGAAGAGGGGAAAACTGAAACATGAGACTGATGAGCTTGCACATCAAAACAACATCAAGGCTGGCAGACACAGGCAACTGGGGATATTGGGGCCAATTCATATGAATTTCATAGTTTTTTATACACCACTGAGATATATTTTAATATATTAAGCAGTATGGAAATTAAATAATCAAATAATCAAATCAAATATATCTGCTGGACCCAATGCTAAGCGTCCAACGAAACAGATCTTACAGCTATACCAGCTATGTTTAGACAGTTCAAGATGGAGAGCATTACATGCACATATTGGATTTTTTAAAAATTTTGTACAGAAAGACATGTACATGCTTGGAGAGTGGTGAGAGATAAGATCATATATGGGAATAGAAAGATGCTGTGAGGGGATAGGATCAGATCCAGGACTAGAAAGATTTAAGCAGCAAAACTTGCATTACATAATCTTTCCAAAAGGAGACAGAAAAGAAGAGCACAGCCAGACTTTTTGTCGAAAGCTTCAAATAGTAAAACTGACTGCTAAGAGGATACCATACAAAAAGGTATGTAAAATTGCTGTTTAAAGTTAAACAGATTGTTTCAGGCAGCACCATCATTTACCATGAATAATGAGCCCTTCATCTCTATGCTGACAGTACAAACGGAATGCTTCTTCCAGTTCCATCTGAGATGATATGGTACATGGATCACCTACCGAAAGAAAATGAGAATGAGAACAAGGCAGAAAAAGTAACCAAATTTACATGGCTCTACAATTCATGGTTTTGGTTGAAATGTCAGGAGTGTAGGTTGGAATCTTTGACGCCAAACATGGATTAACTCAGTATCTCAGGAAACCAAGCAGTGACAACAAGTTCGTGATTTTCCTGAAAGAAGTTGATCCCTCTACAAAGGCAAGATTCAGAAAGGCCCATGCAAAGTACTTGCACATGCACTTGGTGGGTGTAGTCAAATGGTTTTTTTAAGAGTAGCTTCTCACACCTGAACTTCTCCAGATAATCTCCATCCCTTTTGGAAAGGGATGGGTCTACTTATGCATCTGGAATATCAGGTATAGTGCTTTGGTATTCTTGCCATAGGCATCTTAGTTGCACAAAGTTTCCAGAAATCCACTTGCCATGGTGGTGCCCCTCCCAAATCTGGCAATAAGGATAAGGCTCAGAAGAGCTTCAACTCCTCCAAATATATGGATCATTAGAACAAATTACAAGGTGTGGAGATGCAGAAGTTGAGCAAGTCACTCTGAAGGCTAGGACCAATTATCTGTGCTAAATGGAATCCTTGCTAGTTCCAGACTGAAAACAGAAGGGGAGAAGTCAGCTTTATCTGAAGGGAGAGAGACCCTCCTAAGTTCATAGTTCACAACGTTAGAAATGAAAGTGTTTGCTTAGTCTAAATTGTAACAGCAATAAAAGACTACAGAAAAAATGCATGAGGTGTGTGGGGGGGGGGGAATCCCACAGGGCAAAGCTGCATACTCTTCTCCCTTTGACATTATCCAGCTCCATCTAGCACTTTAAAACCTAACAACAGAGCAAGCATTTTGAAATATATATATAAATAATATAAATAAAAAAGGCTGCATTACAAGGGGCAGGAGAACCTTTGTAAAGCAAATCCTCCATGTGTGCAAACTCTTCCTATGCATGTCTACTCAGAAGATAGTTCAGTAGAGCTTATTCACAGATAAGTGTGCATAGGATTCGTCTTCTTTGGTGATCGATCATTCAAAGTTGAGTAAGATTGTCTTCCATGAAAACAGTCTTAATAGTGAGTGTGTAAGTGACTCTGGAGGCCAATTCTGGATCCACACGTCCTTCTACAGTGGGGACATAGGTTTATGGGTGGGAGTTGATCACAGTGAGGGTTTGCCAAAGGTGCCTTCCTCTTAGCTCGTTTCTCCTTTTCACCCTGAGTTCATGCTTCTTCAAAGTCTGTAAAACCTTGGTAAAAGCTGTTCTCCAATTGGAGCCCTCGCAGGCCAGTGTTTCCCAGTTATTAGTGCTTATACCACATTTTTAAAAAGATTTGCCTTGAGAGCATCTTTAAACCTCTTTTGTTGACCACCGGTATTTCACTTTCCATTCTTAAGTTGGGAATAGAGTAGTTGCTTTGGAAGACAATAATCAGACAACCAAACAACTTGACCAGTCCAATGAAGTTGATGTTGAAGAATCATTGCTTCAACACTTGTGATCTTTGCGTCTTCCAGTACACTGACATTAGTTCGCCTTTCTTCCCAAGTGACGCATAAAATTTTTCGGAGACACCACTGATAGAATCTTTCAAAGAGTTGGTGAGGAATCAATGCTTGTAGTAGGGAATAGGTGGAAGGAAGTGCTATAACTTGAATACATCAGGTCAATCCTCCCCCAAGACATTTACTCAATTTGTATTGCAATTTTTAAAATGCAGATAATATGATTACAATATTATGATGGGACTGGATTACACAGTGGGCTAAATACAAAATTATGGCTGGCTACCAAGATTAGTCAGAATGGTAACATTCAGGTGCCCATACTATGTAACAAGTCTGGAGGAAGGTTCAGGTAATTCCTGGATTTTCAAGAACAGGACCAGCTATTATGTATTCCTTCAGCCTAACAAGCATAGGCACAACCCAAAACCAGTATAGCTCCTTACAGAGGCTAATCTAATTGTATCTGATCCCCTCCCCCACACCATTTTAAGATTATAACTGAATACAGGAATTCAATACAATCAACAATTGAATAGTTACTAAAGATAACTTACACCAATCTTTCATTTTAAGTGAACCAAGGCCCTTTGCTTCAGAACTGCATGCTAAAACCAAGCTTTCCCCTGCCATTTCAGCAAGCAGGTCCAAGGAAAACTGCTTTGTGCTACTGGAGCAAGCCTCTGAAGGCACACTCACATCACCAAACAGCAAATCAATGGTTACAGCATTCCCCTTTGAACCACTGACAGGTTTCAGTCACCTGATGCCACTAGAGCAAGCAGGTGATTTGACAGGTGGGCAATCCCACCCACCTATCAAAGTTGGCCTGTGGAGGGTAGAGAGATCCTGCCCACCAATATAAATACCTGGCCTCAAGTGTTTGAGTTCTAACACACAACAGGAATACATTAAAATGCCTGTAACTGGTAATCAGGAAATACAAAAACAACTTTGCTCCATTAACTTAAGGTTTTGCTTCATTTTGACAAAGAATCATTATCACAGGACACCCTAGGAAGCCACAGGCTCTTCCAGAAGCGCCATCTTGTGCCCAAGATTTTTTTGGGGAGGAGTGCACGCTGCGCATGTGTGACACTGTATCATCGGAAGAAGGCCTAGTATGGAGCGGCTTCCTCTCTTGCACTCAGGATGAGCCAGCCACTGAACCACGCTGCACTCTGCCTCCTCCACCCACTCAATGTTGAGTGGGGCTGGCTCCCTGCCAGCAGATATTGAGGGGACCGAAGGCACTTCCACCCCTAGGAGCTGGGCTCTTCAGCTGGCATCATTGGAAGAAAATATTTTTTAAGTTCTCCCTAAGAGTTCTCAAACTGTACAGAATTCTTATTCAATAAATTAGTATCCATGAAGTCTAGATCAAGGCTGGGGAACCTCAGGCTGAGGATCAAATGCTGCCCTCAGGCCTGTTTATGTGGTCCTTTGGACTCTGCCCAGGTCACATGCCTCAATGGCTCTGCTTGGTCCCCTCCTTGAGTGCTTTAGCTTGACTAAAACGTGTAGGTGTAATAATGCTTCTTTCTGACCTGGAAGGACATGTAGTTCTTGACATCCTTGAACAAACTGATAAAAATGACAGTAGTTAAGAACTGTTCAGCTGAAGATGTACATTCATTTTTTCAATATGGTTGCTTTATTTTTAACCTCTTGAACCTTGTCTTAATAGACAGCTTCTACAATAATTTTAAAAGGTTAACTGAAATCCAAGTGCATAACACTGCAAAGTATTTTCCTATCGTCACATGGATATTCCTTCCTCCAAGGAGATCAGGATATGCAGATATAGCAAGAGTGGCAGCATTCACATGTGGCAGGAAAGAATGGTAAACAGCTTACCATGAATGAGGAAATCACTCCTGCTTTGCTCCTTCTGTAGCAGGAGCAACAAACCATCATTCTTGGTGAAGCATTACACTCGGCTCCAGCATTGAGCTTGTTTGGAGAGCAGCAAACCGCAATGTGAAGCTAAACTTTGTTCTTGGTTTACCAATCATTGTTTGTTGGAAGTGAAACATACTGCAATCTCCAGTTCAGATGTAATGCCAAGCCAGGGACTGTGACTTGTTGCTCCCACTGGGGAAGGAACAGAAGGGAACCAACCTCCACGTTCATTGTAAACTGAATTTTTTATCTAACAAAATTTAATTTACCCATTGATTGTAATAAAACCTCTAAGCGGTTTACAATAAATATTCAGATTACTGGAAAACAGCTAAAATGAATGATAAAAAGATGAAAACATGCCAACATCTATGTGTCTGGATTGGCTAACCAAAACAAGAATGTTTTAATCAGGCACCAAAAAGTACAGTGAAGGCGCCTGCCTGGTGTCAACAGGCAGGGAATTCCGAAGTGCAGATGTTGCCACGTTAAAAAGCAAATTCCTCACAACTTCAGAATAAGCATTTTGTGGCACCTGTAACAGTGTCAGTCCCACAGATCAAAGAAATTGAGTTGGCACATATGGGAAAGGCAACTCCACAAGTAAACTGGTCCCAAGGTGTTAAGGGTTTTAAATACCAATAGTAACACCTTGAACTTGGCTGGGTAACAAAAAGGCAACCAGTGCAGGTATCTGAGCAGAAGTGTTATGTGCTGACAAGGTCTTACTCCTGTCAGCAACTTGTGCTGCAACATTCCACACTAACTGCTGTTTCTGGGTCAAGCACATGGGAAGCCCTATACAGAGCACACTGCAGATATGTGAAATGAACCACTGTGACTTGCTCAAGGCATCCTAATGACCATCTAACATGTCCTTGCCTGAAATGTGCCAAAATATACAATACGAACAATAAGGGAATACTCTATCAGATTTTCCTGTAGCAAATTGAACACTGCTACATGAATATCAATTGATATACCCTTAGTATTAGAGACCCATAAGCAAAAGCCCTAAGAAATATTCTGATTTTACTGTTGAAGAAAATTTCTCCCTTTCAGATAGTCAAGGAAAGATCTCTGATTTCAGATAGCAATTATACAGGGCTCTGCAGTGCAGGAATCTTTTGTTAAGTATATTGAGGATCATGGCACAGTTACCCCACACATGTCACATTGTACCACACACCAGACTTTTCCCAGACTTGCTTTTTCTAATTCTAATTTTCTAATTTTCTAATTCCAACAGACTTAAAAAGAAGAGAGCCAATCAAGAAAGCTCAGGAACCTGAGATCCACATTAAAGGACCAGAGCAGCTAAGTTCAGAGCAACGAAGTGGGTCTGTAGACAAGCCCATCTCACAATTGAGAATCATGGGTATTACAGCAACACTTGTTTCACAGTGAGGGGAATAGTACAAGATATGTACATGGGTGGGTTCTCTCCCTCAGTAAATAGTGATAGGTAGAAACTTCATGTTGAACCCTTAACTGGGCCACGAGAGCTTCCTTTCTTAGCTTAAATGACACATATGCTCACCATAAAAACTGCTTTCAACTCAGCAAGCTTATTGTTGGCACAACTTTCATGCAGCCCTTGCCAGTGGTCTTTCAGTTTTAAAAATGGGGGTAAAATCACCTGATGGAACTTCTGCATGCTTAAAAAGCAAGACAGGTTGACAAGCCCCCTTCACAGTGACTCTCCACTTGAATACATCTGGGAAACAGGTTCACTCCATTTAATGGATGCCTCAGCATTTCAAAGCTTTTTCAAGTTTACTGGGAGTAGGAAACAAAAAAAATCAGGAGAATGATACCACGCTTTTAAAGCATGACATCTTCCAATATTCTTTAAATGTACTCAACGACAGAAAAATAGGAGCACACACAAAAACTAAACTCAAAAGCAAGTAGGGGAATGATTCACCTTGCATTAAGACTAAGCACTATGTTCATGCTTTTAATGGCATGTCACTTGGGATACCTCTCCTATCAATCCACCATAAATCAATTCAGTAGCAGTAGTCACACTTGCAGAACTTGATGCAGCTGCCTGAAGATTTAAGTATTGAATAATACACTAGTAGCCTGGAGAATATTTACAGATCTGCAGGAAAGACCCTAGAACTGCTACAGTTCTCAACTCACGTGTCCTATGCAAACAAATTACACTCAGTTAGAAAATATCAAGTTTCTGCATGGTATCGCTGAAGCATCATCTTGAAAGCAAGTACAAATGAAGTGCACACAACTGAGTCATTATTGTACACACAGAACTTGGAAGAGGTATGTTCCTCTCAGTATCTGAAGTCTAGCTAGCAGAGGTGAGACAAGATTTCAGAGACCCCTATTTTCAGTGTCCACTTGCCTTTGTATAAATTGATTCTAGAATTTCTGCCAAACAAGAAGTGTCTATGAAATGATGTGAGCGGTATATAAAAAGATCTGGAGAAGTTTTGTCTATTAAACAATATACACTCTTGAAGTTCATATTAGGAAACACACATTGCAATTGTATAATCACTGATCTCTTTCTAGTTTGGGTGGGTATTGCTAAACAATTAAAGAACAGAAACCTGGGCAGTATCAAACAATCTGGTAGAATGCATTTAAAATAAAAATGAACAGTGCATTAGTTAAATGTGGCATATTAAGGTAGTCAATGGGTATGATCCTTCTCCACATAAGCACACCTCCTTAAAAGGAATCCCCGTGAGCTGTGGCCCTTCATGTGTTGTTGGACTCTCAACACCCATCTGCTCCAGTCAGCATGAACAAAGGTTAGGGATAATGGGAGCTCTAATCCAGCAACATCTCGAGGGCAAGTTTCCCAACCATGCCGTAGGGCAGAACAAATCCTACCCCTAGTGCAATCACAATGCATCAGGCATTCAAAAGAAAGGGGCTTACATTTCCAGCAAAGGTATGTATGAGAGGCAACCATAGGCCTCCTCTGCCCCATAATAACCTGATGCCTACACAGATACTGGGAGAAGGGGAAGAAATTGTGCTTGGCTGTATGCAAATCTTTCTGCGCACAGTACCTATGTCAGGAAGAATCACACCCACATTCATAAAGGAAGGTTATGCTTCACACATCAGAATTAGAGAGTACATAACATTTTCAGAATGGATTGGAGCAAGCTGCAATACATGCCTGATTATCTGGGCTTTATTAACATATGTATCCCTTGATATCTCTTAAGTGAAAATTTGAAAACCAACGATGATTCAAAATTAAAAGTTACCTATTTAGTATCTCCATCACACCCAGTTAATTAACTGTGCTGTAAAATGCATCAGAGAAATATTTGCAGAAGCATATTTACATGAGTCTGAAATACCTTCATTATCAATCCACTTAAGGGTAATTGGTTGTTCCTGTTGTAAATTGCACATCTCTCTAACTTCATCACAAAGTTCACCATAGTTGATGGATGCACCCAGATTTGTTATGAGGATATCCCTGAAAGAGATGAATTCAGATTCAATAGCTACATGTGTTCACATTAAACCACAAGACATTTGCAAAGATTGAGGCAATCTATCAGCAGCCCTAAAGATTTTGCATTTCAGAATCTCACAAACAGTTTTACTGACCCAACATCTGCTAATTATATACTACTCATTCATTAAAAAAAAAATATCAGAACAGTTCACAACTATACATAAAATAATAAAAACCATATTAAAAAGTTACAATCAGAAATCAGGTAACTATCAGGGAAAACTGTACGGTGGGCCCACCACTTACACACCTGACTCAAAACCAAATAAATAAATGTGAGTGGAACCCACAGCAAAGAGAGCTTTTAAAGCCCTCTGCCTTGCTTACTGTGCTCTGGGAAAGTCACACAAGGGCCCTAGGACACTCTGAGCCCTTGTGCCTCCTTCCCAGAGGCCAGTAAGTAAGGGCAAGGCTCATTCTGGACAAATAGGGATGGTTCAGGGGGTTCCTGGCCTTACATGATTTTGCCTCTGTGAGTGCACCCCCAGAACCAAACCCTCATGTAAGTAATGGGCTCACTGTATTCTTAATTGCCTGGGGTGCTGGGGTATTTTGGGGAGGGGGTTGTAGCTGTGGTTTTTAAAAATCTTTATTTTAGATTTTGTTGAAATTTATGTGGAAATTGTTCAGTCTGGGTTTTTTTTTAATATTTAATTTATTGTTCAGGACTACTTCTGTTGCAACATTTTTTATGTTGTAAGCTGCCTTGAGCATGGTTTGAACTGTGGAAAGGCAGCACACAAATAAAATTACGTATATATGCATGCATGCATAGGTGTGACAAAATAGAAAAGTTTTCAGTAGGTGTTTAAAAGTTGAAACAAAATATGCCTGATGAATCTCCATGGCGGAGCATTCCACTGGAATGGTGCAATGACGCTAAAGGTTCAGTTCCTTGTAGCTGTCAAATGAGCCTCATCAACTGATTTCACACAAGATATAATGGTGTGGAAGAATAAGCATGTACTTTAAAAAATACCTTCATCACATTCCTCAACATTTTTAGTCAGCAGGGCTTAATTTAGAAGAATTCTATGAACTGTATGTAAGCAAAGCAAGGAATGCTTGCCATAAAGGAAGATTATGCATGATCACTTATGCTATGTTAAGCACTGTCACACCCAGGATATACAAACATCTACCCTCCCAAGCTTCCATGGAAACACACTAACAATCATGAATGGTACAACTCCCTAATGCTTTTATTACTAGCCTATTTGTTTAATCATAATATCAAAGGTGTACTGTACCATGAACAGACACTTTGAATTATTTAGTACTTTCCTGAATAATTCTTGACACTAATTTTGCAGTTTTGATAACTGTGACTTACTGCAGTTTGACATGTCTGATCACACAGAAATAAGAATCCACTACACACACACTTGCATTCTGCCATGCTACATTTTATACCATGATTTCATAAAGCAATACTTATACAAACCTTCACGAATGATCAATAAACCCAAGCTGAGTAAATAGGGATCCCTACATTGCAATGTTAGCTTTACCCTTTCCAATGAGGGTAACAACAAACTATAGAGGGATGCGGGTGGCGCTATAGTCTAAAACCATCAAGCATCTTGGGCTTGCCGATTGCAAGGTTGGCAGTTTGAATCCACACGATCGGGTGAGCTTCTGTTGCTCTGTCCCAGCTCCTGCCAACCTAGCAGTTCGAAAGCATACCAGTGCAAGTAGATAAATAGGTACTACTGTGGCAGGAAGGTAAATGGCATTTCCGTGCACTCTGGCTTCCGTCACAGTGTTCCATTGTGCCAGAAGCAGTTTAGTCATGCTGGCCACATGACCCCGAAAGCTGTCTGAGGACAAATGCTGGCTGCCTTGGCCTGAAAGCAGAGATGAGTGCTACACCTTAAAGTTGAATTTGACCAGACTTAACTGTCCAGGGGTCCTTTACCTTTACCACAAACAAGGCATAAAATCTTGCTATTTGATGCTTTACAATGTCCCCATTTTACAGAGGCTAAACTTAAAAGTTGTTCAGAGTTAACAGAGAAACACATCACTATTTTAAACAATGAAAATTAAAGGTTACATCCAATGTTAGATCTAATGGGCATGACCAAATTAGGTTAATTCTAATAGAAGCACTCTAAGTAAATCTTAGCTGAATACAACCCTATGTCATTCCTCACATAGTGAAACTTGAGTGTTACTTGAAATTATAGCTAAAATATGCCATGAAGAATGTCCCCAAAACGCTGTACAGGCTGCATTTGTCAACAACCCACTAAAATCTTATTGCACTGCACAACCAAGAGCCTGATTGACAATTCATTTAACCTTAATCACTCTGGTTTAAGCCAATGAACAGGCTGTTCCTAATGAAATTTTCACATGCAAGTCTTAAAGTACAATCCTATTCAGAAGTATGTTTCACCAAGTTCAGTGGGACTTACTCCCAAGTTAGTGACATGTGCATAGGATTATAGTCCTAAATGATCAACACAAACAAACCCAGCACTGTCCAGAACGTATACTGAGTTTTAAACATGTTTTATTTCTATCACATATCTAGAGCTGTCTGTCATACAAGGGACAAACAAGAGGACCAAATGCAGGGATGTGGGTTTTCCAGAAAATTTTGAACTGAAACATTTTCATAAGCAAAAAATAATTTGCATCAGAAAATGTTTTAATGCCTTAGAGTGACCTGATTTAGCATGTTTATTTTACTTGTTTTTAGAAAACAAAACTTGTGACACTGTGAAGCTTGCCTAATACTGTTATTTGTAATTTGCATCCATTCATCCTTACCAATGAACTTTTCAAAGAGAAATTTTCCAATGAAAATATAAAGCAGTGGTGGTGGCAGGGAATCAGTTTTTGGATATTTCCCACCTCACACTACTGCTCAAGTTCTTTTGAAGTCAGCATTTGTATAAGATTTCCTATGATATATTCGTAACTGCATACAAAATGGTATACCACTGGCTACCAGAGGGCAAAGTGCAACATGGCATTACTCTGCAGCACCATTACATCACAGTCACAGAGAGCTCTGCCAGAACAACTGTTTTGGTTGTGACTGCCAATGCTATTAAAGCTAAAGGGGCTAAATCTTAAATCCAATGGTTAAATTGTGAGTTGAGATACAAGGTACTAGTTGCTAGGTTCTTTAGAAAAGCACAAGAATGTGCCACAGCCAGGGTCCAAGGAAGTGAGAAACTAGTTCCAAGAGCATTTCAATGGGCTTTTCACAAAAAAGCAGCCACTGCCTCTGCTCAGCATCACACAAGGGAGTCTGAAAACCAGTTTCTGATATAACTCTGAGGTGGGAGAGAATTGTTCAAAGCCAAAGTCAAAACATTCAACTGGGTTAGCATTAGCTGTTTGTGAAACACATGCAATGCTATAGATCCTAAAACATGTTTAGACCCAGCAGCTCAACTCTTAGTGTACACTAGTTTACTGCGATTTCCTATGTACAGGCCCACCAATAAGGAGTATAGTGGGTACTGCTGTATTGGGTCCAGGGCAAGAGGGGAGCTCCAACAATGGAAAATATAGTTGTGCCTTGTAGGGAAACAGATATATTGCAAAATATGCAAGCACTATTTTTTTCTGAGTAATTAGTGTCCTACCACCTTTCAGTGTGAGTAGTCTGACAAGACAGTGTGAGTATTATGACTGACAAGTGTTACAGAGAAATACACATTAACATCAGGGAAAACAAAGATTGCCCCAAAATGAACCAGGAAGGCTCTCCTCCAAACATTGGAGAAGAGACGTCCTGGTGCATTTTGAAAGTGCTTTTTGATCTTCTCTGGTGCATGTGTGACTTTAGAATTTTTTTCTGGATTCAGATGACAGACTTCCTGATTAATTCTGAAGCCCTTTCTAAAATCTTTCCTTGGAAAGAAGTGATTGTTGCCTAGAGAAAACAACTGAAAACTTCACTCTTTTAGTATTTAGTCCACTGTGAGTGGCCAGTAACATGTCTGGCCAAAAGTTAGAAGCAAAGACATGAATTCATGTCTTTCCAACATGCTTCATTTCATGCAAAACACACACCCCGAGCATATTAAACTAAATAAAGTGCTAATGCAAACAAAACCATATCACAGGGGGGAACAGCAGTTTAGAATGTGTAATGCAGTGTTATACAGTCCCTTGGTGTCTTGGGTTTTTTAAAATTGACTGTAGCAGCAACATGAGGGTGGGGGAGGTCTTATTAACTCCTTTCCACCACAAGGCAGAGCTACTGTTGGGTTGTTGCTACTGGTACAAAAACTTAAATGAGTATATTTATGCCCAACACTGAAAATGTTTTTGTTCAAAAATATAGAAGGGTGACTGACCTTTGCTGATAACATTGCTATAGTTATTATGAAGTATAAATAAAATTCCTACAACAAATGCTCTTAGAATACATTGCTTGGTTCTTAACAATTTAACTTATGCAAGCATGGGCATCTGAACCTTGATTGCTGAAAATCTTTTGACACCCCACCACCTACAAACCCCAATATGAAGTACCTGTTCTGGTACTAAATTGTAGTATTATCAGCCTAAAATTAAAGACCCATCGCTTTGTTCAGAAGAGCGTGATACACAAGTTTTGCACCAAGCCACCATGCAAACAGCATTAGTATTTCCTCCCAAATCTTACAATGCCAATGCAACAGACTACAGAAATTGATAAAAACATACGTAAATTTCATTCGTTATAAGTAAAAAAAAAAGGCTAGTCCAAGTCAGAGAACACCTACTTAAACGAAGCTACAGTAATTAATTTCAGCAGTTTTGCTCTGAGTAGGACTTAACTGGATACAACCCAATATAGACAAAACAAAAGTTGCAAAGAACCTGATAAACAATAAGCGAAATGAAGGGCAAAAAACATTTGATATAGCTTACCCATTATAATGTGTTTTTACTCTAATGAAATCTCTCTTCATATTCATTTTTGATCCCATTCTGCTAGGCATGGTACTAATGCAGCAGTCAAAGTTAAAGATAGGTTCTGAGTTTACAGACTTGTCTTCCCAATCATTCAGGAGAAATGGGGTATTGTAATAAATGAGCAGGCAAAGTTTCCATGCTTCTTCTTCCAAGGTAATAGCCCCATTAGGCTGCAGGCAAACAAAAAAGATATAAATACACAAAAAAGCAAACAACTGATTGGAAAACAGAATATACATTGTGCTAAACTAAACAGACACCAAGTAAGTCCAACAAATCAATGGAGGAATTCAGGTTCATGTTTTCTTCTAGTATCCTGATACTTTATTTTTATAAAATTGCTAAAGTTCCATGAAAGCTGTTTAAATACCTAGCAAATATATTTTAAAATTTTGAAATGTAAGACTATGCTTATTTAAAATAAGACTAATTACTTTTTTTCTATTTGGGAACAAAGTTGAAACAATAGAAAATTAAAGATTCCAGCCAGTGATGTCAGCCATCACTGCTTAGCAAACAGAAGGATAACTCTTTTGCAAAGAAATTTGCTGGCACCATTCCTGACACCTTCTCTTCCCAGCACTCTTGCTAACCTTCCTACAAAATCACTGGGGTGGGGATATGGTCTGTGATCTTTATCTTCTGGATTTGCAAAAAACATTGGCGGAACTATCACAAAACTATTTGCTTCCCTATGTTTGAAAAAGGAACTTTAGGAGTTTGAATATATCCAAATCACAATATCCAAAGCAGGGAGAAAAGTCCAGCCTAAGGATTCAAGAGTGGGAATAAGATAGGACTGCTCAGCAAGTTTTATTCCTGCTTACAGCATTTTCTACAAAGCATACACTCAAAAAATAGGCAGGGAAGCCATGAAAGTACAAAATGGCATTCTAGGTAAGTATGAAAGCTTACGCATTTCCCTAAAGATCAAGCTCTCTGCTATACACAACTGCATTGCAATTTTTGCTTTGAAAGTCTTCCTTTTGTAAGCTTTGATATAGAATGTGTAAGGCATGTCAAGGTATTCATGCAATGCATGTGAATCCACATTTTAGATAAAAGAATGCAATGTTATGCAATTGTCCCCCCTCAGATATCTGTAAGCACTCTGGACAGTCATACATTTCCCTACTCAGGAAAGAACTTGCAGATACTTTTTTCCTCACACTAAAGTACATTTAGGGTAAAGTGTGAAAGATTTTTACACAGGTTTTTGTCTACAACTTTACCAAAGCCATAAAACACCACATTGTTTTTGAAGAACTTACATTTAGATAGGAAAGTTAAAACCAAGACACTTTATTTAAAAAATCTTCACAACTCTCAAATATGTAGATTTCAAGAAACCCCTCTAATTCACAAAATATGCCTTGTGGCTATGAGCTGTCAACATAACCTAGTAGCCAATTACTTGCAAAGACAACATTAAAACCACAGAACAGTGCATTCCACTAGAATCCTATACCCCCCTCAATCTGGTAACAGTGCTGACCTACACATTTGGTTACCTGTGGCTACTCCTTCAGCAGATATGGGCACCCTTCCAAAAAGAAAAAGACTCCCTTAGAATAGCCTGTCCTGAACAAATGTCTCCTGAGCAAAACTCCCCACCTCAATAGATATACTAGCCTCTTTAGCACATGCACACACACAAACACACCCAAGGGTACTTTTCAGATTGGATTAGCCTTAACTCATTTTCCCTTCATAGGCTAGGTAAGGAGACCAGTTTTTCAGGGAATTCCACCACCCTGCCCCTCAAAAAACAAAAAACAAACAAACAATGCTATGCAGTTTCTGGACTTTCCTAGCAGTGCAATCCTGTGTGTGTTCATTGGATCCTACTCCTAGTTACGGGTGTACAGTGGTACCTCTGGTTATGAACTTAATTTGTTCCGAGGTCCGTTCTTAACCTGAAACTGTTCTTAACCTGAGGTACCACTTTAGCTAATGGGGCCTCCCGCTGCCGCCAGCGCACGATTTCTGTTCTCATCCTGAAGTAAAGTTCTTAACCTGAGGTACTACCTCCGGGTTAGTGGAGTCTGTAACCCGAAGTGTTTGTAACCCGACGTGTTTGTAACCCAAGGTACCACTGTATACCTTCCAATTTTCTGTGGAGTCACTCCCCCAACATTACACCTGCATTTGATCCACATTACCTCCAATACTAAGCTGAACCCTCCAGCACAAACTCTTCACTACCTTCCACTAGCAATGTCACGCAGATTACCCCACACATACCTCCAGAAAAACTTACCCACTTCCTCCTCACAACTCCATTTCAAGACCTTACTGTGACTAAGCCCAAGCAGGTGAAACAGAAATAACTGCATATTTGTCCCCCTTGCTTGCCCCACCTTCATTTTCTGGACTGTAAGCCACATCTGTCATTCTTCCTGAAATGTCATGTACATGCTTGGCACTATATGATAATAAAAAGTGATACAGAACCAGCTCACCCTCTCTCAAACCTTTCTCTTAATGTTACACTGCTTCAGACCTCCTTCAAGTAACTGGGGTTGGGAACCCATCTAACAAAAAATACATTCTCAACTCATCTTTCTCCCCGCTTCCATTTAAAAGATCTCGCCTGCTTCTAGGTATAGATTGTAAACTTCTCAGATGAGGGACCTATCCTCATGGTAATAGAGGAAACAAAAATAAAAACACCCCCTGCTCTGTCTCATACTGTCACATTGCTCCCCAACCACCTTAAACTCCTTAGTGTAATGTGTGTACTGAGTTTCCTCAGACATAAAAATCCTTCGTCCCCCATCACAACAGGTATCAACTATTTGCAAAAAGGACACAACACACCCATGTGTTTGTAAGCACCTAACAATAACAGCAATTCATCTAGTTTTATAGAAAAGTAAAGGAATAATCAAAATTGCCTTTTTTATAGAGAAGTAAAGGAATAATCCTATTTCTTTACTTCTCTATAAAAAGGCAACTTTTAAACACAATAAAGGCACACTACCTGCACAAGGCTGCTTGCAAGCCTAGAAAACAATTGCAATTTATACTCCAATTCATATGAATCTTACTCTTCCTGCCCGCCCGCCCCATACCGACTTGTGTTTGCGGGAGGGGGGGCAGGCGAGCGCTGTCTTCTCTGCCACAAAAACGAGTAATTTTCCTCCCCTCACCCGAATAAATTCCCACCCACCCCTCAAAAACTCCACAGAAGAGACTCACCTTCCCTTTCCCTTCCCTCAGTCCCGCTTTAGGGACAAGCTCTTTCCACACAAACAACCCCAAAACCAAAACTTTTTAGAGGGGGGGGGTCGTCCTGAATCCTTCCTCTTCGCTCAGGTCTCGGGCTTTCCCCACCCGTTGGAAGTTTGCTCCAACTTCCGAAGCGAAAGGAGGGAGGAGAAAGGGGAGAGTCGGGATGTGGGTGGGGGGAAGCTCAGAGTCCTTCGCCCGCCTCTTCCTGAGGTAACACCCGACCCGCCGCCTCGAGCGCGCCTTGGCTTAGAAGGTAGGCTGCTCGGTCGGTCACTTGGCGGGCGCGCTCCCGCAACCTTTCCCTCCCACCTCAGCGGCAGCGCGCCGCCGACACTCCTCCTCCCAACATGGCGGAGGCCAGCCCTCGAGGGATTTATTCCTCAACCCTCCTCAGTCTCCCCGCCGCACACGCATATACAGCGGCAGCCAATCAGCTCGCTTCCCCCGCCCGAGCCTCTCTACCTGCCGCCGGCCTATAGTAAACAAGAGGGCGGCCTCTCACCTGGAGCCGGTTTCCCTCGGCCCCACCCCTGAGGGGGAGACGGACCAATGGCGAACGGGCATTGGGCGTTACCTGGCTGAGATGGAAGGGGGGGAGCCGTCAGAGGGGGAAGAGGCGGGGAGGAGAAGGGAGGGGCGAAGGGAAGCTTTCGGGAGCCAATAGAGGGGAGAAAGAGGGATTAGAGGTGGGATGGATAATCACCTGCAGCCAATAGGGAAGGGAGGGAATGGGACGAGCGGCTAATCTGCCTAGCAACAAGGCGGGCATGACGAGTTGAGGAGGCTTTGGAAAGGGGGAAAGGAGAAGGCAATGGTCTTTTGTGCCGGGGGTAGCCTCGCCAACCTGGTGCCCGCTATTCCAAAACATCTGGGAGGCACCAGGTTGGCAAAGTCTGGCCTTGAGATCCAGGTTCAAATCCTCCCCGTCGCCCACAAAAGGGACTGGGCAGCGCAACCGACCTCAATGGGCAATATTTGTGGGGGTAAAATGCGAGGAGAATCTTACACAGAATTTTAAAAGATGTTACAAAAGTTGGGTGCCGCCCCCACTATCTGCCTCGCGGTAGCAAGATTTCAGAGGGCTTGGGCTCCTTTTGGAGGTGGCTTCAGGCACCAGGTCCACTGGCAGACCAACTCTGTTACAAAGATGTGATATGAAGGCTGGCATCATTAACCCTTCTAAGTGGGAATCTCTTGCAGACAGGAGACAGGTTGTGTATTCACAGCAGTTACCAGAAGAGGAATGACTGCTGGAAGGAGTGCAGAAAGAAGAAACCCCATGGTACACCTGCAGGACTCCTTCATCTGCCCCAGCTGCAACAAAACATGTCTCTCCCTTACTGGTCTCTATGCCCTGGAGGCATCATCTTCAATTGTCTCCTAAGACAGATGTATGCCAACTGGATGAGTAGACAACTGCCTGCTACAACTTGGGATAGAAAAAAGCCCCATAAAAATTAAGAGTACCAAGAAAAAAGGGGAAAAAATAAAGTTAACAGGTTTAAAAAAGTAAGAGGAAAAAGGAGAAGAAAGACAGGAAAGGGGGGAGACAGAAAGACAGGAAGAGACCAGAAAACCTGAACATGAGTAAAGGATAGCTATGCAGTCTTTTCACTGCAATCCTACGCTTGTCTACTAAAAGATAAACTCAGTGGGGCTTACACCCATGCAAGTATGTGTAGGATTTCAGCCTTCAAGTTTATGGATAAATGTACAGGCAGCTCCCATTTTGTGCACTTTTAAGGCACACGTGCTGTTTTTTGACCAGGAAGAGGATGGAATGGGGGTGGGAGTGAGATGGGTCATAACGGGGCAGGGCACAAATCAGGGTCGGCTGTATGCGTTTATAGGCCATATTCACAAACAATAATTGTTATGGAAATTTAAGTGGTAGGAAAATGTTTCATCTAAAAACAAAGAGCTTTGCTGAATTAGATCAAAGGTCCATTTAGTCTTGCTTCCACAGTGACTGGAAAGATGCTTCCAGGAGACTTAGCCATAGCACAATAAGACAATTGCTTTTCTCTGCTGTCTCCCCTCATGAATGTACCTGTTGAATTTCTGTCTGTAATGCAGATATGAAGGTGAAATTGCCTTTTTAGGATATAGGATTTGCAATAAAGCAGAACACTGCAAGATAAAGCAAAACAAGGTCATGTGTGAAATAATATTTATTCACACTTTGGTTCTCTGTCCTAGAATCTTTTGGTGACTAACAAATGTTATAACAAATGAATACTCACCCTTTGTAAGGTGTTTTGCTGTACTTCATGTGTGAGGAAACCTTTGGCCCTCCAGATGTAGCTGAACTAAAACTTCCACCAGTCCCTGCAATCATAGCCAATGGCCAGGGATGATGGGAGTTGTAGTTCAGCAACATCCGGAGGACCAAAAATTCCCCACACTTGTACTTGCAAAACATAGTTAACTCCTTCTCACTGTATATCATATTTTTCCGTGTATAAGACGACCCCATGTATAAGACAGCCCCTAATTTTTGAGCCCAAAATTAAGAAACAAATATTTTAAACATTCCGTGTATAAGACGACCCCCAATTTTAAACTTAAAAAAATTGGGGGGAAATATAGTCTTATACACTGAAAAATACAGTGAATTCCCATTGGCATGACAGAAAGGTTTGGTTCACTTTCAACCTCAACTCTCCCTCTCTCTCCCTACACGCAAATGAACTCCCAACTCAGCATCTCCCTCGAAAGCAAAACTTTGCTCCTGCTCACCATCAACTAGAAGGGTGTTCTATAAATAAGGTTTCCCACTTCAAGAGGAATAGCTGTAATAGAAAATAATCCTATGATGACACCTTAGAAGTTTACAAGTGACTGTGGTATATAAAATATATTAAAAGGAGGGGAGGTGTTGCTTTTTGTAGTCCAAATGCAACATCCCATTCCATCACAGCATATTTAATTCTTCCAGCAGAGGGCAAGAGAGTCCTAAAAATACATCTGGGGAAGCATAGCAACACCTTGTATCTCATTTCGTTTTAAGGAGCTCACAGACTGTGAGAAACTTAGCAATTGCACCGGCAAACACCATGTATCGCTGCCATAATAGGGGCAGGGTTGTGGATCCAGTTGCATTGCCCCAATGAGGATGTCTTCTGCTGTGGAACAGTGCCATGGAGCCAATGTGCATCATTGTAAAACAACAACAACCATCACCATTGTAGGTAAAAAGAGGGTTGAAAACAAGGGGCAGATTTTAACCAAGTACAACAGCAACAAAGAAAACCTAAGCAATCTCCCAATGATTAAATTTATTACCTGCCTTTCACAAACGGATCCCAATGTGGATCTGGATGATTTGCAGTAGGCCTACAAGGGTGGATGAGAGGGGCACTCAAGGATCAGCTTGGCTCATTCCCTAAGGTGACCATGTTTTCTGCTTTACAGAGGACAGTCCTCTGTTTAAAAGGCTGTCTAGTCCAAGTCCCGTTTAAAGAGAAAGAACTCTTCAGAAGTTAGAAAGAGAGCATGGGTTAACAGAGGAATGTTCTGTTTCTGTGACACCGGACACCCCTCATCAGATCTTTCCTGCTGTGGCTTCTCCTAGCCATGAAGAGCCTCCTCCAAAGGAGGCAACTGTGAGTAAATCAGATGCTGATTTACCAACTCTGCCAACATCATCAAGGACATGGACAGACCTCACCAGCCCAGCCCCCCCCCCCCAAAAGAGTGCCTGCTTGCTTATCTAGTCCCAAGACTCCAGTCATTTGCTGTGCCTCCCCCATCCTTTAAAAGGATGGGGCAGAGCATGCCTCGCTTGTTGGATAAACATCTTAGTTTGCATTTCTTGTTTGAGGGGCAATTGGGGCACACTTTTCACCCAAACATGCATTTGGTGGCCTACTTTTAAAAAAAGAAGTTACCACATATATGTTCAGCTGTAGCAGTGCTGTTGTGATTCATCTCCTCTCAGGCTGAGATCTAGTAACAGACAATGGAATTGCATTACATTAATTCAAGCTAGACCAGTGGATTTCAAGGGCGGTTCTTTGTCCTTCATTTTCATTATGTTCCGCATAGTAAGTCCGCTGACATGGAGGGGAGGAAAGTTAGGTGTGCAAACCACATGTGAACTCCTGCCATTTATTCTGCTCACAACAAAGGAAGAAGATCTGTGTTGACTGATCCATATTTTCAAGTAAAGCCTTCCAAAGCTCTTCACGAATTCTTGCCATACCATTCTTGGTCTGAAAGACATCAAGGATATACCTTGAAGAGGAAGAAGGTAACTTAATTCCCTACCATCCCACCACACATACCCATAATTATGATGATCATACAACAGGAATAGGGAACTGCATTAATTTATGGGCAACCTTCCAAGGGCCACATGTCAATTGAGGGTAGGGGCAGGGGCAAAAGTGGGCGGAGCATATTATTATTATTATTATTATTATTATTATTATTGCGCCCATCTGGCTGGGTTTCCCCAGCCACTCTGGGCGGCTGCCAACAGATTAAAAACAGAATAAAACATCACACATTAAAAACTTCCCTAAACAGGGCTGCCTTCAGATGTCTTCTAAAAGTCAGATAGTTGCTTATTTCCTTGACATCTGATGGGAGGGCGTTCCACAGGGCGGGCGCCACCACTGAGAAAGCCCTCTGCCTGGTTCCCTGTAACCTCACATCTCGCAGTGAGGGAAGGCCTGCGGAGCTGGAGCTTAGTGTCCGGGCAGAATGATGGGGGTGGAGACGCTCCTGTAAATCTTACCTCTGTTCAGTAGGGCTGGTGAGGAGTGTGTAGTCTGGGGATAGTTCAGAAGGTCCAAATGAAGAGACCTGGAAAGCCGCATTTGGCCTAGATACTCTCCACACCTATTTTACACATGCTCATATATCCCACATTGACCTTTGACTCTATGAAGTAATACGTAGGCTGGATCCGGGCTCTGTTTTGTGACAATGTCCCCAGGCAGAGATGAAGAGACCTACATTTATTTAAATAGGCCAGTCTAAGTCTTCTTCCTTTGTATTCCTCATTTCTATTTTTGTCTCTTGATCTGCATAGTCTGCTAGTCCGTTAAGCTCATCCAATTTTCCTGAGGTATAGTGTTTAAAAAGAAAACAGAAACAAGGGTGGGGGGGATGTGGAGCGATTCCAGCACTTATTCCGTCGCAGGCTGTGTGACGGCTTGTGATCTAACTGAGGCTTTAAAGATAGGAATGTGGCAAAAATATTTGTGGCGTAAGAGTCTACGGAGCTGTGTGAGGAGGGACAGACACATTTTGAACTTTGAACCAATAGGATCCCTGCTTCCAATCAGCTCTGGGACCGAATGCCAGGAAGCAGAGTAAATTAAGCATAAGCCAGCATACATGATCCTGGCTGCTGTTGATCTTGTTGTGATTTATGTTCCGTTGCTTGCATATC